TTTTTTAAGCAAAAGCTAGCCAGATTTGTCCCCTTGCAGCATTCAACAGTGAATCCAAACATGACCAAATGAATAGTAGTAAAAAGGTTAACCATATGGAAAATATTGAGAACTGAAGATTTAACACCCTCAAATTGGTATGATGACATTTTGAGGAGAGATAACAGCTCTGCTTCTTTGCCTGTGGACTCCTCAAAATATGACCATGGTAGTTTGAGGGTGTTAAGTCTTCAATGCTTGAAATGTGTCCCTCAAAATGCCACAGTGACAGTTTGAGGGATGTTGGCTGGTGAGATTTCATGTATTTGGTATCCCTCAAACTGCCACTGTGACATTTTGAGGGGAGCATACTCAGAAATTGAAGATTTAGTACCCCTCAAAGTGTCATCATAGCATTTTGAGGGAGTGAAACCATGCTATTTGTGTCAAAACCTTGCCATAACCCACCCTAGCCCAGGCCTAACCCAGGACACCCTCCCCAAATCCTCTTAATAGCAGGGCAGGGTCACTCTATAGTAAGGCGAGGGTCAGCGCCCTGGGTCAGCGCTGTGGGTCAGCACCCTGGGTCAGCACCCTCAGCGCTGTGGGTCAGCACCCTGGGTCAGCGCCGTGGGTCAGCGCCCTCTGCACTGTGGGTCAGAGGCGTGGGAAAGCGCCAGCTCTGACCCTAGGAAGGGCATCGACTGACCCTATTATCCACTCATAACCCTACCGGGGAACATTCTAGAACGTAGGAGATAGACGCCCGGCTAATCCCGAGCGCTTATTAGTCACGTGGAACTGACTATTCTTAGGGCGTGAGAAGTTTCAGGTATTTTTACATGAAACACCTATTTATAGGTTATTTTCCCACTATGGGACGATTATATCACTTAAGGTAACCCCGATGCGATCGCATCGGCCTCGGCATTCACATCAGTCATCAAGCATGCTAAGTATAGCTGAAACGCTTACTAACATCTATTCCTGTACAATGATGTCATTTGGATGCACCCGTAGAGGCGTCTCCCGCCTCTCTACAGACATCCGATGGTACTCCACCTTGAAACTATTTTGGTCCTGAAGAGTATATATACGAAACAGGTTGGCCTGGGGAGATCCCCCAGCCCTGTTGACCAAGTTTCAACTCCTCTTCTCATTACGCTTACCCTCCTCGCTTCGCTCGTCGGGCAAGCTACCACCCTAACCAGATTTGTCCCCTTGCAGTATTCAACAGTGAATCCAAACATGACCAAATGAATAGTAGTAAAAAGGTTAACCATATGGAAAATATTGAGAACTGAAGATTTAACACCCTCAAATTGGTATGATGACATTTTGAGGAGAGATAACAGCTCTGCTTCTTTGCCTGTGGACTCCTCAAAATATGACCATGGTAGTTTGAGGGTGTTAAGTCTTCAATGCTTGAAATGTGTCCCTCAAAATGCCACAGTGACAGTTTGAGGGATGTTGGCTGGTGAGATTTCATGTATTTGGTATCCCTCAAACTGCCACTGTGACATTTTGAGGGGAGCATACTCAGAAATTGAAGATTTAGTACCCCTCAAAGTGTCATCATAGCATTTTGAGGGAGTGAAACCATGCTATTTGTGTCAAAACCTTGCCATAACCCACCCTAGCCCAGGCCTAACCCAGGACACCTTCCCCAAATCCTCTTAATTCTGGCGCTAGGTATCTCATTGGTACTTCTAGCGCTCACGCATTCGTGTGGCTCCGCGTTCATCGCATAGAGCCACGTTCATTGCTTACGTAGCCGTCCTACATTACCGTGGGACTTGGACTGCATAGTAGTTACGAATACGGTAGTGACTTCACACGCTCCTGTCATATATATACAGTCGCTACCATGAATATCATCTAAGTCTTCTCTCTCCACCGAACGACTACCATTGTCAGCCTACCAGCTACCAAGCTACTCACTCAACCTTCAACACTAACAGCCCGGTGAGTTCGCGCTCTTATAGACTCCATCAGCTATACTCGCGTTCGTCCTTTGTCAACAACAGCCAAGCCAAGAACAACACTAGCTGTGGATGAGGTTGGAGTCGCGTGATCCTAAACTCACGAGTGGATGATCCCAGGAACGTGACAGGGGTTCCTGTTTCTTCCATTTGTGGATGTCTTTCGATCGAAAACGCAATGTGCTATTCTTCGTCGAGCATAGTGAACGAAAGGCACAAGTTCAGTGTACCACTGCCAACTCGGGCCATCTAAACTTACATCAGGCTGTCAAAGTGTAGCGAGGGCACATCTTGTTGCATACAATCAACATACATTTCGCATTCTGCGGCATATTCAACTCGATATTCCTACATAGTACAAGTTCACATTGAGCTGAGTCGACGTCTCCCTCAACGCCAGTACGAAGGAGCGCTTCCGTGAGCCTTCACAATTCTACAAGCCTCATCGAGCGCGTCCACAACTTCTTGCGGGAGCAGTCCCTCCGCCGAGTCCTCTAGGTTTTGCTCTAGCTGAGCGGCACTGCTGGCCCCGAGGATAATACCGTCGGATGGCTGCAAGGCCGAGTGATGCTGGCACCAACGTAGCGCCATTGCTGTCAGCCGTATACCGCTGGACTCTGAAGTCTTCTTCAAGAGTTCGAGTGCCTTGAAGTATCCTTCTTGGAGGTAGCGCGCGCGATACATCTTGCCTTGACGAGAAGAGCCGTCGAAGCGAGATCCGGCATCGGGCGCATCTTCGACGGATGCGAGTTTGCCGGCGAGGAGGCCGCCACTGCGTGATTGAAAAGTGGTAGTCAGATGGGGCCGAGACGTACAAGGCGAGAACACAGAACGCACGCCAGGGGGTTATAGATGACGAGACGGATGCCGTACTTGCGGCATGCCGGAAGGAGCTCGGTTTCCATCTCACGGGTGATGGCATTGTACATTCTGTGCGTGCATCAGTAAACGTGACGGAGGTAGAGGTAGAGGGCCGCCACGAGAAATGATAGAGACGCACACTTGATAAATCTTAGGCTGAACCCATCCGTTCGCTCTGCAAATACCAACGACCTCAGCCACCTGCACAATGCATAAGATTCCCAAAAACGAGTTGCTTCAGTAGCCCACGAACCTCCCAAGCCGCGAAGTTGCTCAGACCAAAAATCTCGCTAAGTTCCGTCAGACTAACCGCGTGTGCGCGAAAGCTTCGCGACACTCACAATTTACCCTCTTGATGGAGCTTATTCATCTCCCGACAGGTATCCTCGAAAGGTACACTGCGATCCGGCGCGTGGAGATATAGCACGCGCACCTTTTCGCGCCTGAGAGCCTTGAGTGACGTAGAAAAGGTCTCGCGAAGGGCCTCGGGTTTGTGAGCGCCGGGGGTGACGGGATAGACTCTACGAACGGGTGCGCATTAGAGATGGATGGTGACAACCGAATGGGGAGACGTACTTAGTGTCGAGCATTGTATGTTCGAGGTCCAGCTGCGACAGCAGCTGCATTGGCGTGGTAAGTCAACAGGGTGCATACATCAAGATTATAAAGACGCACCTCCTCCGTTGTCCCTTCGCCATACATCCTCGCCGTATCCAGTTCCTGATGCCCGTGACTGAGGAAGACATCCACAATCGCCTGACACTCGCTGACACCAGAGTTCCGCACGCCGTTCTTTCCCGCCGCTCCCATCGTCATCGTCCCCTATCAATCCCCACATACAATGAGTGCTCGCACGGATTGATACGCATACACGCACTCACGAAAAGCAGTGGAACGCGAGTCGGCATCTTGGAAGTAGTGAGAGTGGTAGTGAAGGCGCGATTTGAGTGAACTTGAGTGATAGCTGTTGGGCGGCAGCAAGAAACGAGGTGTAAGGGGCGGGAAAACGAGCAGGATTTGAGAGCGCTCGCGATAGGATGGTTGGGTATCGGCATGATAACGCAGGCCTAATGTCAACGCGAGGTCAGCTGGCCGGCCCATCGGGTCCCCGTTCAACGGTACAGGTGCAGAGTGGTCAAATATGGAGGTACTCACCCAAGCTCGCTACATCCTTCTACCCACAAGATACTCTCCGGGGTGCTCCGTAGACGCTCGGCAGAGCGGCAATGGTGCCTATCGTGCCAACCAGCGCACGGGTGAGGGAGGCTGCAAGGACTCCGTGGTCGACGTGAAAGCATCGCCGGCAACGCCCGCGACGCGGCTCACGCTCAGGCCCAATTCTCGCTCGCGTGCAGGCAATGGCAGCAAACATCGGGCCAGGCTTGCTGGCCTGCACATGAGTGTTATACATATGTAAGTACGGTACAACAGGGCGTATAGAGTAAATACAATATGCACAACAACCCAAAAGAACGCGAAATGAAAGGAAAAGTCATCGTAACAGATGTCATGTCAGATCGTGAAAGGTGTCGTTAGATCAGCGTAAACGTGAGCGTACTCGTTGTCGTGAGGATCAATAAATAGAAGCACTCGGGCCCATAGCAAAGGCCAAGGTAGGTGATGGGATATACGAGGAAAGGGTATGGGGTGAGACGCATAGACTAGTGGCGGAGGAGTAAGCTTGAAAGAGACGTCGAAGTTGGGGACGCATAGAACATGGATGGGGGTTGCCAAAGAACGAGGAGCATATGGAAAGAGGTGTCGCATATAGACGGGGAGAGCCGAGAAGGATGAGGAGCATAGTACAAGAGCGCAAGTCATCGTGAAAGGTCATGGCGCCCGTGGTCGTGGACGTTAGAACTGCTCCGCGTCCCGTCTTTACTTCTGTGTAGGAACTCCCCTCGGAACGAACCTCCTTCCCATGTCTCGCGCAAGCAACGCGCACATGACAATCGACACCACGAGTAGGTACGGCATCTTCATTGAGACGGGCATACGTCGCACCTCCGACCTGCCGCGGGCGGGGACAGATGAGCCCGAGCGAAGAGTCCGCACACCCGCGCGTTCCGTTGACGACGGCCGGACAGATACTGCGTCCGGGTGAGCCGCTGGGTACGTCCATGCGAAGACCTTGGAAACCGCCGCGCGGGTGAGCTGCGAGAATGAGGCGTCGTTGAGGGACGGACTCTTCGCGTCGTCAGAAGGCGCCACGACAGGACTGTCCGCGGGCTCGGCCACGTCGGGCTCTGGAGTCGGCTGTGCGGTCTCCTTGGTCGGCTCTGGGGCGAGCTCCGGTGCAGGTGCAGTCGAGGGGGACGCCGCATTCGCTTGCTCAAGAGCATCGAGCCTTGTCCTGAAATGCTCAAGCATCGATCGCGTCGACGCAAGCGACTCGGCGATCGACGCCAGCAGCTCCTCCTGACCGTTGTCTCTCTCTTGCGTCTCCTGCTTCGTCTCCACTGCATACTCGTCCTCGGTATCCGTCTCGACAGCCCTCGTAACGCGCATTGGCGAGAACGACCCGCTGACGACAGGAACGTTACCAGCCGTCTCGAACAACGAAGACGTATGAGACAGCTCCGGCGCAACTTCGTCCATGATCGTTGCCTTCTTATCCGCCTCGTCGTCTCCTTTGTCCGATTCGTCACCGAAGATCGCGGTGACGGTCATGCGCTGGCTGTTCTTGCTTGCACGACTACTACCCTTGCCGCTTCCGGGCTTCACCCTGATGCTGTTCTTCCAACTCGACCGGGCGCTCTTGAACCCCGAGCTGCCAGGAGACGCTGAGGAGTCGTCGGAAGGCAGGCGCTTAACAGTCTGACCAAGACCAAAGTCAGTCTCCCATGCGCGAGCTCCAGCAACAGGCTCATTGGCAAGCAACTCCTCAATCGTCGGCTCGTCGTCCTCGTCACGAGAAAGCGAGTAGGGTGGTGGCTGGTCGACAGTCGAGAGTTGACTGGGGAGGCCGTCAAGAGCCTCGACGCCGACGATAGCCTCGGTGCGGGTGACAGGCACCTCAGCCTCGTGCTCCTCGGCCTTTATAGGCTCGCTGATCGGGATAAAGTCTTGGTCTCGCTCTGCCACGTTCGTCGCCTGCTGAACTTCACGAGCCTCGGTGTCTTTCTCGAGTGAGTGATCGCCGGAAAGGCTATCAGCGTCGCTGAACTCGCTTTCGCTCATGCTGGCCTCGCTCCCCTGGCTGTTGTGCTCCCAGTTCTGCGCGAGGTCCTTGACACCACGCTTCCTCGTCTTGAACCTCGCCAGCTCGCGGTATCGCTGCTCCTTGCGCTCGGAATAATCAGTAGCGCTGACGGAGTTTGATCGGTGAGGCAGGGGAATGGGAATTGCCGGTGGCGCAAACTTGGCTGCATCAGACTTGGAACGGCTGAGGCCGGAAGCGTGTGACGAGGTGGAGGATGCCGGAGAAGAGGGGCTCGCGGTGGGGTCTTGTGAGAAGGGGGAGACCGCATTTGAGTCTGAGGAGAGGTCAACTGACGACGCCGAGCGGGAATAGAGCCCGTTGGCGTAGACTTCGCCCGAAGAAGCGCTAATCTCATTCGCGTGATAAGAGTCGACCCAGATCCTGCGGCGAAGGGAGCCAGAGCGCAGCGAGCGACTGGCTGTATAGAGGGCTTCGCCTGCAGGCAAGCTAGCGAAACATGCGTTAGCAACGAGTTCAATGGAACATAGGCGGGCCATGAAGAAGTTTTGCATAACGTGATAAGGGTCATGACAAGAGTAGAACAACTAACCTCTCGAGGTCGGCAGCGGGGAGCCTCATGAACTGCCTCCCAGTGATCTGACGCTGGCGAACAACGGCGATCGCATCAATGTCCATTCCACTCTTAGCCAGATGGTCGCATAGCTGAGCTGTGTCCCAGTGCGCAGGGTTCTCGTGGGATTCATTGCCGTCTTGCACGGTGGAGAGTGGGCGAGGTTTGTGTGGGACCGTATCTGCGCGGCGAAGGCGGCGTGGAGATGGGCCCTCAGCTGTCTTGATGCGTGGTTGAGCGGCGGGAGAGCTAGAGATAAAGCCATCCGGGACTGGCAGAGGGGTGGGGCGGTTCACATCTTCGCCTCCAGACGAGACGGAGGAAACAGATGAGACGGAGGAGGATGTGCGATGTCTCGGACGAGAGGGTGAGGGAGGGACGTAGTGGTGTTTTGTGGCATATGAGTGAGGGGTCGAGTTAGATCTGGATAAGAGGGCGGAGGAGGTGGTCTTGATAGCGTAAGGGTGGGCGTTAGGCGTGATGGACGTATGCTTGGATGCTATGGGCTGTGGAGAGGGAGAGTGCTGGACGTGGGGGAAGGCGGAGGGCGACGTCGGGGCTGGGGAGACAGACGAGGCCATCGTCGATGACGGTCAGGACAACGAGACGTGGGAAATAATCCTGGGCGCTCAGATTCTGAAGTGGCGGAATCGGAGGCAAACGAGTTCGGACCCCGACCCATCCACCTTCTCCTGCTCCTCCACTATAAACTCTTGCTAAAAATCCGCTTAGACAACTCAAGACGAGTGCCAGTCCTGCCAAATAACCATGGCATCAGCCACCACACCGTCGCTTGACTTTGAAATGGGCTTTCTACCTCGACACCCTCGCTCCCAGCGGACGGAGATTCCATCAGAATTTACATCCAGCCACTCATCAGACAACGTCCTCTCATACACATGATGGGTGCGATATCCGCTAAAACTCACGTACTGCTGCGCAATGCATGAACATCGCTTCGCGTGTTACCCTCTAACCGCCTGTCAATAGCATATATGTGTCGCTCGACTCTGTCCCTTGTGAGGCACAGGCGTCAATAGTACTCGTTTCTCTCGGTTTAACTCAAACTGAACTTCCCGCGGTTCTCGTGAAGGACATAGGTCATTACTGTGTACTTAGGATGGCTCAAGATAGCTCTGGCTATACAGTATGTGTAAACTAACATGATACTCCCCACACTCACTGGGCGTTCCAGGCAACGCGACTTCTGATGAAGGCCCGTGACCACATATAGTTTATCTGTTCACGCTTTGCACGCGTTGTCTCAACCCTCTCACGAGCTTACCAAATCCTCCGTGAACGGCCCGCGCTTAGACCGTAGGCTCGAGACGCGTGAATATTTCAGGTCGCAAACCAGTTCTCTCACATCGGAGACCGACGGATAACTGTGGGACACGTTCTTGGTCGAATTACAGCCCTCAGCATATCGATGCACGAGGTACTTTACAACTTTATTCTCGTCTCAGGTCTCTTCACTCGTATGTGGGGTAAAGCTTGAGAACACTGACCTTAGGTTCAGGCACTATGGTATTAGCAAGTTGACAGGTCAGGACGGAGTTTGGTGCTCCGTCAATGCTTATCCGCATACATAAGCCCGAACGTCTCCTCGGGCTAACGGTACACTCCAATCCATCAATGTGGCTCAACGTCTCAGCGTTTCTCGCACTTGCGGTCTACTCTACTGGTTCGAGCGCAGGACCAACTCCCTTCGATGCATCATCCCCTGTCGTCGATCTCGGCTATGCTCAGTACCAGGGCATATACAACACAACCTCGAACACCACGAACTTTCTAAGCGTTCGCTATGGCGCACCTCCAGTCGGTATGGCGAACCGTCTGATAATCTCCCACATCGACCGCTCATGAGTTTACTCCAGGTGATCTCCGCTTCGCAGCGCCTCAGCCGCCGTCGTACGAGCCCGGTATCCAAATGTCAACATCCTATCCGAGCATGTGCTACCAGGCAAACCAGGGCTATAACACAACTTCGCCCGTACCACCGTACGGCTTGAGCGGCCCGAGCAAGCGGGATACATCGACGATGCCTGATCAATCCGAAGACTGTCTCTTCCTGAGGTACGCTGCAGACAGTCTCTGTTTCTCCTAACTGCTAATATTGTACAATGCTAGCGTATACACCCCCGGGCAGCTTACGGACACGACGGAATCGAATGGCCTGCCTGTTATCGTCTGGATACATGGCGGAGGGTTAGCTGCACTAATACCGCTGAGAAACAGAACATCCTGACACGCGTACACAGATACGTCTTTGGATCCTCGTGGAATTACGATGGCGCAGACATCGTACAACATGCAGACTACGGTGCCGTCGTCGTAGTGCTCCAGTATCGTCTCGCAATGTTTGGTGGGCTGTCTCACAACCCACCTCCCCGCTATATTCTTACTTCCATATCTAAACAAAGGGTTCTTGGCTGGTAACGAAGTCAAGGCAGGCGGTGCACTGAATGCTGGTATACGTAAGTCGTACCTCGTTGCGGTGCGGTGACAGCTTATTTGCGTTTTCCGATCTCTCAGTGGATCAGAATTTGGTCCTCCAATGGATCCAAGAGCACGTAAGAGCTGTCTGAAAACGTATACTTTCCTTGCACTAACGCGGTATCCTAGATCTCTAAATTCAACGGAGATCCGTCACAAGTTACAATCTGGGGCGAGTCCGCAGGCGCTGGCTCTGTCATGCAGCACATCGTCGCAAACGGAGGCAACACCCAGCCTCCGCTGTTCAAGAACGGGATGACGAGCTCGACGTTTATGCCGTCGCAGTATATCTATAATGACCGTATCCCCCAGGTAAGCCGCGTTCCCGAACCTGCTATGCATACGTCTGAGATAAGGTTAGTTGTATTACAACAGAACCGTTGAGGAAGCCGGGTAAGTCGTTGACCTACCTTACATGAAAGTTCATTAATTCAGAAACCGAATAGATGCTCATCAGCCTCAGACACACTCGCATGTATCCGCGCAGTCAACTCTTCCACTATGGGCGATATCAATGCCTACCTCACAAGCACGGCGTTCTACCAGACGTACGTATTCGTCCCCGTCGTGGACGGCGAGTTTATTTTGGAGCGGTGGACCGAGACGCTTGCGAAGGGCCAAGTTAATGGTGTACGCATCCTCTCCTTTCTGACGTACACTCGATGTAGCAATATTGACGAGGCCACTGTAGGACTTTGTGCTCGCGATGGGCAACGCGCACGAAGGGAACATATTCGTTAACCCCAACGAGACGCTTGATATAGTCGACTTTGTCGCCAACGTGTTCCCGAACCTCGACTCGGCTGGCGTTCAGGAAGCTGCGTACCTATACAGGGACTTTGGAGACTCGTTGGATCAGGCGATCCAAGTCATGGGCGAAAGTCAGTAATGTCTTCCATTTTGAAGGCGAGGGCTGACTTAGACAATAACAGCCATCTTGGTGTGCCCGACGTACTTCCTCTTGGACGCGTTCCAAGGGCGTTCATGGAAAGTGAGTTGTGCCTGTGCTGAAAACAGCTTGCCGCATTAACCCGCACGAAAGGGCCTCTTCGCCGTCCCTCCGGCTCTTCACGGCTACGATACTGGCTACTACTTCAACACGTAAATCACTCATACACACCCCTGCTGAGCTGCTACTCACATCCTCTCAAGCACTCCGCCCGCATACGACAATGACGTTTTCATAACCTCCTTCTCCGATGCATTCATGTCACTCGCTATGTACGACGACGTGAACGCAAAATACGACCCGACAGACATCACGCCATACTGGAACTCGTACAACGTCGGGCAGTCGGAGATGGTGTTCAACGAGACGGAGGCGGGAGCGCCGAGCGTGACGAAGACGACCACGGATCCGACACTGCTTGAGCGATGCGCGTGAGTACTTTTATCTACAGCGCGAATAGATGGGAGTTGGAGCTGATAACTGAATGACTAGGTTTTGGAAAAGTGTGGGTGAGATGACTGGACAGTAAATAGGTTGGACTTCAATGAGTAGGAAGAGTTGCGTAGAAATGTAACCTCAGTTTGGCTTGATTGACCATCCTTATCACGTCTCGCGATTGTACGTACTAACGTCCATGTTGCTCTAGCGTACAGTCGTATATACAAGCACGACATCGTGACATTTAGATTGATAGAAAGTCCTCGTCGTCCTCCACGAGTATCTCAAGCTGCTGGAAAAACGATGCGGCGGGGAAGCCAACAACGTTTTGGAAGTCGCCATCGATCTTTCGGATGAGTAGGTTCCCGAGGCCCTGCGAGAGTTTAGCATAGGGAGAGATAAAGTGGGGTAAATGATGTACCTGCACAGCAAAACCCCCTGCTCGGTCTATACCCTCTGCACTGTCTGCGTATGCTTGCAGGAACGCCATGGGCTTGTCGGCGAAATAGACTAGCGTCCGTTCGTCGAGGGAACTAAAAAAACGTATGAGTTTCGTTTATTAGGGATGCATAGAAAGCAGACCTAATTTCATATCCAGGAGCATTCAGGATAGGGTAAACTGGTCATGTACTAGTTCAAGCGTATGCGTAGCAGCATGAAGAACCCATCGACTTACCCAGAGAGACACCGGTGACGACTTCGCAGACACCACCGTTCAGGTCTAACAACATCCGGAGATTGTCCTGTTTTGAGGAGGGCTTCTCAAGGAGCTCCTGCCGTACGCCTAGTTCCATCTCGAGCGTGGTAGATGGCATGGCGTGCGTGAACACGACAGTGTCGGCTGCAACAGGTTCATAACCATGTTAGAGTGACAAAGCAGGACAAGTACGCACCACCGATGACAAGGTCAGGAGCATTATCCGGGTCCTCTTCCTACTCAGAGATCAATTGTAATGCATGACAGATAGAATGAAACGCGACGGACCACTAGTCTCTGGTACACCTCGACTGCTTTGTGCGTAGCGGTCGCTACAGGGTACTCATGGATATCCTCGAATGAACTTAGAGAAAGGTTCTCCTCGAAGGTGGACGGAATGACTTCTGGGGCTAAGCCCTAAGTGTGATCAGAAAGAGAGAGAACACTAGCACCGGCGTGCTTACCAGGTTCTCCAGGATCTGCTGTCTCCGGGGACTGGCTGATGCGAGAACGACACGCTTTCCGATGAGCTTCAGAGTCGCTGGCGTTTTGAGTGCATGGGGAAGCACAACGTCGCGTTTCTTTTCTGACATGGCTTTAGGGACAAGAGAGAGATTCTGTTTGCGTAACCGTCCTCGAGGAGCGGCGGACTGAGCGGCCCGGTGTTTTCTCACGTGGGATGCCCCGCCGTGGGCGCTTACTAAGCAAAGCGGCAGTGACACGTCGCCTAGGTTGTCGCCGAGAAACAAGCGGCCGTCCATATTTCTGGTCTGCGCTGGCAAGCATCTCAACAACTCTCTCCTTCTCCTTCTCCTCCTCCACGTCAACCCGCTCATTGCTTGTGGCGACGGCGGGACCGTAAATATCCGCCCGCGATGGCCCAACACACAAACGGCGACTCCATCCTCTCCAAGCTTGACGCTGCCGTCCCGCTCGCCAAGTTTGACGCCTTCCCCAAGCTCCCCTCCTCCTACAAATCCCGTTCCGAGTCGCGCGGCTTCCTCACCATATTCGTCGGCTTCCTCTGCTTCTTGCTAATCTTGAATGATCTCAGCGAGTACATCTGGGGATGGCCCGACTATGAGTTTGGTGTGGATAAGCAGTCGAAAAGCTTCATGGACGTGAACGTGGATATGGTCGTCAATATGCCGTGCCAATGTACGTGTCTTCCGTATTTCAGCCTTGTACAGACCCATGAGACCATATGATAGTTCTCAGTGTGGATCTTCGGGACGTCTCGGGCGATCGTCTCTACCTCAGCAAGGGTTTCCGTCGTGACGGCGTACGTTCCGCGTAACTCCTCTTCTCACGCGACCTAAACCTATCTAGACCCTCTTTGATATCGGCCAAGCCACTTCCCTCAAGTAGGTTCCTTTCTTGCGTTCATCGCAAAAAGACCAAAATACTCATCCAATACTTGCAGAGAACACGCCAAGATGCTGTCCGCTCAGCAGGCTGTTTCCCAGTCTCGCAAGTCCCGTGGTTTCTTCTCGTGGTTCAAGCGTAGCAAGGCCGAGTTTCGCCCTACCTACAATCACCAGCCGGACGGCAGTGCATGCCGCATCTACGGTACCTTGGCAGTGAAGAAGGTTACAGGTATGTCCCTGCTTGAAGACGCATTCGCCTCTGAATCACGACGTTCCAACAGCCAACTTGCACGTCACTACCCTGGGACACGGGTACACGAGTCACATGCACGTCGACCACACCAGTGCGTATTTGGACGCATGCAGTCTGGCTCCTGCTGACAAAATCCCCACAGAGATGAACCTCTCCCATGTTATCACCGAATTCTCGTTTGGACCATACTTCCCTGACATCTCTCAGCCTCTGGACTACTCTTTTGAGGTCGCTAAAGATCGTGAGTCTACTCCCCATCTACATCTACAGAGTCTTGATCTTGTCTCTAGCATACACTGCGTTCCAATACTACATGCACGTTGTCCCTACGAACTACATTGCACCTCGCAGCAAGCCCCTGGAGACGAACCAATACAGTGTAACGCACTACACTCACATCTACAAGACTCCACACGAAGGCATCCCTGGCATTTTCTTCAAGTTCGACCTTGATCCTATGGTCCTCAGTATTCATCAGCGCACTACAAGCTTAACTGCGCTTATCATCAGGTACGCTCCCGTTTGAATTCCTCTAGCCATGCTAACACAAGTAAAGGTGTGTTGGTGTCATCGGTGGCGTCTTCACTTGCGCAACCTACTTCGTTCGCGCCTCCATGCGTGCCGTCGACGTCGTCACCGGGGCTGACCAGGCCCAAGGCCTAGTTGCCGCCGAGTCGACAGGCGTCCGGCGCAAGTGGGCTGGCGGCCATCTGCGCGCTCGCTCAGGTATGGGTTCCCAGACGCTGTCTCAGCGTGTCGTGCGCCAAGGTACTGGCTGGGTTGTCGAAGGTCAGGGCAATTCTCCGTATGCGAGCTACGCGGGCACACCCGTTGCGGGTGTCGGCAGCGGATACCCTGCCTCGCCGTACTCGCCATACCTCGCGCCCGGAACGCCTGCGGGTCCGCCACCGGGCACTCCGGGTGGGCAGAGCAATGTCGGCCTGGGCTTCGGTCCGCCGCCAAGGAGCGCGCACGGGACCAACGGGTCGTTCTCGAGTCTTGCTCCGCCCACGCCGGGGTCGAGGCCGCCGTCGATGCTAAGGCCGTCGAGCACCGGGAGCGCGAGCTCGGGCCCATCGAGTCCTGTGCCGCCGCCGTCTGCGGGTTGGGTACCTGGTAAAAAGGATGATTAGAACATGGGTTATATGGCTATGTTATAGCTTTCTGGTGGCTTAGTTTAGTTAGCGTGTTCTGAATGCGCCGGGAAAAGCTCTGGTTTTCATATCATATGTGTATACAACGCTATTTAACGTCCGACGGGTGAAGTCACTAGTGAGGCATCTTCCGATCGATCCCCTGCCCCTACTTTCCTCAGTCTCGGGAGTGGCCCGCCTCTACTTGCTACTTGAGGCATCCTGGCGCTGGAGAGCCACATGGTCATCCTTGCAACACGAACCGTTGATGCATCGATAACCGTCATCACCGACATTGTCGATGGATGATGTTATCCGTCCTATGATGTAATTGGCTGAAGTCCTCCGCCACCCGCCTCTCCTAGCATTTTAGGCCTTGTGACCCCGACGTGACGTCTTAGACCATCTACATCATCTGGTGCGTTCTTTGGCTGTCTTCTGTTTCTCGACATTCACCGCCCCCAAATACGCAGACATCCTCTACTGAAGACTGCATAATGCCGAAGACCGCCGAGACCGCGACCTTCCAGTTCAACCACACGATGATCCGTGTCCGGGATCCCAAGTCGTCGCTCCAGTTCTACACTGACGTACGTGGACGAACCTTGATTCTCCCAAACATTCTCTCTGAACTAAGATCGTCAAGGTTCTTGGGATGGATCTCTTGAACGGTACGCCTCGTCTCACTACCACCGTCTTAGACTCGCTTGGCTAAAGGCACGCAGAGCACAACGCAGGCGACTTCACGCTCTACTTCCTCGGCTACGGTGGCGAGGAGATCACCAAGATGGAAAGCGGAGCTGAAAAGATGAACGCCATATTCAATCGTCAAGGTATGTACGCCTCCCCCTTGTCTTATTCATGGACGTTCTGCGCGTCAACGCAGCGGCCTCTCGCTGACTCGTCACTCCCAAAGCCGTTCTTGAGCTCACCCACAACCACGGCACCGAGTCTGATCCAGACTTCAAGGGCTACGCGAGCGGGAACACGGATCCTGGAAAGGGCTTCGGTCACCTTGCGATTACCGTGAGCGATATGGACGCCGCATGCAAGCGCTTCGATGAGCTGGGCGTGCAGTACAAGAAGCGGTTGACGGACGGGAAGATGAAGAATATCGCATTTATTCTGGATCCCGATGGGTGAGGTCTCAGTCTGTCCCAAGCGATTTGTACTAACGTGGGATGCTCGATGAATAGGTATTGGATTGAGATTGTACCAAAGGTTATGAAGCTCTAAAGCAAATTGGGTATGATAACGTCAAAAAAGTGACACCGAGATGCGTTCAAACTGTTTCTCAGTGAGCTTTACAATCAGTGTATGATATAGCTTCAGGTCCTCCTAGCATGATAGCAAGCAGAAGAAGCTGTTACTTGCGCTGAAGTCCAGCAGTGGCTTGGCTCGCGCGGCGCTTGTTCTTCTCCGTGATCTCTGGGTTTAAGTTCTCTTCAGCCGGTATATTCTCCGCCACACCAATAGCAGCGTCCGCGAGGCGCAGTGCCTTTTGGTAATGCTCGAGCTTCAGAGCCATCTGTGATGCATTCCCGAGAGCGATGACAAGCTGCTTTCTTGCCCCACGCGCTTCTGCCATATACCTCCCCTCCGTGTGTTCATCGAGTGCAACCACAGCGGCGGCTAGCTCGGCTGCACTCATGAAGATCACACACGCGTAGTTCTTGGTGTCCTCTGCGTAATCGCGACCTGTATCCAGCCTCTCGAGGATACGCACCTGAGATATCTCGATAGCCCGACGGATGACATCCGGATGCGTGATCACTTGGATTTGCGCGAGTGAAGTCGACGACGAGAGTCCGATCGGCGCCTTCCGAAGTGTCTGTATGCTGTCAAGCGCCTTTCGCTGCGCCAGAACCACAAACAGTCGAATGAGCGCGATAGGTCCAAGGACGCATTGCGGTGCGACAACGAATGGTGAGTCGACAGAGTCAGGTTGGTCCATACAGGCTGAGCCTATGGGCATCTGATATACGTCTTCTTCGTACTCAAAGGTACCTATTGCTTCAACCGCGCTGGAACAATCCTTGATGTCCTTTCCTCCTTTGCGGCAGCCAAAGTAGGCGATATGCAGAAAGGACTCGATCTGAGCATTTGTGATACCGCACGGATCTGCTGCGTGTGTAAACGTAGCAATCAGCCTTAGCACGGAAGCCCGGCAAACGGCTGTGAACAATCCGTTGTTATGACAATTAATTTGACCAACCGAGTCATAATGCTTGAAACTTACCACGGCTTCTGAAAAACTTCTTAAAACCCTCCATGTACGGTGAATCAGGATCACGTCCGTTATCCTTTGAGCTGTTTAGATATCTATGCGATCGTGAGCCACCGTGTTGCAGCTGGTAAAACCCTAGGAGGCCAACCTTTGAGCATGTATCAAGTCCTCTTCCTGAAGACGCATCCACACCTCGATGAGCTTGTCCGACCATTCCGGACGAGATGTCAAGACAGACATGGACTGAGACATTATCTTCCGCTCGGATGTAGACATCCCGACCGTCGCAGGACTCCCAGGGACAGTGTGGCAGGGCCATTGGAACAGCGCTATTAGCGCCTCAAGTGATGTCGCCTTCATTTGAGACTCCGGGTAGGCCGTGGGTCGGTTGATGGTTGCGCAGTACAGCAGAAGGTCCAATATATGAGGACGTTCCTTTAAGGCGGCAAGGCAAAAGTCCTGTGATCGGGAAGGAAACGTGCAGAGGATACCATGTGCCGTGTATACCGCAAGATCTTGAGCCATAGCATAGTACTTAGGCACAAACCTGATGATTTCCTCCTGACCACCCTATGACGAGAGCGTTAGCCTGAGCAGAGCACTGTTACCGAGAGCTTACATCTATGTCTTCCGAAAACAGCTCGCTCTGCCAGGCAGTTGCAGAGTCATTCAGCTGATCAACGACATGTTTTGGCCCGCGCAGTGCGTAAGTGCAAACAGACTCGACTATGTGGGCTGCGGTGGAGGAAGAGATGTACAGTCCGAGGAAGCTGTGACTGAGCCCGTGCAACGCAGAGATAGCAGCCTGACGCATGATGCATAGCCTGTGTTTCAAGTACTAGTATGCCCTGAAAGCGTTAGAGAATGATCCAATGCAAGAATGAAAAACGCGACTTACACGTATGCAGATCTCAACCACACCTTCTTTCAATAATGCCTCCACCAGAGACTGCTGTTCGGAGACATTTCCTGTCCGTAACAGCATGCAAAGGCCCTGCAATGCTCTGTACTGGGAGATGTACCTTTCTTTGCGAACTTGATCTCCGGACCAGTCTTGTTGCATGAGCTTTATCATCGTGGGGACTAGTCCTGCGTTCAAACAAGCATTCGCAAATGAACTAAAACCCCCAACTGGTTCGAGCCCGGGATATGATTTCGAGTTTGCCATCTCTGTTGAGAACTGCTCGTTTATGGCGGTCTGGGTTGGTATGAGGCAGGCAACCATGTCAACCTATCATGTGTTTAGCGGCACTCACCACGTATTGCTTAACAAATACCGCATCCTCACGAGGGCTAACCATCCGAGCAAAGACAGTTCTCAGGTTCTCGGACCGCTGAGGTTCGGGCAGGTACAAAGCTGCTTGAACACCTTGTGCGTGTATCCTGTCCATGACCGGAGAGAAACCGAGTGGTCCTGCGTACATAGTGAAGGTTCCAGTGGGATTTCAGTCGCCCGGAGGAGAAGCTGTATGCAACGGCAGACACGTTACTCATATGTTCAACATCGGCTTTTGCTTGCTTATGTTTGGCAATGATCTGAGGGTTAGGGTTAGTCAAGGGTTCCAAGTTCCAACGTCGATGGACTTACGAGCTGGAGCGTTCCAAAAGACATGTATTGTATCTTCTTGTATCCATTCATCATGCAAGTTCACTCATAAGATTGTTTCATTTTCTCTTGAAATCGCTGGGACACTGGAGCGTCTAGTGATATTTGGCCCTATTAGGTTACCCAGCGCTGCCAATCATGTGCAAATAAGTGCCCTAGCCTCTGTCGCAAACCTGATCCTTCAGGTTTGGCTTTGCCTGCGTTAATGTCTCGACTGCGTGGAATTTCACTCACGCCAAATAACGATGAAATACTTCCTCTAGCAGTAACCAGCTCAAACTTGACCCTGGAGGTCTGATGTCGTGGTGACACTCCATGACGTCGAGTCCTGACAATGTTCTCGCCTGCCAACGGGAATCCTCGGACCTTCTCCTGTGTTGTTCACTAGCGCTTGACCTCTTAGCGACAGCGACTACTGTGCTCTCTGCGTGCTGAAACATTACGTCGCTACTCTCAGACTTATACTCAATCCAAACTGTGCCTGGGCATCATACTTCTGCGCGCTCAGCCTGTTCGAAACCCCTGATCACGGAGATATAAAAGCCTTCGTGGTTTTGCTGTGGAACGACATCACGACTCACTTTCAATACAACTCAACAGCACATTGCTTATAACACTCTAAAAGATCTCCGATGATGTTATTCAGCCCTGCTACGATCGCCCTCGCCCTCGCCCTTTCCTCTGTTGCTCAGGGTGCTGCGCTCGCCGTCCGTGGCGGTGGTGACTGCAAGGCATCTTGAGGTGGCAGCGTAACCAACCTGCAAGTAATACCGTTTCATAGAACTTATCTTCGAGACGTCTGACACGAAATCGGTTTATCCAACAGTATTTACGCGGCGACGAGGCCTCTTACTGGTATGCATGGCCTCGTGCTGGCCTTGTATTGTGTTCCTAAACATCGCTTTTCTCAGGGGCTCCGTCTGGCAGGCCAAGGAGTGGAGCTATAACAATCCTCCTGGTAGTAAGTTGCCACACCTGTGCCCTCTGTGGCGACGTTACTAATGTTACTTAATAGATGTCGCTAACCAATGGATCAATGTTGGCTCCTGCGATGGAATCAACAACAGCAATGGTGCTGGCAGCCCTGATGGAGGTCAAAGCTGGAATAAGGCGAGAGGCGGCGACAACAATGACACGAAGGGTACAGGTGAGGACAACGACAGCAAGGACAATGACTGGAACAACGTCAATGATTGCGACTGCTCTGACACTAACTCCTGGTCGAAATCCGCACAGGTTCGCACCCACATCCTTCTCATCACCGCTTCTTAACATCCTACGGTTGACACCTACTTATCTTTCATTACCCCGGCGGAAGCTCCGTCACCTACAAGTAAGTCTATCGTGCATCTTACTTGAATCATTATTTAACCTTTTCTATAGTGGTAATCTCTGGATCGCGAACTGGCGGGTAACTAGTAACTGCCCCGGTGGTAAGTCGAGTGCTCTCTCGTGTCCTAACTCTCCGATGTCTATTCAGATATGTCGAGTTCTTGAACTAACAAGGGCGCATGCAACAAGTGGTAAAAACGCTCCGATACGAATTCATCACGGACAGTTATCTGTGAGATTGAACTCGTCTCGGAACTAGATACCACTATCTTTTTTCCATAGTTTTCTAAAACCAATGTATTCAACTAAGCAGCTTCGATGGTTATTTCCTCTGTTTGTTCGTCACCACCGCACATGTGTGTTCCTGCTTTGCCTTGTTGTTCTTTGAAATACTCTTCCGTCGAACAGAGTCGATTTTCTGCAAGGTTGTTTGTACGAACACGATTGGGGTGACTGAAGTATGTCAGATTTCCATCTTTGCATTATTATCGGTGCTGCAGGTATTGCGCAAGCGAAATATCGCCACTTGTTGTACATGTGAACGTATGACGTCATGTGTATAACCACCGAGCTTCCGGATGAAGTGCAGACGTCCAACTACAGTACCTTCTGTGGGAGGAGTGCGGAAGGGCGGGACGGAGGGAAGCTTCGGACGATCATCTGACACCTGCCCTGAAGACGGCGTTTCCGTCAGCTGGTCCGTGGCGGATACCATATCTTTATGAGCAACGTCCAACGCCTTCTCTCGACCACTCGGGCCTCCAAGCTTCTCTATCCATCTGCAGTGTCTTTCAGACAACGTCCTTTCAGCACTACCTATCAAGCAAAGATGCCGAGAACAGCAGAGACCGCCAGTTTCAAGGTGCGTTTGCGAGTTCGGGTTATTGACTGTGTCGATGGTTCATTCTCGGTGTAGTTCAATCACACGATGATTCGTGTCAAGGACCCGAAGAAATCTCTTGCATTCTACCAAGACGTAAGTCTGACCTTTCTCGGATGCAATTAGTATCATACTGACTGCGTGCGGAATGGGTAATAGGTCATCGGAATGGATCTTATCTCCCGTTCGTTCGTCACTAAGAGACTGATACGAGCATATGTAAGCTGACATATATAACAGAGAAGGAAATGAGTGACTTCACCCTCTACTTTCTCGCATTCGACCACGATGGGATAAGTCAAAAGAGTCCCGAAGAACGGGACAAGCTTCGTTTTAATCGCGAAGGTACGTCTCCGTTTTTACATGCATGTATGCATAATAAACCTCGCACAGGCGTCCTTGAGCTGACACACAATCACGGCACCGAGTCCGACCCAAACTTTGCAGGCTACGCTAGTGGTAACACCGAGCCCGGTAAAGGCTTTGGTCACATCGCCATCACAGTCGATGACATCGAGGCTGCCTGCGCACGGTTTGAGGAGCTCGGCGTTCCGTTCAAGAAGCGTCTGACAGATGGAAGAATGAAGAACATTGCTTTCATCTTGGATCCTGATGGGTAGGCGGTGCAAACATTCATAAGTGATTCATCATGTCGCTGACATTCTGGATGAACAGCTACTGGATCGAAGTCGTCCCTGGAGCTATAAAGCTGTGACTCCCAGAGGGATCCCGTTTATAACAGTAAAACTATGACTGCGCTTGTACCCAACCCGACGTTGTATTATGTTTTCATCAGTCAATAGTGTATATATGCGTAGCTGGATTTTCAGAGCCTTCATGCTATATGTCATTGCATGAACCTGGAAGCATTCTTATTTTCTGAACGAGAACTTGATCATCTCATACTAAGTATCTGGGAACATTATAGATTCCTCGACATGATATAATATATAGTATTGTCGGGATAAAGAAAGATAGCCTTCACATAGTAACCTACTCAGCCTCCGTCATCCTCACCCACATCCCTCCCTAGCGTATCCCATCACCGCCTTTAATAAACACAACACACGCGGACGAAAATGAAGCAAAACGCACCTTGGCAAACAGCGTCAAACGTGTGGCTGGCTGAAACTTCTCAATGGGCGCGCGTCCAAGGCCATTCTTCCAATGCGCGGGAGGGTGGGCATCGGGATGGAGTGCGTCGGACGCGAGGTCGATGCGCGAGAAGTTTTGAAGGAGGCGAATGAGCATGAAGGACATTTCGTTGTATGCGAACTGCGCCAAGGGGTACGATGGGTGAGCATTGACAGCACGAAGTGAAGAAACGAAAGGGTATAAATATACCTGCTGGCCGAGACAGATACGCGGGCCAGCGTTGAATGGAAGGAAGATGAACGGGTTAGGTACAAGATACTTGTGGAGACGCTCGTCCAGGAAGCGGTCGGGATCGAATTCGTCAGCTGAAATAGAGTGTGAGCTTACGACTTGAAAGTGAGTGATAAAAAGCGCACCATCGGGCCCCCATAAGTCCTTACGGCGGTGCATCATCATCACGGAATACATGACCCTATGAAAGAGTGAGGATGCATCACCTAGAAGCCAAGACTACAAACATACATAGTATTCCGAGGGACGAATATGGGCTTTTCACCGGGTTCAGGAGACGGAAGAGTAGTATCCTTGGTGGTTTGGCTAAGTGAAACTGTATAAATAGAACGCACACGTGCGAAAACAGACGTCTCGTACCGGGCATTGAACGGCCTACAGCATAATAACATAGTCAGTAGAGCTCACAACAGGCACAGGAAGAAAATTACACCGCAGGGAATAGTCTGAGCGTTTCTACATATACACGATAGAAGTCAGTGATTAGATCGAGACGAGATGGACCCATGTACCAACCATTGAGAATAGCCCGAAGGTATTTCATGTCTCGAATGTCGTCATATGTGGGGCGACGGGAGGAGCCGACTCTGGTCAGCACCTCCTCACGCAGGCGATCCATGACGTGCGGGTACATCGCCATGAAATAGATGGCAGAGGTAAGAGTGGAAGCTGTCTAGGCGCCATTCAGTACTAGGAATTCCTGGTGGAATAACGCAGAAAGCTCACCGTATCTCGCCCCGCAATCATGATGTTCAAGACCTCGTCTCTGAGTACGACTCGGTCTTATCCCGATCACGTCAATGGCATACGGTCGCAACACCGAAGAAACACGCACCAGTGGTGAGCCTGACTAAGTGATCCAACAACGTATCCCCTTCCTGCACTTCCATCTTCTCCGTACTGCCGCGCTTACCGGCATCGCCCTCCGTCTCCCGCTTTGCGATAGCCTCAGCCACAATCGGCTCCAAGAACTCGTGTACGATCTTCATCGGCTCATCCGTCTTGTCCTCCAGCATCTCGAACAGCGGCCATGTCCCGCCAAAGGCCATCCTCTTCGAGAGCGCGAGTTGTGCCTGTCCAAATGCCTCCGAAAACAGCTCCGTTCCGCGGCCCTGCTTGCGATCTTCCTGCTCCTCGGCAGTGAGGTTCGCATTGAACGGGTAGGAAAGGGACGTTTGAAGGGTATGAGAACAGTCACCGAAGAGAAATTCGGTGGCAGAGTCAAGTGTGAAGCGCGAGATGAGGTCCTGGAAGTCGATAGGATGGCCTTCGCGTAGCCGGTCCTTGGCGATGCGGATGGCAGTTTCAGCGTGAGCATCGAAAATATCGAAGTGCCCAATGCGGTCATGCGTGAAGAACGGGCGCGTCATTGAGCGGTGAAGCCTGGAGGGGGAAAACAAGGTTAAGATGCGATGATGAAGGCGGTGGCCTTCTGAACCTACTTCCACAAGTCACCTGTGTAAGATTCATGAGTATTCAAAAGGTTGGGCATCATGATCACACTTCTCACCGTCAGAGTTGAACACGCCAGAACCGAGGACTGATTTTATCGTTTTGTCGAGCTGTTCACCTGTGACGTCAAGTCAGTACTTTGACCCGGAGGAGGACGCGAGGATACGCACCCTTTACCCAGTTAGCAAAATCAGTCGCGAGCATCGTCTACAAAGTGTGCGTAAGCCGCAGGTGATACCGTGGACAGTAGATAAGAATGTGATGCCCACCTTGACATGGCTTGGCTCAGAGGTCAAGATAACGTCGTCCCATAGAAAGCGCAAATTGAAGATTTTCCCGAGTTGTTTGCTCAGCTCCTCAGGATACGAGCCTTTTGTCCCGATAAGTACAAAAGGCTGAAGAGATGAAAGAGCAAGGTAGAACGTACACATGTAATCTTCTTCGGCTTTCTGCAGGAACTTCCTCAAGATGTCCACGTTCCCAATCCATCTCCCCTTCACGCATGGCACCAAACGCGCTCCCAGCGCCTCCGCTCGGCGACGCTGCAAGAACCTGTCGAATGAAACCTTGAGGAAGAAGGCTAGCGGCACTGCGGCTGCGAGGAGAGCGCAAGTCTGCCATGTGGGAAGGATGCTGAGCGCGCCGAACCGATATGCGACGAGAACGAGGGCTGTGGCAGGCGCGACGACGGCAACAAGCAACTGGGCGATGTATTGCAGGCCTGGGGTGAGCTTCATCATGAGTGCTAGTGAACGTTTGACCTGTGCTGTGAATGCAGAGACCAAGAGAGTCCTATATTATTATACAGCGTCCCGTCATCGCAGACGCGCAGTCAGGAACGGTCGGACGTCGCGATTGGCGGACTGCGGTGCGACCTGCTGATGGCAACACGGAGAACGCGGAGGGACATGTGGGCCTAGTGCGGATAGACTTTCGGAAACGTACTGAATAGGGGTATTTTCCCTTTTAGGTCCATTCCTTCCCCCGCTTAGCTTTTAGTATTGAAGCGGTCTCGTACTAAGCGTGTGGCTTGCAAAGGACTGTGAAAAGCCTGCTAAGACGTTATATACCTAAGGGTTCTAAAACGAGTCCCGTCGCTCAGAGGCACGAGGAGAATTTCGAGGGAAGAATGAGAAAACGCCAGGCGCGAGAAAAGTCAATGTGATCTAGACAGATCTAGAGCACGACTAGTGCAGCGAGTGCGCTAGCAAAGAACAGAAACAGTGGATCGAGGCAAATCATCAGTAATTCGGCACGATATACATTCGCTGCAATGTAGTGTGCCCTCGCTTTACCTCGCCTATCATGATCCACAGCTTCTCGAGTCACCATATGTATTAGCTAATAGCTCAGTACGACTGCAAAATGTCGTCTTCAACACCTCCTTTGTCTCTTGTTATATCGGGATTTCATAAATCTCAACTTTGGAGATTCACGGCGGGTGCATGGGAAAAGAACAAGGTCCGCAGCTTCAAGTTATGGCCAACGGTCACTGACTTGAACTGCGTTTCGAAGTCGCCTGTATCTGGTTATCATGGCGGTTCACTATTGTGCCAGTGCTAGACAAAGTTTATTGAGGAAGGCTACTGTGGTACAAGGGGTGATACATTGGTATATAAACAACAGAAATCGTGCTAGTAAAAAAGTGGCTTGTTTGGCTACTAAACATCAAAGCAGCTCTTGTTGAATCGTAGCGAGCTTGCTACAGTATCGTCTTTGTCATGCGATGACAATCGGTGTGTACGTGAGCAATGGAGCTGTATGCGTGTAGCAAGAACTGTATGAAAGGTAGTTTGATATCTTCAGAAGAATACTTTATATCAGGTATGCTCTTCGCAAGGGACCAAATGCAAACGACTGACGTGCTGAGAAAGTCTGAATAACTTCCATATTCACCACTTATAAGTCAAGGTAGTCCTGGCAAGACTAATGTATATCTTACGAAAAGTTTGATCACTGTTATCAAGCTCGCAATTGAAAACACTGATTCAAAGCGTCAAGGTTCGTCCAATGTTCAAAACGGGCAAACACTCACAAAGTATGCAGATACAGTACAACGTGTTCTCGTAAATCAATGTCTTGACTATTTCTGGACTCGGTTGGTTGTGAACCTGGACAACTCGTATTAAAAGCATAACAAGAATCACTGTAAAGCCGATTTCTTTGAGTTATAGCAAGCGTTAAAACTACCATCCCAACCTGATTCGACAATTATGAGGATAGAATATGCTCCACATATCACAGTTGATGCATCATACCTAACGCACCCAATTATTTCTGGTACGGAAGATACGATGACTGGTTATATCAGATGTCATTGTCACAACACGCTGACGTGAGCTACGGATAACTCACATTCCTCGGTGGGGACAAAGAGAATGAGGATGGCTATGACCGAGACAGATGCTGACTACAAGTATGAGCTGTGCGTTCCACAAGCGCTACATTTTGAAGAACGTACTATAGCGAGCGATCCAAGTACAAAAAATGCAACCTTGCCACAGTTCCAGAGAATGTATGTTCTGAGCATAAACAGATCTGGTGAAACGCGTCTGAGTTTTTAATTCAATGGTATAGTCGCTCTTTGGTTACATTCGGACACGGCGACCTCTGCGACCTGAAATACTACAGTCATCATGTCAGATACTGGTCAGTCCCCACGCAGCGTGACCTACCCGTGACAGCAGACATGATAGATGAACATACCTGCAATTCATTAACGGTCGTCAGCAACGCTCTGTTTTACCTATTTTGACTCACATCGCTGCTGGATATCGGAGCAAACTGGGCTTCAAAGTACGTATTCAGGAAGGCCGTCAGTCACAAATAAAACTACACGCACTTGAAAGAGCCAGAGGAAGGGAAATGACTGGGAGGTAGCGGGTAAAAACAAACAGCAATTTTCCGAGGCCAAATTCATGCGACATCCACAAATACTCAATCTTAATAGTGGAAAGTAAGGCGAATGCGCGGATTAAAGAGTAAAGCTACACCTTACCTCTTCAGAGACGTTGATCAAAAGGTCATAGACCTACATGGAAGTAGGATGAGCAAGCCGTCTTATACGATATATTTCGTAATCACAAAAATAACGGTAACGGAGACTGAAATTCACTATGAGGTCCAGATCGGGGTCACATCAAGAGGGCTACAACTCACCGTCCAAATACTAAGATGCGTGTACCATGGGCATGTTTAGCTTCTGTGCTTTTTTTTAATTACGAGGACGCACGTTCAAGGTTTGCTCGCCTGTCGCAGCTTGATGTAGCTGCTCCATGAGGGTTGGATGATAATGGCGTGAAGTTCCTGCTATCGTGCTCAATTGCAAAGTCTCCTAAATGCTGAAAATTTGGCTACCTCGCGATAGATTGGTGAGAGCCCAGACATCATACACTGGGGCGCGCACCAAGATTAGCCCGACTCTTCTATTTGGAGTGGGGGAAACAACGGGAAAAATCTGTATGTCCTGGTGCGCCTTTAAGCTTTGCATTGATGGCTTCTAAAAATAGGTTTACTTAAATCAGTGCGCTTTGATCCAATGACATATCGCGAAGCAACCGCACCAGCATAGCCGACAGCTGATCAGAGCAGACAGGCCAATTCCGCGACATTGTCACTGTGGGCACCCATCCGCGGACATCTATCCCATGGCTATGTATTGCTGGTACTGACACGCCATCATATGTTTGAAACAGGTGCGCAAGCACTAGCACGTCATCCAGTACTACACCGATTATCTTGTCGTATCCGCGCCAAGTACGGGGCCAAATCCGATTCTGGAGGAAGTTGGAGATATCGACGTTGCTCCTGTGATGGCGGCCGGAAAACATGCATTAAGTAGCGGAATATACCGGTGCTGGCTTGTCCAAACCAAATGACTTATACTGTGACTGTATTGATCCTCCCGCGCCACGTCTGATAAGTTTGTGGCAGGGACCTATTGGCATACCTACATCGCGCGGTCTGCATTGCACTCAAGTCCCGGACGCATACATTTGATGTGTTCTGCGATGCAACAACTTTAGCACACCTATACTATAGTGTGTGTTCTTTATCGCGTCTACCAGCTCATTGGCGCACAGATTTGGCGCTCCTCGTGGTACCCCTACACGAGGACACGTACATCTATTGTGCTCCTCGAGTCGCCGTCTGAGACCCTCACATGCACGACTGGTACTGTTGATTTCTAGGTTGTTGTCAAACAGTTGGCGCACAAACTTTAGTTTTTGCAACCTATATAAAGCGGTTCTCATAGCATACTCGGCAGTTCTTAGAGCATCTTCGGCGCTGAAATTAGCGACCCCTTTGGTGCTGCGCTCAGCGACTCATTCGGCACCGTATTTTATGCCGCAACATTGCCATATTCAGCGCATGATAAAAATCCCGAGCACTCAGTGACACAACTGAGATACAACGAAAGTGTTGCATATGGTGCCGAACACAGTGACCAATACGACTATACACGGTGCCGAGGGCAGAGCCACGTGCAATAGCAAAGCACTGTGTAGTGGCATAGTTACCAAATAGTTACAATATTCCTTATCATCTTCAGCAGAGCCTAGCGTGATGTTTACATCATGGTATTCCATGGAAACATTGCTGCAATCTATGGGTCCATTATGGGCGAACACTATTAAATCTGCTCTAGAGCTTGAACGTGAATAATGTAACTGATGTGTGCGAAGACTGTGAAACTGGAAGCATGATGTGATGACTATCTGAAGATTTACTTACTGTCTGTAATGCCATGAGAGAAGGGAAAGTCCGGTGTCCCATCTGTGAGATCGACAACTCAAACAGTACCGCGAGTAATTCTGTAACTATGAGAGAGAAACCATACGCACTTGCGTAGTAGCTGCAACGGAAACCAACGCTGTGACTTGTCTCAGTAGGTTTGTACGGTGAGTCATCCTTATCAGTCTTCGGGACAACGGACGCTGATACCATGATAGACCCTAATGCAGTGATTAGATTCCCTGGAAAATCCTAGCCTATCGGAGGGGATCTGCTTGGCTTGCCGTTTGGCCTGTATATCAATATGCATGAGCCTGCAATCCACAGCAAGACACTGAGTATACCATGAAGTTCCCACGGTTCTCACGCTTGTTGGCATCGTTTTCGACGATGTCAGGCGTTCATGTAAGTAGCCACCCAGCCCTCATGTCCTCCCAAGACTCTTCAGAACAGGGCCCGGTGTGGCTATCCCGAGTAGAAAGGGCGGGATAGGGGGAATTTCCTCTTCAGTCCATCTCCACACCGAATTCTTGGCCAGATTCTTGCCTCGAAGTTTAAGCCATCTTGTAATCAGCCCATCGTTTCCCATGGAGCTGTTTCATTGTTTGTCCATTTCAAAGGCAGATCGACAAGCCACTCCGGGAAAGGATGCAAGGAGAACTGCCGCGACAATTGTACATGTGTTCTAGACATCGGCACTGCATAACGTACAACTCGATTATAATCTGTGTTCCTCTGCATAAGAATGCACTAAACAGTACTGCCAGTGTTCACTACGTTCTATACACTCGTGGAGATCTCTTCTTCTTGGAATAATCCTCTCAGCTACCTCAGTTGCTACTTCCCGGTTACATCTGCTCATCGTGGGCAAACATAACTGTTGTTATTCTCGAGTTTGAATACTGGTGGGATAGTTGATGGGTACGAATCATATGAAGCTGGAAACGGGATGCAATGACTGTGTGGAAAGCTGCTTGATACCTGTGTCACAACGAGGGAGGGGTGCTGTGATTCAGAACCAAATTGCGCACGTGAATGAAAGCACTCACGCGTTGAGTAAGTCTAGATAGCTTCCCTGTTCGCATTATGAGTATGTGCACTACCGAGTGAAATAGTAAGGTAGGTAACAAACGGGTAATAGCCAAACAAGCTCGTTTGCGACTGATAACACTTTGCTCTCTCATGAATGCTAGAATGGGGACGATGTAAAATATACCACTTACGGAACATGCAGAGACCGTACACTATCCCGTCACGTATCATTGTTGCGAGTATTCCCGATTTTGCTTTCCGAGAGCTCTTTTTGATGCGAGCAATGGTCAGGATGAGTAGTGCTGTCACTTATGTGGTGAGTTCTCATCTTAGAGGACGTATGAAAGTACTGACCCAACTCAATCACAATCACGATGGCGTACACGATACACACTACTGATGAAGCCCCAATCTTGATGCATCCGGGCATTACGGATGTACCAAATTGAGCAACTAACAAGATCGGCCTTGTTAGCTCACCGGGGATAATGACATTCGTCTTCTACTCACACTCTACGCTTGGCATGATTAGCATTAGCAGGGCGAGGGCCGTGATAAATGATGCCTGGGATTATAGCATCAGTTATGCGGTGTTATATGACTTCGCCATTGACACCCGTGACTTACAGAAATTAGACCACTCAATGCGACAAGAATTGCCTTGCTACCATTCCACATGATGTATGCTCGCAATGCAAACATGGCTGAATATAAGCTTGAGTTCACAATTAGTCGGGAGAATGAATATTTGGAAACACTACCATCGCATGCCGTTATTTCAATAGTATCCAGGACTGTACATAGCATCAATGCAAGATTTCATCTCAAGAAAATACATCTCACCAGCAATCATGTACTCGATAGACCTGCATTTCTGACAAAAGCCTCAGTTGTAAGAAATACCGGTTAGCCCAGTTAAGGACTCACGTCATCCGTTGGATCAAGCAGGAACTGCGCTGATCGAAAGAAACAATAAACCTCTGACAATCTTACGATATAGTGCCGACTTACACGTCAAGACCAAAGACATAGTCGCAAAGGGCAGATAACGAGTTATAGCGAATAAGATTCGTCCAGGCCCAATCTGCTTCCTTGACCAGAGGTAATCGATCTGGGTTCCGGTAAGCGTACTTAATATATACTAAAGTATGACCGATACCTCGTCTGGGAGAGTAATAAAATAGTCGTAAACCTAGATTATACGAATAAATTTGTCACAGCTTAAGAAGACGATCGTACGAACTTGAACAGCGACAATCGAAGCTGACGATATCCCATCAGACTTGTGTACATGCTTGAATAAGAGGCAAGGCAACTGACCATCAAGGTACTGAGAATCGCAAGAAGGGCGTGAAATCATCTACAATGAATGGTAAGAAGTGACGACGCACGCTAGTCTTTCGCATCCCTGACGCCAGGAGGAGGAATCCATTCATTGCTCCTGCTCCTATAAACGGTAGATTCTTCGTCTTACAAGGGATCTGGAAATAACATTGACAGGTCCTCGCGATGATGAGAGGGTTTTTATATAAAGTCCTCGGGCCGGTCGCCGATATCTAGATTCGGTTCTTATCCAAAAAATGGATGATGAGCGATGTCTTGCTGACAATGGCTATGGCCAAGAGGATTGGGATAAGGAACCTACATTATTGTCGGAATATGAGAAGGGACAACAGTGTTCCGCATCGACGAGCTGGAGCGCATGCGCCTACCGGTGGGTTGCAGGTATGAGCTGGAGACACTGATTATTGTAACCATACTCGATCGGCATCTACATACATCGAATGGTAAAATACCTACATGTATGGTTCAGTTGGTTATGCATGATAAACGTTGGACGCTGGACGTCGCACTATGGCAGTGATTGACGGTGGCATATCACAACGGCCATCCGAGTCCTTGAAACGAACTTGAAACAGTTATTTATACCTTCGGCTCTGATGAGGCCCCAATCCTGTGTCACAAACCAGAGCCTTATACAGTATTAGACATGGGTATTTACTCACGAGGTAATGTTTTGTGCACCCCATGCCTGAGCGGCTGGGTGGCCTTAGCAAGTTAGTCTAGGGGAGGGGGCGCGTTGGGAATGACTTGCAGGGCTTGTCCTACGCGAGGGCCACTGGGAATATTCCCACGATTCTCACGCTCATTGGCACGGCTCTCGACTTGCTCTCGACACCATCCCTTTAATCCTTTTACGTTGTCAGCTTAGTCCAATGTCATCCCAAGACTCTTCAGAACAAGTTGAACGAGTACTGGAAGAACCCCTTCCCCTTCCCTTAACTTCGCGCATCCGACCTCTTCGTAGTGCTACTTCAAGCAGAGGTAGTTCCCGGGCCTCCAGCGTGCGGCGCGCCGACGCAGGAGTCGGGTCACCCGAACCACCATCGAGGCGCATAAAGAGGACAATTGATCAAGTGGAAAGTGATGTCGCTGGGTCTTCTGGACTGGTCAACTCGGACTTTCATGAACACGGAAGGCCAAGCCCCAAATACCGTCGCCTTGGTTCAACCAGCAGCGGGAGCGTCACCGAGGACGATCAGCTGGACGAAGAGTCGTATGCCCCTATACCAACTGTATCTCGGGTTCTGGCCGTAAACGAGGCTCCGGGGGAAGGGTTTACACAAGAGGTTGAGCCGGTGGACGGTGCCGAAGGCGAGGGTGAAGCTGAGTGTCCACCTCTCACCCAGCTATCCGACTCTAGTGCTCAGGTATCTACCCAAACCACCATGTTTTCAACCTGGGAGATGCCCTTGGAATCTCAGCTAGTCGATATGTCTTCTCCCCCTGGAACCGAAAGCCAACCCTTGCTCGTCGAGGACGACCCACCTTCGCAAGTAGCCATTCCATCCTCTTCAACCCGCGAACACGCATATAGTCCCCCTAGTCCCCCACCACCGCCCAAACCGGAACATACCGGCGACGTTCTGATTGATACAGATCAGCACCTAACGGCCATGTATCCCTCACCAAAGCGAGAGTCAATCGATGTAGTTGTTCTAGAAGACCACAAGCCCAGCTTCCCGTCCCTTTCACCCATCATCATCCCTTCATCGCCTCAGAGTATGATGAGCCCCGCATCCGTCGGGAAGTCCCATTTAGCCAAGCCTCGTTCTGCAGAGCCCATCTCTTCTCAGGCCGAACCCTTGACTTCGTATACCTGCCCCGTATGCTTTGGCGCCCCTACGAACGCGACACTCACGCCCTGTGGTCACATCATGTGCGGTTCTTGTCTATTCGCAGCCGTCAAAGCTACGCTGCACCGATCTGCTGTCGTTGCCATGGACCGCGCTCCTCAAGCCCGGTGTCCAGTTTGCCGGGCCGAGATTCCAGGGTGGGATGGACGAGGGGGAGGCGTGATCGGGCTGACGATGGCAGCTATGTATTCGGTATGATTATCCTATTCATGAATTGAACCATTCGTTGCCCGTCTCTTGCCCGCCCCTGGTGTGACCGAAGGCGACCACACGAGTAACCTATCACCTGTCCCTGCGAAGGACCCACCTTGCCTGTTCACCACCAGCCGATCTGCCCTGACGCTGTCTCACATGACGTCGGCGTTTTCCGTGCGAAGGAGTATCATGCATGATGATCTTATGATGATCTTACATTGCTTTGAACTTTCGGAACTCCTAGTGGCTTGTTCACAAGTTCCTCTTCGGTCGGTCATCCGCTACGCACCGACCCTTCGTCATCTCTTGAAGTGTGCGCTTCACATAGCCTCGTATGATTGAGGCACGGTGAAAATCAGAGCGCAGCCTTAGGTCCATAGATATTTAAGTGGGGCCTTCCAGCCCTCTCACAGCAAGTTTTCCCGCCATGCGAACGTCAAGCGTCTTCGTAGGTGCCTGTTTACTCGGGGCACATATTGCTGCAAGCCAGGACTATGGTGAGCCCTACCGTCCTCAGTTCCATTTCACAACTCCCAAAGTAAGTAAGAGGTTAGTCTTGCATTCAGACGCTAATTGCTAGTACACAGAACTGGATCAACGACCCCAACGGCCTTCTCCTTCACAATGGCCAGTATCATCTCTTCAATCAGTACAACCCCAACGGCAGCGAAGCGGGCGACACGTCGTGGAGCCACGCCATCAGCACTGACCTCACCCACTGGGATGATCAGCCTCTTGCGATTCCTTACGATGCAGACGCTTCCGGAGCCCTCGCTGCGATGTACTACACCGGAAGCGCTGTCTCTGACGATGCCAACACCAGCGGTTTCGGGATGAATGGAACTACACCGCTCGTCGCCGTCTTCACCATCGCCTACACGCAAAACGTATCGGCAAGTGGTGGACGTGAGGTGCTCGCTGGCACCCAAGCTCAAGGCATCGCATACAGTATCGACAACGGCACGACGTGGACAAAGTACGCGGACAACCCTGTCATCGCGCTTCCCCCATCTCAGTACCAGAACCAGTCCCAGAACTTCCGTGACCCCTATGTATCCTGGTATCCCCCGAGCCCCGATGGGAAGACAGGCGGTGATGGGGGGCACTGGGCCATGGTCGTGTCGCTTTCCAGCCTGCAGAAGCTCCTCATCTACACCTCGTCGGATCTCAAGAACTGGACACAGACTAGCGAGTTCGGACCTTACAATACTCAGGGTGGGGCATGGGAATGCCCAAACTTGTTCCCGCTCACATACGCCAACGGATCCGCGGGCATGAAGTGGGTCATCCACGCTGGTGCTTCCCCTGGCCCAGCCAATGGGACCGGCACACAGTTCTTCGTCGGAGACTTCAATGGGACAACGTTCACTCCTGATCCATCGACCATCATCGATATCTCGCAAGCTTCTCCACCTGACGGGGAGGTATTCGCCGACTTCGAGCAGACGACGTTTACAGCGGCCGGATGGAACGCAACTGGCGACTTCGTCGGTTTTGGGCCCGTGACTGGCGCCATTGGTAGCCAGCAGAACGTATCAGGCTTCAAAGGCTTGCGCCTCGTTGATACCTACTTCAACGAAGACCTTTCAAAGGGGACCCTCACTTCTCAGCCGTTCAACATCACGAAGCCCTACATCGCATTTCTTATCGGTGGCGGCTACAACCCCTACAATCCAGACACGTATGGCACAAGCGCTGACAACTCGACTGCACTTCTCCTCTGGGTCGATGGCACCGTCGTCGCCTCCGCGACGGGGCGCAACGACGAGTACCTGCAGTGGGACTCATTCCACGTCGCTAACTGGACAGGTCAAACTGCCTACCTCGAGATCGTCGACATGGGCAACGTCAGCTGGGGCCACATCAACGTCGACCAGATCACGTTCGCGTCTGGACCCGTCATGACCTCGCCCGCCAACTGGGTAGACTGGGGCCCGGACTTCTATGCCGCAGCGACATACAACGGTATCGGCGACTACCGCCGCCTCGGAATGGCGTGGATGACCAACGGCGAATACGCCGGCGACATACCGACGTCACCATTCCGCGGCTCCATGACCATCCCACGCACGTACGCGCTCGCCACCGTCGGCGGGCGCGACGTGATCGTGCAGACGCCGGATATGGGCTTGTTCAGCCTCGAAGCATCGAGGCCCTTCGCGGCCTCGTACGATTCGCTGAGCGCGAACACCATGCTCAATATTACGTGGCAAGCTATGGACCTCAACCTCACGTTCAGTAGTGCGAACCTGACCGCGTTGGCAATAGACTCGCGTTTCGGGATCTCGCTGCGCGGCACGCCCGACGGGAGCGTCGAGACTGTCGTCGGGTACGATTTCGGCGAGAAGCAGATGTATGTCGACCGCACGCACTATGGGGGTACGTTTGTCGCCGACGTCTTCCCCGATACGTTCTACGCGCCGCTGGAGCCGAGCGCAGATGGGATGGTGACGTTGCGAATTTTGTTGGATTGGTCTGGCGTTGAGGTATTTGGCGGGAAAGGGGAGAGCGTCATTACAGCGCAGATCTTCCCGGACGCTAATGCTTTGACGACGAAGTTGTTCGTGGACGGTGATCAGGTTAGCGATGTAAAAGTAAGTGCAAGGGAGGTCTCGAGCGCTTGGTCAACTTAAAGCGTTGTTGACACATTAGCGGTACGATGCAATCCTGATCACTTATATCGTACAATAGTGTTCGAAAGTGTAGACGCCTTAAAGCGAGATTGTATAAATATTGCTTCAAACTAAGCATGTCTTACATACTGTAATATATTTCTATACAAGTGGTACGAGCGCTGTTCTATCAAGCGTGATGCTAAACGGACGATCCATCCTCAAACGCGAACGAAATTAATCTAATATCATAATCCCATCGAAATGGCGTACGAGGCGTCGAGTCCTTGAACGTGCTAATGATATGGAGCTCAAAACGCGTTGCCCGTGTGGAAACCCATTTGTTACGTACACGACATCTAAACCCATCATTTTCTGGAGACTTTTCCGAGCTACGTAGTCTATCATGTCCTTTATAGCACAGATAACCCAGAACCCAAATTCATCAGAGCATCATTCTCTTTGGACCTGTCTTCTTTGATCTGCACTTGGGCACTAGAGCTCAAAATATCAGAATGGCGCGTGTTCAATAGACGCAAGGTGGCTTCAACGCCGTTCAGAGTGCATGGGTTTTGTTTTTTCATGCCCTCAGGGTATTGTCAGATGGTCTAACGTAGGATGTGTCGCGTGGTGTATCGTCCAGAGTACTTCGGCGGTTCCTGAAATAATTCTCCTTACAATCGATGAGCTTTATGACTTAAGCTGTGTGATAGTTTTATATCCAACTGTCAACTTGTGGTCGTGGTATCACTAGACCTCATGTACGACAGATGACCCCTGCTGAAATACAATCGGAGAAAACTTCATACTATTGTAAGAACGATGCGAACCCTGAGTGACCTCGAATTGACTACAGAGATGAAGTTGTAAACGCGAGGCAAGGATAGTGTGGAAAATAGTTTGATATCTGTGCAAAGGAAGCCAAAGATGAGACACGTTAACGTCAGGCAAGGTAAAATACACAAAACGCACGTGCTAAGGAGGTCCGAATAGCTTCCCTGCGTGGTTGATGTCAGCATCATTAATCAGCAGAAAGAGAGATACCACTGACGTGAAGGCGTAGATTGGTGCCAATATTTGCCACGGAGAATACTATTCATTTGAGTTAGCCTCGGTGAGATTGAAGGAATGCGTACATACGGAGCATGCAAGTGCAATAGAGCGCTCCGCTGTAGATCATGGTCTCGATGATGCCCCCCTGTAGCCTGTACTTGTCTTGACATGCATGAACGGTGATTAAACCCAAGATCACTGAGTAAGGTCAGTCAATGTTTATTCTTCCGAGCAAAGACGAGGAGATATACCCAGCTCCGTAACAACGATGAAGAGATAAGCGCCGAATATGATGGACGAAGCGCTGCTCTTTATGCATCCATTTATCCCTGGGACGGGCGGTGAGACCACTGAATATGCCTCAGATTGTTACTCAAGTGACGGTTAGCATAACGTACGCGTTATTGTGGGGAGGAACAGCACGAGAAGTGCCGTTACTAAGGCCAAGGCCACCTATATACGATTCGTACCCATAGGTATCCAAAGGGCACAGATTAAATTAGCAACGCACCGCGGTCATACTACTTAGGAGAGCAAAGACGATCTTGTTGCGATTCCACATAATGTATGTCCTGAAAGCAAACAGCACTATAGCACAACCCTGAGTTAGATCAACTTAACAATCTGGATGACAACCTACCCTCGGCGGCGATGACCTCAGCGCTCTCTAAGACTGCTTCCAAATCAGGATCAGTCAAACTTCCACCGGGAGCGAACATACTATTGACGGTGTAGAGCAGAGACTTGCAGGTCTATCTCGATATATTAGAAAAGGTTCGATTTCCATGTCAAAATCTGATACGTCATTACTCAGAGCAGGCAAGAGCTGAGCTATGGTTTCAGTCAGAGTCAGCAATATTCTTTGCTTAAGAACGTTTGAAACACACATGAAAGCGCCAGTGGTAACGATATGAACGGAAGATACCTGACGAGGATATACAGAACCAATCCCCATCCAATTTCGCGTCTTCTCCACAGGTATTTGATCTCGATGTCGATGAGTATGGTAATATCCAAGAAATACATGTCTGAAACGGCATTCACCTCGTCTGGTAAATTGATGAAGTAGTCGTAAACCTGTGCATCGCACATGAAGTCAAAGTGATCCACTTCAAAAGATGATGGCAACACTTACGAAAATCGTACAAACAGAAACTGATCTTATGTTAGCACGCTGCGCAGTAAATTGTGTATTCACTAGCGTACCGTCCAGGAACTTTCAATTGCGTTGGTATCCTCAGCTTCTCAGTCAATAGAAGGAAGGACGTACATTAGTGACCTGCAGACCTCTCGCAAGATCGTCCAGCTGATCCATGCAGTGAAAGTGACTGAAATATGCCGCCGAGTATAGTCGAGGGGGACTAAGGAAGGGACTGCGATAGGGAAACCAGCTCCCCGCGCTGCGTTTGGTGGTAGCGAGTTGGAGGGAAGGGGAACCAGTCCTAACGCTCAGCGAGCGGCCCCGTCGATTTTATGTACGCGAGCAAGAATCAAAAATAGCAACGTCTAACATTGGTTTAGATGCATTACAACAGTCACAGCACCATGACAGGAACAGCCTAAAGCCTAGCGTGATCATCACCACTTGATCACCACTGCCATTCCCAAAGAATGCCCGCCAATAGCAGACTCGAGCATCAGGGTGTAAAAATAAGAACGTACAAAGGTCAATGATCTCCATGGATCACTACGCAGTAGTTTCAAATAGCTGCCAGATTGAACCACATATCACGTGATGTACTAGTTTCGCGGCATCCACCGGTGGAGGATAACGCGGAATCCGCATTTTCCGGCGGTCCAGCCGTCCAGCCGTCCGAGAACACCCGGGAAATGGGAAAGGCGGCATATGCCGCCGTGGCGGCGCGGCGGCGCGGCGGCAGTGGCGGTGCACATACCTTCAACTGGACCGGATCTACGCGGATCCTTTACTCCTTTGACGAGCCACCGTACGGACGGCTCGCCGCCGTAGAAGTGGCATATGACGAAGAAATACAGACTACGAACATAATCCGTGCGCCGAACCTTGGTGTTGAGAGCGGCGTTCAAGAGCATTTCCGGTGGCATGGTACAGAGTCACAAGCCTTTGAGACGGAGCCATATTAAGGGAGGATATTGTACTCACACAATCTTCCAGAGGGCGGGTCTGAACGCACAAAGCATATGAAGCATTGTCTGTTCGACTTTGCATAAGTAGCTTCCGCATACTTAGGTACTTTATCAGACTACCCCACTGGAGCCCATGTGAGAGCTGCATGAAAGAGGATGGAAACTGTGGACCTCTTGAAAGGCACGCGAGGCTGCAATCGTAAATGGATGAACGATGTCTGGGGAGGATATCGTACGTTTATGTAGACGAAGGATCTGAGCGAAACGAGGATGGCTTGCGAGATGAACAGCGTATGGTTTGTCTTTTGGATTTCGCATAGCACCTTGGATACCAGGCTATTGTCTGCAGCTGGACGTACCGATACTATGATTATCCATGCCCACGTACTACGATGCTCGTGCTATGTCTCGCTGCCTCATTGTCAACGCGTGCAGCCATTGCTGTTCTATCACTCTCAACTGGACCCTGTCGCTGAATTTAAACAGTTCCATGCAGCTCAGTGCATGACACAGCATTGATACAAAGTACAAAGGTACAAGAGAGCTGATGCGGTCAACATAGCTACACTACACTCCGAGAGAGAAGTTAAATATCGTGGTATCGTCGTCAGCCTGAGTCGCTGGAGTATCAATCTAATTCATGTTCACTGGAGTCCGAATCGGCACTTTCAATAGAGTCCGAATCATTCTTATTAGAGTTTGGATATGTCGAAACTTATAGTATAGGGATACAATGTTAGCGGACTCAAACACGCTCAGTCTTTGCTCTAGCACGCATAAGCGTGGTGGCGAGGCGACGCGCGGCGGTCACATCGTGGAATTTTTATTTTATACACCGCCACTGACGCCGCGCCGCCCAGCCTGCCGCCGCGACTTGCCGCCTTTCCCAGATCTCGGACTTTCTGAGCCGTCCAGCCGTCCAGACTTGGTCCAGACATCTCGAGCTGCGCCGCACTGTATCATCCGCTCCATCCCTCTTCCCTCTCGTCTTTCTTCGCCACAAATTCTAACTCTCTTTTCACGACACAGCAGCCCCTCCTCTGACAATGAGAATGGAAAACCAAGAGCTCCTGCCAAGCACGCAGCACTGTGTATGCCCGCTCACACCCAGTGTTGGACACAGGCGCAACTGCAGGCATACAGGCTAGACATATGGGAGGTATTTATTGAAGTCGAGAACTGTGAAGGAGGGTTGTAGGAGCGTGATGAGGTAGGTCTGTATGTCTGTGGCTCCCTTAAATTCTCCATCCTCGTGCTCATTGGTCTTCCAGGTGCTGATACCTTTCCTTCGGGCCATCCATGCATATTTTGGGGGTTTCCCGATGCTCCCAAGCGCGTCCTGCTCGTGCACGGATTGGCGTGCTCATTGTAGCTGTGGTGTCGCATCACAACGCTTGTCATGCGAGGTAAGCTTCCACCCTCACCCACCTGTAACATGAGCGTTCTCCTACTCCCCTGACACCCTTTCTCTCGCTCTCATACATAATGTCACACCTGACCCACGCAACCTTATCATTGCACACTCCCTCGACGGGATCATCGTGCTTAACTTCCTTCACAATGATGCCATACACCCGTGCCCAGGACGATCCCCACACACAGTCATCATCAGCCCACCGCTTGACCTCGCACTCGAGTGGTCTGCTTTCTACGGGACCACATTCAAGGCGTCAGCAAGGCGTTTGCCCGGCGCTTGAATGGGCAATGGCTTTACTGGTATCATTTTTGGCTCGTTTGCTGAAGAGACTACTGTACCATTACGACCTTAAGTTCGTCCCCTGTCCACCCGGGGCTCGAACTGAACTTAATTAGGGTGGACAGTCCACCCTCGGCCAACCCATCCGAACTTAGAGAGGTGGACAGACGTGCAAACAACAAAATCATACCAAGAATAAAATAAATATACAAACACACTCATAAACGTTCTCATTAACTGATATCCCTTGTGATGATATTCTCACTTCGGGATAAGGTTGAGAGGATTGTTTGACCTAAAATAGTGCGATAATTAACGTTTTCTGTTCCTGAACACGAACAATGTCCACTAGGCCACCTACCCGCTGAACTTGTTGGGGTGGACAGGCGGAATTTAATTTAATAATTTCCCACGCCACCGTGAACTTAAGGTCGTAATGGTACAGTAGTCTAGCAGTGTGGTATCACAACCATATATATATACTTTAATTTTTCAAGAAGAGATTGAAACGGAAGTAGATATCTTGAGTCGTTAACCTGTGTGCGCAGGGCAGAGGAGGAGGATAGAACAGATAGCGGTCGCTTCACTAAACCAGGGGCTAATTATCTAATTATGGCCACACGTCGGCTGTTTTATTTTTTCCCGCGCATGTGGCTGGATGGCTGGACAGCCGGACAGACGCGGCTACAACGAAATCCGAATTCCCCGTTAACCTGCACCGGTGGACATACTGCGGAGTTTGAGGGCAAGCAACCCGCGACTGCTGAGTCGGTAAGCCCTATGAACGATGCTGAGCGCCGATTTCCTGTGATCATCGACCGCCGGCAGTCGCCGTCAAGTAAAGCCTTGGTTTTCTCGAAACTCTTCCGCTGTAGTCTGATGACTTCATACGTTGGCTCTTCTCTGGACGTAACGCGCTCAAAGGCTAAAGGTTGTTCACCCACATGTATTCCCCTCATCTCTTCTCCTTGGGCTCACCTCTTGATTTACGCTCAGCTTGGATGCTAGTGTTCGCACCGCCATAATGGCTCGTCTCGTTAGCCTAAAAATGACCTATGATTTACACAGTCTTCTCGAGCGTGCGCAGTTCTGGTAATTCTCGGATATATTCTTGTGCGGTACCGGTGTCCCTAGCATCTCGTGCTGTTTCCCTCGTCGCTGGTATATGTTCGTGGTGCCTGGAAGAATCGCCTGTACAACGGAGCCCTCACCGTCCGAAGTCACGCAGCCCTCTCACGCAATTCATCTCTGAGAAAATAGACCCCTACTACAGTGCTGTCGAGAGGTACTTTTTAATGCTTCTGCCACATGTCGCGGTAGTAACAATGTCTCATGGTTTTACCGCCCGCCGCAGAGCAACTGGGTCGGCGGCCCGCCCGGTCCTCGTAGCACCGCGCAGCAGCGAACTCAAGAAGTCTCAACTACATAAAAGGCCCTCTGATTGAGCAAATATCATCGCTCCTCTCAACAACGTGCTCACGATGGTCTGCTTCTCGCTCGCACGCTGCTTGGCTCTCCTCGGTTCGCTGACCGCCGTGCTGGCGGTGACGACCTGCGACGTGACCGACTACGGCGGCGTCGCGGACAACTCGACCGACCTCGGTCCCGCGATCACCAAAGCGTACTCGGACTGCGTGTCCGGAGCGACAACGTCGGACGCGTCTGACACCGTCCTGCTCGTTCCCTCGGGTGACTGGGCGATTGCGACCGCCGTATCGCTCACGAGCGTGTCGGACTTTACACTCGAGATCAACGGCGCGGTGTACCTTGTCTTCAATGCTGACCTTACTGGGACGATATTCAGCTTCGACGACTGCGACAACAGTGAGCACTATCTCAACTTAGATGATGCTCCGACTGACTACGCGTACAAGTTATCTGGCAGGGCGAGGGCCACATCTGGGGTAACGGCGAGCTCTGGCGTCCGGACGGCGAGTGAGTGAAAGTTTCATCTCGAGTTGCTAAACCAACGTCTGACATGATGCCCAGTCTGAGCACATACGTGCGTGTTTCCAAGCCTAGTTTGCGCGTTCAAGGCGTTCATAATGACCATTTGCACAGCCGAGCCGTCCCCGTCTGGTGCGCTTCCAGGACTGCAACAACGTCGACATGAGTGGCGTCGCACTTCACAACGCCCCTATGTATGTCTGCTGTGTATCTCACGCAACCTCCTCTAACTGTCCGTGCCAGGTTCCACGTTACCATCATCGGAGACAACAACGTCGCGCACGACATGTCGGTGAGTTTCTTCTCCAGCTTTATTATCGCTACCCAAACTTAGCGTTGATACGCGGTCCTTCATTAAGATCATCGCGGACCACATCGGTGAAACGGATGGATTCGACATCTCAGGCAATAACAACTACGTGCATGACGTCTACGTCGAAAACGGAGACGAGTGCGTGACTGTCAAGACCCCCACTAACGGATTCGTCGGCGAGAACATCCAATGCTATTACTCAGCAGGCAAGCGGAACATTATCTTGGTACGCACCAGAGACGATGGCTGATTGTCACTGCAGGATGCAACATCGGTTCTTTCGGCAATGATGTCACGGGCGTTGAGTATGCTACATTCACTTTCCCGCATTATGGGATCTGGCTGATGAACCGGCCTCCAGCGTACAGAACGTGTACTACAAGAACGTCACACACTCCTATGGCGATGGTGGTATCGTCCTGAAGGTACCATTCACTGCCCTATTGTAGCGTCACAAGCCGACTCTATAACCTGATTTCCCGCAGTCCTACCCCACTGCCTCCGGCACAGTCAAGAACGCAACATATGTTGAGTGAGTCGCCATCGCATGTCAACTTGATCCAAGACTAATGCTCATGCCACGTAGCTTCACCTTCGTGAGCTTGATCCCAACCATGTCTCAAACTTCGTTGACTTACTTTTCTTTCAGTCCGATATCGCGTATCCCATTCAGGTTTGTCACTTCCATCTCGCCCGCTCGATTATCCACCAGCTGACCCGAACCCGACCCACAGGTGTCCGACTTTTGGTGCCCGAACGAAGCATGCCCGACGACGACCGGAGACCTGACCTGGTCAGATATCACATTCACCGACATCTCCGGCACCGGTGACGACACCACGCGCCCGACCATCCAGGTCGAGTGTATCTCCGGTTACGAGTGAGTCTCCTTTAAACCCAGCACCCCTCGTCCGCTTGGATGGATGCTGATAGCTTTCTCGCGCTACAGATGTGAGAACATTGTCTTCAACGTAAGCTACGTTTCCATCAAACGATAATCCAGCTACTGATAACTGTTTTCCCTTGACAGAACGTCGACATCACCAAGGAAGGCGGCGCGACGGTCACCATCCAGATCGAGAACGCGTGCGGATCCGGCCTTAGCGAGATCTCTGCCTGCTAAAGAGCCTTCTTTGAGAATACTCAGCTGTCTTTTCCTCTAAGTCTTGTATTTGGGGCTTCGTTGCTATACGTTGTTATATATTGTCGCTTTCAAAGTAGCATCTCACCGCGCTGGGATCGCGGAACTCGCCGATATCGCGTCTTTTTTGTACTCTGGTTTAGACGAGGGTCCATCAACTTGTATTGTTCTTATTTCCAATGAGTACTGGTTCTGTGTACTTCATTGCTACTCGCGAAACCGCATGCATAGGAATGAGACGATAGCCAATAAGGCCTAAGGAGTGAGTGTGGTGTGATGCAGGTAAGAGCTTGGCCCTCTGGTGGCGCGGCACGCGACCGACTCCGGTGTCGCGACCAATTGCGCCATCGACTACTCCGAGGACGCCATCCCCATACTATAATAATACCTGGCCCACTGCGCTCGTGTTCGTCTTTCTCCCTGATCTCACTGTCGGTGATAGCAGCATCGCATATCCCGCCCATCCTATCTGCTTAATGAATCCAACTTGTTTATACTAGCATTGGTGTATCCTCTTGAGTGGTGAGTTACGAATCCAGACGAAATACAGTGTCGTTTATCCTCTATCCCTTCATTCTTAGCAAGCAACGTTGATACTACATATAAGTCCTCATAACACGCCATATCGTTCAGGCCTTGATATGTTTTCCCTGGTGGATGACATACCCCGTCCATGACTATAGCCCCTATTAGCGCCGACTTCTCTCGTTGAAACATCATCCTCAGCACTCACCTCATCGTAAAAGCCCATCTTATCGATACCCAGAAGCTGTAGCCCCAACCATACAGTCCCCGCCGTCATCCCGCTTCCGCACGTGACGACCACAGGCCTCTCCTTGCGTACAACGGCAGCTGCCACATCAGGCCCAACAGCGCTTTCGAGCGCAGCCCTGATCTCAGCGGGTGGGAGGACGGTGGTATATGTTGGTGCGGGAATGGAGGAGAAAGAGGGTGGAACGTCGTTGGTGCTGAGGAAGAGGGAGAAGGGGAGCGAGGTCGAGTTGGGCATGTGCCCTGAGGGGATGATCGGGCGGGGTTCTGGGTCGACGCCGTCGAATCTGGTGGCCATCAGCATGAGGTGCGTCTGCGATATCTCGTGAATATGCTCACCTGCCCTTTGGACGGGCGTCGAGGACAACCTCTGGTATCGCCTGGAGGTCGCACGAAGCGAGAGAGAACATCTGGTCGTAGTCTACAAGATACTCGGTCAGGATACGCGGGCGAGGTGAATGGCTGGGGGCTTACTTCGGATTATGCTCGCGTCCATTGAAGGGATGGGGTACGTCGTCTTGCTAGGGACCTTGGGTGAGCTGGTCTCCATGGGAAACCCTTCAACTTCCCATCGTGGGATGCCTCCGTCGAGCACGCTGGACTTCTCATGGCCAAAGGAGCGGAACATGAACAACGCTCGCGGAGAGGAGTACACGCCTCTCGAGTCATAGCTGGAGGTGAGATCACTGTAAGCGGGATGAAAGGTAGGTGAGGCTCAAGTGTGGCTTACAAGACGACGTATGTTGTAGGAGAGATACCGAACTTGGCTATGCAAACGAGTGAGTCTTTTGAAGCCCGGTGGGTATGTGAGCAGACATACAGCATGCTTCAGCAAAGGTGGGTCCGTCAGGCATCATATGCTTGAGCGATATGCCCTCGACTGAGGCAATCGTCGCAACCTCGTCAAGGTCGAGGAGCTGTGCGTCGGGGATACGTTTCTCATTATACTCCTTCACGGGGTCGCGCCCTTCGACGGGGAGGTACCATGAGACATCAAGCACAACGACATCCCCAGCGTCTTGGAGTGTCTTGAGCTCGGCGGGGCTGACGAGGAAAGGCATGGATGCGGATGAGGAGGCCATGGCGGCGATAGCGTTGTTCGGTGAATGCAGGAAACGTTACGGATGAGCTATTGAGATGTATAAGGGAATACTCACGGGCTGTTGAAACACTGACGCCTTTCTTATCATCTCACACATTTTCAATCATCACGACACCCTCTCGGATCCAGTCCCGAGTGAAAGAGGCGGGGAACAGACGGAGGGATGTCAACATAGCCACGCATATCCCCGCGAGCAAATAGCCCCTGTCTCCAGCACAGCATTCGATGTTGCAATACTGACACAACGCCTCTGTCAATCACCCCACGGCGCATCACCATGCATTCATCTCATTTCCAGCGACCTTCATCACGCCCTCTATGGACACACCAGATCCCTCACAGCTCGTCGACGACGTAGAAGCCCAGTTCACACTCGATGCAGCAAATTTGCTCGCCGTCACCCGCGCTTTCCTCGAAGACATCCGCACTGGCCTATCAAAGTATGGGCACGTTCCAATGGCGATGGTGTAAGTGAACACATCTCATGTGGACGCTTGGGATGTACTTACTAACCCTCTCCGCAGACCAACCTACCTGACCGAGATCCCAAACGGAGCGGAGAAAGGGTGAGTACGCGGGAAGTTCGTTGAGGGTTGCCTAAGTTCATGCGTTGGGCAGCACGTCTTTGGCCATCGACCTGGGAGGAACAAACCTGTGAGTCTCTATCATATTCAAGATTATGGAACTCTCGACTCACATGCGTTCTAAGTCGCGTCTGCGAGGTCGAGTTCAACGGTGACCGCACGTACTCTTCGCACCAGCAGAAGTACAAGGTGTCGGACGAATACAAGCTGGGAGAAGCGACAGCTCTCTTTGGTACGTCTCATCTTTCCCTCTGCCTCAAACCGATATCCTATAACATTCATCATCCAGACTACATCGCCGAATGCGTGCACACCTTCCTACACAGTCCATCACTCGAATCTTCCTCGGTGTACAAGAAGTGCTGCTCAGGCCACATCGACCACACACACCCCTTCACAGCGCCGGTGCAGATTGCGCTAGCGTTCTCCTTCCCGTATGAGCAGCGCGCTATCAACTCGGGTGCTCTGATACGCTGGTCCAAGGGCTTCGCAGCGAAGAACGCGGTCGGGCAGGATATCGTCAAGTTGCTGCAGGACGCGTTTGATAAGAAGAAGATGAGTGTTGAGTGCGCAGCACTCGTTAACGACGTAAGTGTCTCTCATATCAGTGCCCCTCTCCCACCCGGCCGAGAACGACGCATGAGCTCATGTCATATTGGCCCTTAGTGTGCAGGCGCGTTGGTTGCTCGTGCCTACACGTCGGGTGGATGTGACTTAGGTGAGTTGGGCACGACATAAATGAACGATAGTCTGATTGAAACATAAAGCTACTATATTCGGCACCGGTACCAATGGTGTATTCGTTGAGCACGTCAACAAGGTCACCAAGCTGAACGACGATCGCGACCTACGCATGATTGGTAAGCATAGAATGTACTCTGCGTCTTCAACAGCCATAATAACCCTTATAAACGCTAGTGAACACCGAATGGGGCGCCTTCGACAACGACGTAAGCGTCCCCTGCCGCACTCTCTTACACTAGCACTCACGGCTAGTCTTGAATAGCGCAAACACCTCCCCAAAACACCCTTCGACCTGAAACTCGACCATGAATCCCTCAACCCGGGTGGACAAGCGTTTGGCAAAGCCATCGCGGGCATGTTCCTCGGCGAAGTCGCTCGCAACGCCTTCCTGTCCCTCGTCGATGCGGGCGCACTGTTCGGCGGCAAGCTCTCGGCACAGATGGGCACGCAGTGGGGCTTCGACACCGAGCTGATGAGTGCTGTCGAGGAGGCATGGGCTGGGGTCGGGGCACACGCGCCTATGGCGGTGGGTGGGGGTTTGGGCGGGGAGATCCCTGTCAGAATGGACGATGGTAAAGAAGGAACCGACGGCCCCGCCGTCCCGCCCCTCTCGTCCCTCGTCCCAGGTAACGAATCCATCTCATCCGACCAACGAGCTGCACTCGACCGCGTGCGCAGTGTGCTCATCGCGCATTGTGGCTACGCCGAGAACGAGGTGAGTCTCCGCGACGCGATGATCGTCCGCCGGATCGTGGTCGCGATCGCACAGCGCGGGGCACAGCTGGCAGGGTGCGGCGTCGCCGCTGTACTCGTGCAGATGGGCTTTGCGTCGCACCTCCGTGGAGAATCTTCGTCTGATGTGGAGGCCAACGGGGACGTAAAAGCCGCAGAGGTAGAAAGACGGATTAACATGGGCGTGGATGGGAGGTAAGCTTCCTCTTCGAATCTGCGTGTATCGTTCCCTCGACTGACTCTGGCTATCATATCACAGTCTGATAGAACACTTCCCAAACTACGAACGATCCCTTCGCTCCGCGCTCAAGCTTCTCGTCGGCGAGGACGTCGAAAGCCGGTTGGGTATTGGGATGGGCAAGGACGGAAGCGGTGTTGGCGGTAAGTACAATGCAACCCGCACCCTGTTTCAGAGCCACGTTCTGATGCCATCTATCTTTCCGTGCAGCCGCATTATGCGTTTTGCAGGCACAGAAGGATGCTGCGCGTTTTTCTTAGATTCTCAAATATCACGGAGATTACAGAACAAATTTCTTTATTCGGCGTTGAGACAAGTGTCATACCTTGGGTGCTTCGAAAGACCAAATCAGAGTTACAAACACGTAAACCCGGCGACATATGCGGCCTTGTACGAGGATATACATAAACTATTCAAATACCTCGTCGTGTGCTACGATCTATTCTTAAGAGTTAACATTCCAACGAAGTGGGATGCGCTGCATGGCTATCATGTTTTGTCATCTTTTCTATCTTCATGTAAAATACAGCGCTATATATTACCGTGGAACAATCGAACTCTAAGCGTCAGTGCTGATCACGACGACCACCTTTCCGGCATCATTGACAGACACCTGCACGCTATCGCAGAATGAATTAATGGCGTGACATGTATAAATTAACGAAATAAACATACGCGTCTAAGTTTTTGACCAGATAAGTCGAGTTAAGCGACTCGATCTGCTCCCTCTCGTGCGATGTGCACACGGCGAGGACGTCGCACCCGGCTGCCAGACCGCTGCGGATCCCAGAGGGCGCATCCTCCATCACAAGGCCTGCGCGGATCGATCAGATACCATTGTTAGAACGTGCACTTTGATCCTCCGTGACGAAAGCTAATTGGGAAGTTGGGGGTGTGCTTACATCTGGATCTCCCCGCCTCATCGGTGATGCCGAGTTTTTGGGCGCACTGGATGTAGGGTACCGGCCTGCAGGATCGCGGGATGTTGCGTTAGAGCTCGAGAACAGCGCTCCAGCGCAGTGCAAGGTTCCTGGAGAACTCACGAAGGCTTGCCCTGGGTGACGTCTTCGGCCGTCGTGAGGATCTTTGGGAGCCGGATGCCGGCCTGTCCGAGAGCGGTCGTGGCGTAATGCCGCGTTGCAGAGGTGCAGATAGCCCAGAGGGGATTTGTAGATGTGTCTTCATGAGCTAAAAGCTATACAAAGTGGGGTCGATGGCGATCAGCATGGTCACACTCGGACAGGGCAAACTGAATGCACGTACTGCGCTCATGATCCTCCCCACACTCGGGAGGCACACGGTGCCGGGCGAACCGTCCTCCTTGGGCGTGTCGAGCACCGCCTGCTCGAAGCGAGCAGCTTCCGACTATGCAAGCATGGCAAATACCAAGGTCAGCCAAGGGAAGCGACTAGCGAGAAACGACGCGACGCGACGTATCATCGGAATTCGACGACATATAAGGAGTAGCGACGCAAACGACCGCGCTTACCTCGAGCGTTGCGGGGTCCTCGATACCGCAGAACCGGCGGAGGCTCTCCGTGGTGCGGACACCGTGGACGTCTGCGCGAGGATGGGATCATCATGTCAGTGTCAGATCAAATCGAGCCGGGTCGTATTCGACCGGTGCATACAGGTGCACATGGCGTGGCAGCGCGAAACTTACGATCAAGGATGTAAGGGACGTCCAACCCTGGATACTTGGTCGCAAAGACGCGCCATGCACCCTGAACGCCGGCCGTGGAGTCGATAAGTGTGCCGTCCATGTCGAACATGCTGATTAGACATCGTCAGGTGAGGCAGTATGACATGAAACCGACGCGTACGTACATTGCGTCATACTCCTTCATAATCTGAGGCATCCTGTCTTGGTCGAAAGATGGAGAGCTTGGGAAAACGGAGGAAAAGCAACTGCAGGAATTCGGAAAAGACAAGATTGGGCTGCGCGCTGGATCTAGGCTGGAGCTGCTGGAGCCATTATGGAGTGTTCACCACGTGTTATATGCTTCATCGAATTCGGAATGAAGCTATCGTTTCATGTGCACGCTGTACGAGCGATAGGAAAGCTGTGTTCATGTCGAGATGGTGGTGTTGGTTGTCGACGGGAGGGGACTGACGAGGAGTTGACGTGCTTGTGGGCAATGGGCGTGGGAATGTCGCGCCCTCCTCAACCGCACCCGTGTCCCATTGAGTGTACATGGCCCCTGTCCCAACACAACAATGCCCTTCCGCGTCCAGCGGCACTTTATCCATCTATCGCGCCTCATCTACCCTTCCTAGCTATGCCTATCCACATTGAGAACGGTAAAGTGCGCCTTGACCACCCAAAGGTACGCCTTGGACAATGCTAGAGTCGAATGTTGCAGTTCATCATTGCCCGCAACTAGGGATCTTCTGCAGAAGTCCTCTTGTATGGTGCCACCGTCATCTCGTGGAAGACCATCGTAGATGGTAGCGAGCCCACAGAGCACCTCTTCCTCTCTAAGAAGGCTGTTCTCGATGGCTCCAGAGCCGTCCGTGGCGGCATTCCTCTAGTCTTCCCGTGCTTTGGACCTCCATCGCGCCCCGAGCACTCTAAGATGGTTCAACATGGATTTGCTCGTACTGAGACCTGGAAACTCGCCAAGCAAAGCGACGATGGGGAGACGCTTGAGGTCCACCTTAGTAAGTAGATCTGCAGAGCCAACTACACTTCATTCTAACGCCAATCTGCTGTATGACTAGCGCTCGATCCCAATCCAAGTATCGAATCAGTCTATGATAAACCCTTCTCGTTGACATACGTCGTCGCCATCACCGAAAAGACGATGGTCAATGAGCTCCGCGTCACGAACCCCCATCCGAGCGATACACTCGAGTTTCAAACCCTGCTGCACACTTACTTCCGCGCGCCGATGGAGGACGTACGCGTCGAACCCCTCCAGGGCAAACCCTACTTTGACAAGACGACCATGACCGAGCGCGTCGAGAACCGCGAGCTCGTCGACGTCAAGACGTTTACGGACTCGGTATACGGCAACGCGGAGAAGAAGTCTAAATTTACCTGGCCTGGGGGAGGGATCGAAATCGAATCGTTCAATTATCCTGATCTCGTCGTTTGGAATCCCCAGGAGGAGGTTGCGAGCAAGATGACGGATATGGAGGAATATGGATGGTCAGTTTTTTCTACTCACGATAGGCCTTTTCTGACGTCCTTGTCTGTAGGCACCACTTCTTGTGCGTGGAGCCAGCCTCCGTCCGTGACTTTGTCAAAGTCACGCCTGGAGGAACCTGGTCGGGAAAACAAATAGTTTACACGATTCCTGGTCGCTCCCACTAGAACATTACTTGCACTTGTAATCATAGTCGACCTTGTTATTATGTAGCGTTCCAATGTAGTTCACATCCTGCGCTTTCCAGACTCGAGGAGACATATTCATTAGGAAACATACAGCCACACACAGCCACCCTCAAGGTGAACGGGTCATTCTGTCCCGATCTCCAGCCAAGAAGCATCCGCTATGAAACTTGGCATCGTCCGTTGTCACCGGACTCGGGTATCTCCTGCGACCGTCGTCGATACCTCCAGAGTCTGATCGATTCGTTCTCATTTTACCACCGACCCTTTCATCAAACTTAGTCTTGAATTCGGAATGCGGGGAAATTGCCTCGAACCTAGTGATCAGGAGCCCGATCCTGAGACCGAGGTGGACTGCGCCTGTCCTTGAGCCATCGGGATGGTTCACCCAAGGTACGTCCCAGTGGTACGTCCCACGCGGGGCGGGACTTGCGCGACGATATATTGCCCATGTTCGTTCCGCTGACGTAATCGAATAAGCCTGTTCTAGGTTTTGTCACCGCCAGCCGATCATCAGACAGTGAGCGAACGGCGTTGACGCTGATGCCTATGTCATAATAGGGGTCGCTGATGCTCACACAGAGCTTAATGACGGTCGAATGGGCACACGGCACGTTCTCCCCAATCTCTCATATCATAGGATCCTCGGACATTGCACAGCGGCGACCTCTAACACAAACAAGTATTCCGAATGACTATTTTCGAACCAAAGCGTTGTGGTGATCTCAGCGCTTGCTCCGTTCTGGCTCCAGGCGCCACAATGTGTTGGCGCATCAGAGATCCGCGGACAATGGTGGCTGAAAGAGATAGCGCTCATCACCCAGAACATCTACAGCACTCAGTTGTACGTGATAGCATCGCACTAACGGACGACTCTTTGACAGATCGTTACCCCCGTACATCCCCCAATTGAGACGACGCTCGCCTCGCCCATAAGTATGCACTCGGTAGCGCCCTGTTGCTCCGAAGTGTCGGACAGCCCCTGACTACATCGTGTCTCTAACGGGGCTATGTACGCCACCCGAAGATGATGAGGCTTTGGTGCGAAGCATGAAACGAACGGCAGCAAAGAATGGAAACTAGAGATAAGCATCGGTTCATTTTTCTCGTTACTCCAAGATTAGCTCGGTGCTTCTCGAGAGTTCAATGCGAGAAGCACGCGTCAGCTTTCTTCGAATTTGGAAACTGGGGTACGATGGAAAGCCAAGGCTGATAGATGCACAGCTCCCGTCAGTGCAACATCTTCGCGTCCCTTATTCAAGAGGATTAATCCACAGGTCGAGCCTGTGCTTTATGGTTTGTTGTTCTTTTGCCAATGATTCGGAATTCATCTTGACCGTAGGAAGATACAACGCGCTCCCTGTTGATGTGTGTCTCGCGCCGAATTCGGATGATACGCGTACGCCCTACATGGTGAGCCATGACCGAATCGCTGATTGCCGCGTTGCTCACAATCGGCCAATGCGCTAACAATCGAGCTATCAAGTCGGTTTGCCACACTCTCAATTCCGAATTGTGACTTTTCCGAATTGTGAGTTGTGGATACAATCTTCCACTTTCCGAGTTTGTCAGCGATAGCAACAACAGCGAAAGCATGAGAGATAGACGACCGCAGTTCGTATTACGCGTTCGGTGCACGGCCACGGTATTGACGCCTGACTGACAAGCAAATCACTCTCAGTCTCCGCCACAAACGCGGAGACACGTTCCGAGGATAAATACCATCAACCTTGGACCGGAAAGCAAACCAGTCGCCTTTCTCTCTCTCCTCTTACCACTCTTCTTTCTTACTAGACCTTCTCGCCTTCTTCATCCATAGAATAACCACTCGCAATGACTATCAACGGCGCATTCATGTCTGTCCTCACCAAGGCCTACTACTTGCCTGGTGCAATGGTGTTGGCGGAGTCGCTTCGCGCGGTGGGCTCGAAGTACCCCTACGTCGTCCTTGTTTCCACCGATTTCCCTGAAGAGGGCATCGCCGCCCTCAAGAACCGTGGCCTCACCGTTGGCTTCATCGAGGTTCTCCAGCCCACTGAGGGCTCGCGCCCCAAAGTCGCTGGCGATGACCTGCGCTTCTCCGACTGCTGGTCGAAACTTCGCGTCTACGGTATGGACGAGTATGATGTGAGCGCTTTGCTTGTCGGGTCCATTTAATTTCCGAAGATGGCGATGCTAACCAATTTTATCCTTAGCGTGTCGTCCTTCTTGATGCCGACATGCTCGTTCGCCGTAACATGGACGAGTTGATGGAGATGGACCTCCCCGAGGGCGGCATTGCCGCGTCGCACCCATGCGTCTGCAACCGTCGGGACCCCAAGTTCTACCCCGCTGACTGGTTCGTTCCCTTTCGCGTCAACCTCGGCTGTGGCATGTCAACTTATCCTCCTCATTTCTATTCAGGCTTCCTGAAAACTGCGCCTACACCCCACTTTCGCATCCCTCCGCCCTGACCGAGGCCACTGAAATCACCGAGGACTGCCCTCGCCCACATACTCTCCTCAATGGTGGTCTCATCGTTTTCAACCCCTCAAAAGAGCTCTTCCAGGAGATCTCGCACTACCTCTTCACTTCCCCCCTTGTGCCTACCTTCACGCGCACCGACTCCGACCTCCTCGGACACTTCTTCGAGGGCAAATATAAGCCGCTGCCGTGGATGTACAACGCGCTCAAGACCCTGCGCACCATGCACCCGGACATGTGGCGCGACGAGGAGGTGCGGAACGTACACTACCTCCGCGCAGACAAGCCCTGGTTGGAGCGCGTCGTCAAGGGCAAGGGCGGCGAGTACGAGACGTTGAACCAGTGGTGGTGGGACACATACGAGAACCTCGAACGCGACATGAAGGAGAACGACCCCGAGGGCCTGGAGTATCTTCTCACCACTGTCGCCCATTAGATTGATAGATAGCCGTGATTGAGAGCGCTTTTACTTTTATTTTTACCTAAGTTTACTTATGTTTTATTTTTGTCATCCTCCATCGCGTAGACACATGTAGTCATGGACTAAATCTAGTGTGGCATAATATCTATTTTATGGTATTGTTTAGCATCACTTCTGTCGAGCGAGCCCGCCTTGAATGGTGTGAACATATCGTTGCCAACCTCAGTCTTGAAGTTGATCATGGTACTTATCCGATGTCACAGCAGGAACGGAGAGTTTGCTTCCGGCGACAAATCAAGGGCTGTAAAGGTACCGAGCCGACGGTCAACGCCGACGCCGCGTGCTGATCACGTAATTCCGTCATTATGGCGCGTCGATGGTGGCAGTGGCAGTGCTGCTTTTCGGGGTTAGTGGATGCAACGAGCGTCAGGGTCCTGTTACGAGCGCCGAATATGTCAAAATTGCTCTGCGTCGACCTAAAAGCAGAATCTAGCAGAACTGCCGATAAGGTGAGCAACAGCAATAGGTCTCTATTTTGAGCAGAGGTTTTGTAAATATCTACGATCAGCAGTACTAAATTCTCTCGCGAGCGTAATCAGCGAGTCGTGCCATGTGTAGTGTGCCCTGTCAGAGGTACAGCTTGCCAGCCATAAACAGAAGTGTGAATGATCGCTGTAGTCCTGGCGCATGACTGACCTTGTCACTTTCTTGTGTTTCATAGCAAAGGCGTGTATCATTTACCATGGCAATAACCGGATGTGATGCACTTAATAATGTGAACGCGGTCGGTTCTCAATAGAGTATTCAGGGTGTGTATTGCCTCGAGCCCCAATACATGTCTACGTAGCGGGCGCTTATGATCCTATTTCGGTTTCTTCCTCGCTTCATGAATCAAACAATGTTGAGCGACACAACCTATCATGATGCTCATACAGCTTATCAGAGTTTGATAGTGTAGAAGTAGCGAATGTGTCCATCAAGATGCTAAAGCTGTAGTACTGGTTCAAAGCGGAGAAGAAGCCATCTAAATAGATAAAATAAAACTGCTTCCGTTCTCATCCCAAACCCCTCCGGCTGCAACTGCTCCCCAGGAGCCGCGGCGTGCTAAGGGGCTCTGTAGGTACGGTAAGGCGTACAATTATTTACGCTACGCGCGACATTGTCTATTGCATAGTAAATAGATAAAACGGAACGAGGATAAATAAGGTTATACGGGTGATGATTCGGGCACTGAAGGTTCGGTGGAGTGGTGGGCGTTGAAGTTCGCGACAAGGGTGGCATCGCTCTTCATCTGGCGGACGGGGCGCGCATCGGTAGCAGATAGGTGAGATGAGCCAGCGCCGACCTCCGGCTCGATATCGGGCAGCGTGCTTGGTGCCATGCTAAGGTTGCTAGGTGCAGGGCGAAGGAAGCGGTCTGTCGTGGGCGATTTCTTGGCAGCCTGCTCTTGCATGTCGACGAGCGTTTCGCGATCGCGTTGCTGAGCTATTTGCTCGACGGGAACAATGCCACGGAGACCAAATACGGCAATGAGCAGGGCGATGACGACAGCAGCAAAGCACGTCCAGCCAGCGGCACGGAAGCCGGGCATGAGTACTTCGGGAGAGGTGGGAGAAAGGTCTGGGTGGCTTTCCGAGTACTTCTTTGAAACGGCGGCGGCGACGGCTGACGAGACAGCCAGACCTGTAGAAATACCGAGCTGGAAATTCTGTCAGAACTAATACGTCGCAAAATGAGCGAGCACAAGAACTAACCTGGTTAGCCACGTTGAACACGCCACCTGCGAGGTTCTGCGAGTCTTCGTCGAATGTGGATGCCACGTGAAGATTACCAACTGGGAATGCAATGTCGATACCACAAATGAGCACGAGCACCGGGAACAGCATCGCCCAATAGGTAAGGTCGACATTGAGCAACGCGAAAATCAGGGGCGCTCCCTGACATAGGTCATGAGCACGGACTATAAAGCGGAAAATCCACAGCGAGGACTCACAGTTCCAAGTATAAGGCCGCAGACGATGAGAATCTGACCGTTGACATGGCCCATGAGAGCACCAGTAATCACGTTGATAATGAAAGCAGAAACAACCAGTGGGATGAACCGGATAGCCGTGTCCAAGGGGTCAAGGAGCTGAATCTGCTGGAAGCTGTCGACTTGTCAGAGACGTCAGGATGCGAGAAATGAGAAACGTACACAAGCGTGCAGAAGTAGACGAGGGTGTTGAAGCACCACCTATTCGCAAGGTTCAATATCTGCTGGAAATCGATGTGCTATAGCCAGAATAGACTCACCAGCCGAAGAATACGACAAGAAGGACACGTCCTTTCTTGGAGCCAGGTGTCCAGATGCTCATAGGTACGAGCACAGACTCGCCTCTCGCCTCACGACGACGCTCCCAAAAGACCCACGCGATCATCATCACAATGGAAACGGAGAACAGGGTAGGCACTTGAGGAGCTCTCCAGCCTTTCGACGTAGCGGTCGAGTCGCTAAAGTAAGAATAAGCTAAAGCTAGAAACCATATATATGACTAACACGTACCTGATAGAATACGTGAACATGGCGAGAGAAACAGTGCTGAGCAGAGCTCCAATCCAGTCAAGGCCCTTTGCATAACGTCTGGATCCATCCTCCTTGGGGAACACGATCGCGCCGAGTGCGAAGAAGAGGAAGGAGAATCCAGCCTGAATGTAAAATATCGAACGCCACGTCGCCTTCGACTGCGTGAGAACACCGCCGAGAACGAGGCCGAAGATGTAGCCCGCCGGCTTCGCCGCGCCGAGGGCACCGTATGCGATGTTACGCTTCTTGCCTGGAGGGAAGTAAGCAGATATGATGCCAATGCTAGCAGGCGTGTTGCAGGCGGATCCTACGCCCTCGAGAGCGATGAAAACGATGAAAGAGATTTCGTTGGGTGCGACGGCAGTGGCGATACTCCTGAGATAAAGGTCAGTGCGTTGGCAAAACAGAGTATGATGAGCACGCACCATACACCGAAGAACGCAGTACCAGCGAGGAAGACCAACTTGCAACCATAAATGTCGCCGAGTCTTCCGAAGAAAAGAAGCAGGCAAGCAAAGGCAAGACTGGACGGAAAATGTCAGAACGGGAGGTATCAACGCACATATAAGGACATACGCGTTAACGTTAACGGGCCATTGGAGAGCATCCTTCGAGAATTTTAACTTCAACGAACACGAGGAGTGAGAAGTTGAAGATTTACCTCCGCGAAGCCAAGATCCTTGCCAATAGTGGGAACGGCAACAGTCAATGCGCCGGACAAGAAAAGCTGCGAGGCAAAGAGAGTCCCCACGGTCAACACGAGGCGAAGTGCCAGCTCAAAATTATGACTCACGTTGAGAGTATTGACTCCACAAAGTGCACAAAGAACAAGGAGGTCCCTCGCAGTGAAGGCCATGACGAAAGGAAAAAGGGAAAAGCGGAAAATGAAACAGAGAATAGAAGGAAGCGATTGAGAGGAAAGGCGTTGTGGATCCGAGGATATGCATATTTAAGAGAGCCGAGGGTGCGTGGCGCTGTGACGTCCCCGCAATAACAATTACTGGAACCAATCTGAGCCGCGCCCGAAAATGCGACGGCGCGTGGTGTGGCAAGATCATGGTGGTTCGGCTCGTCCCGATCGGGAAGGTGACCAAGAATGCAGCATCGGGTGATTGTCGCATCTTTCCTGCACTGCCACATGTAGACAATGGCGACCCTCCTTGTCCGTGTCACACTCGCTAACTTACTGAATGACACCAAGTCCGCGGTCCACTTGCTCGTACTGCCAGACAAGTCTGGCCAGATCTCGACAGTTTCCTCTGCAATCTCCCTTCTCACGCTGGGGATTTGACGTTCGTTGCCGTGATGGCCAGGTCAGTCATGAACCGCACCAACTGCTGTGCCCTGTCTTCTCACCGCGCGCTTCTCATTCGGAATTCGAGCTGGGGTCCATTCGCCATCGTTAGCAATCTCTATCGAACCGCACCCTGCACCACTACACGAGGCAGGCAGTGAAGGAGACCTTATCAGTTGCGTTGCTAACGACGCCAACGCCCTGCCCGCCATCGTAACACCCAGTGCTCTACGTCCCTAACCATCCTTGACGTACACAGACACCACTTCTTGAGTCATGTCAAATCAGAAACGTCTCGTCCTGTACACCTCTCCGACCGGTAACGGGCGTCAGGTCCCGATCTTACTCGAGGAGCTCAAGTTAATCTACGGCCCTGCAATCGACTACGAGTGCGTCTATCACGGCTTTGCTTTCCCGGCTCTCTCATCAATGATTCGCGACAATTGCAAGAATTGTCCTTATTGACCGCAAGAAGGGAACACAGAAGGAACCCTGGTTTCTCGCCCTCAACCCAAATGGCAAGATCCCTACGCTCGTTGACAGAGCTCAGGAGAACTTTGCCGTATTCGAATCGTCCGCCATTCTGTTGTACCTTGTCCAGACGTTTGATGTCGACCGCCGGCTGTCGTTCGATCCTGCAACTCACCCGAAAGACTATTCGGAAATGATGCAGTGGCTCTTTTACGTGGTGCGTGCTGATGTCGGCTCGCCGATACATCGGCCCGAACCTTTTCACACAAGAGAGCTCATTCGGAATTCGCTCTCTTTGTTCAGCACGGCGGTCTTGCCATAGCCTATGGTCAATGTGAGCCACTATCACGTATGTGTGCAGCTATTGTCATCTGACGACTACGGCCGTACAGCCGTCCATTTCACCGAACTGGAGGAGGAAGTCCCATACGCGAAGAATCGTAAGTGAAACACTAATTACGTCATCATGAGGTCTCTGACCTCGCTCCTCTGCAGGATGGCTGACTGAGCTTGAACGACACTTTGGCGTGCTCGAGAGCCGACTCATCAATCGAAAGTACCTTTCCGGTCCAGGAGATGGTACTTACAGCGTGGCTGATATCAAAGCCATGGTTTGGTGCGTCCCCTTATCCGGCGCAGCCTCCAGTCGCTCACCTTCTGATGACCCGAATAAATGGGGTTTGGTGAAACATCAGGGCGGGTCCAAAAATGCTATCTCGACTTGGGGTGGGGCCGATTGACAAGTGGCCGAATGTCAAGGCATGGCTCGCTCGCATCGAGGAACGACCCGGTATCAGTGCCGCAGAGAAGGCGCTTCAATAGTAATCTTAGCAACTGAACATTTTGTACGATTAGCCTATCTTTGAAGTGTACCCCATCTACCCATGACCTTTAACTTACGAGGCATTGAATCTACCCTCGTGAGCAATCTAAAGACGTACCTCATAGACATGGGAACAAGGGGCTGACGTTCATCATGTGAACTTAGTTCAGAATCCGAAATGCATAGTACTCATGTGCATGCTACGGGGAGCGCATGGCACTTATATAAATGGTACAGCACTCAAATGCCCTTCGTCAGTCCCCAGTATTCCGGTTTCTGGCATGATGAGCTACAACTAATCACTATATACACTGAACATGACGCAGCGGTCCCGGAGAGTAGTCACTAAGGTTTCGTGACAGGGGACAGAGCCTACGATATTTTCATCAACTGGAATTACTGACGTCGAGGAGAAACTCATACTAACCTACTAATCCTCGTTCCACGAGAGTCCCCCGCGCGTAAGCTGCACATTCATGTGGATGACCAGGTGATTTATGATCATGGGCTGGACTGCAAACATCCATGTCGCGCCAATTTGATTGTAGTTTGCTGGCCAGTTAGCTCGGGCCGCAGTCTGTGTCACGGAAGCAAGGGCGTTCCTGGGATGATGTAAAGTTAGCAGTCAGCTATGCGTATACGCAAGAAGGAAGAGTTGGGAAACAAGCATACCACAAATAGAAGATCAAGCAATCCCGCCCTAAAACTTTCACCAGCTGAGCCCCTGACCATGTTCTATTCGGAGACTTGAAATAGTTTGTCACAGATTTCTTTCCCACAAGTATAAAGAGGCAAATATCAAATACAAATGAGGGTGTCCTTTGAAATTTCAGTGCCATCTCACAATATGTAGGATAGACCCTAGACGCAAGCTCACCACGTTAAGGTATACTCGGGAGAATTGACGCTGCATGTACTTGTCACACCGGTTTCCGTTGCTGAAGAGAATATTAGATATCGGACAGAATATTCTTATGCTTCCTAACCTTTTGATCGAGACCAAATAACACCTAGAACCCCCAGAATAACATTGCTCAGTAGCGTAATCACATAGAGCATAGTGATGGACACGATTATCACTCGTCCTGAAGTTTACGACAGCCATGAACAGCCTTGTATGGTGCGTTACGCCATCTAAACTTACTTTGACCGTATATCGCGAAGACATAGCTCATTAGCACACCTGTGTGATCCGCTAGCTTAGCACATTCCTGCTATGAGTTCATATAAGATACTGTATACCTTCGACTACTATCGACATAATTACGCCTTGTGATCAGTCAGTATCGTGGAAATAGTCTCCATCATATTGGGGATCTTACCCGCAGAAAGATCGAAATTCATATATCCGCGACCTGCCTTATTTCAGCACAACGTACTCATTGAGAGAAATAGTTGAAGATTTACACCTATCACAAACAACGAGTAATGTTAGTGCTATCTTTCTGGGAGAAAAAAACAACGACCCACAGTTCTTGTGTTAGTTGATGCGCTGTTCCCGGATGGGTTATATCCCAAACTAGAGCATAGTTGACTACCATCATGAGAATATAGGTCGATTTGGGATTGATATGTATGGCTCACACGCCATCGATACGATTGAGGCTATGAGTGCCGTGTATCGATTCTTAGAATACAATATTTATCAGCAATTTTTCAAAGAAGACACTACACGTACTAGCGTGTATGCTACTCTGAGAAAATTCCATGGGCGGCGCTTGTCGGAAATCTCAGTGAAGCTCTGCTTAAAACATGGAGGACCTTACCCAGCATAAAGACGCCTGGGGCAACCTCTCATGAGTCGATTGAGCGCATACTGTCATAGAATGGGGAGCAAACCTCATAGGGAAAAGTTATAACTGCGAAGATATGTCAATGTCTCACCATGGACGTGAAAATCTGATCATGCTCACTGTAGTCCCATATATACAAAGCACCCGCTGTTGCTATGCTCAGACTGGTGTAAACATGTTCCATACTAGTCAAACGCTCTAAGAATGCACCTGCCAGATAGTTGCACAAAACTTGCACTTGAAGATCGCTTATCAGCCATTCCGCTTCAACGTTGGTAGCAGTGACATCTAACATGCTAGGTGGGAGGTCAGAGAAAAGGTGGGGATGCGGCGATAGCAAGCTGAGAAGATAGGACGCTAAGTAGTCTCTTATCTATAGTTAGTCCATCAAAGGCTGCGCAAAGCAACGACAACAAGTAGCTCGATGATGCTGAGAGCAGAGAATATGTTTCCAAAACAGTAGCTATCAAACAAAGGGGCTCCAAAATTAACGATAATCAAGTGGGGAAGCATAAATAGAGCTGCGCGTAGGCATACAGCCTCGGGTGGAGGATCAACGTAACTCTGGACTCACCAACCCTCCGTAAGGGACAAGGTGTGACTCTCTCACGAAAGAAACGCAATGAAAGATCAAGTCAGCGTTCGCGTGCCTTTGAAGCTGTGTACCTTCTAAGCTTCAAGCTTCAAGCACAAGCTCGAGCAAGACTGAAGCTACTGAAGACTTACTAGACGGCCAAAGTTGTCGGTATATACTGTGGTTGGTTGTGTCTGTCGGATCTGTTGGATACGTGGACGAGTCCCCGTATCCATGGTATTCAATCTGAGGAACGAAGGTATTATATAGAGTAGTATATGTTCCATGAGTAATTACAGGTTGCGTAGACATTTTACGAGTTTCAGCTTTCAACTAGATAGTACTTGATGTTGCTCTATGGATACTCACATTGTTGTCCTTGCATTGTAACACAGCGCTTGTCGATGCAGAACGCTCTCCCTATACAAATGTACCTCAGGTATAGATAATCCCTGAAAGCGTACAATAAGTATATAACCAGCAGCTGTAGACATAAACGCCTTCCCTCCCGATAAAACAATCTTGCGAAATATCGAAGTTTCTGGTTTGTGCATCAGAAGACTCTGTAAGGATTCAGAATGGGTGAGAGTGCAGAAGGACCATGAGAATACTTAGCTTAGGACAGGTTGATTGAGACCTTGACGTTGATTTTCGAGAACACGTATGTGGTTATCGAGACTCTGTGCAACTTCCACGTCCGTCCGCATCACTCGAAGAACAAAGATGTATTTGGAGCTGAGATTGAACTTGGAACCCCACGTGGCGGGAAGTTGACAGAAAGCAATGCCCGGCTCGGTGACAATAGCGCAGTCATGTTCCGATCGGTGCGGCTCTTTGCCATTTGAGTGGCCCCAATCTATCACAGCAAGACTCCTTCCTCGTTGAGGCTCCCGTCACTCATCACTGCAATCATGGACGCTGAACCCATCTCCGTTCACCTGTTAGCTATCCTATCTTGGGCCTCTGAGGAACCATTACGCGCAGGAGGCATAGTGGGTTTAACGGTTGTGCTGGGGTACGCTCTCACTCGAGCGTTCAAGTCAGACCCAGTGCGTCACCTCTCCTCTTACTTTTCCTAACCCCCTATTTACCTGCTTGCATTCACTCTCTAGCTCTCCCATATCCCCATTGTTGGCCCAAAGTCCTACGTCGGCTCTTACATCTATGCCCTCAAACATGCCGTTCGCATGCAACCTGCCATCCGTGAGGGTTATCTCAAGTACGGCGGGCGCCCTTTCCGCATCCCTACCTTGTACGGCTGGCAGGTCGTGCTCGCTAGTCCGGACCTACTCAAGGAGGTGGGTCGAGCCCCAGATGACTCACTTAGCTTCTTCGAGGCTGCGAACCAAGTACGTCTTTCGCTGTTTCCTTGCGTTGAAGTTATGCTGACATCATGCTATGTACAATGACCTTAGGACTTCAAGCTGGAACATACCATGGCTCACCGCTCGCACCACACGCATTTGCACGTACCTGTTATCCAAAACCGCCTTACTAGGAATCTGGCGCGTCTGTTCACGGACATACGAGAGGAGATTGTAGCTGCTTTTAACGATGGACTCGGACTGCAGGGGAATGGTATGTTGGGCAGGACCTCCGCCTCAATATGCACAATACTGATGTAAGGATGAAATCCCAGATTGGAAGGCCATCCCAGCACATGACATGGCGGCGAACGTCGTCGCGCGCACGAGTAATCGCGTATTCGTTGGGCTTCCGTACTGTACGTCCAATCCCTTCCTCCCCGTTGTCGTCACTTCTCAATCGTGGACTCAAGGTCGCGACCCCGAGTACATCGACCTTTGCATTCGATTCACCCTCGACATCGCCAAAGCTGCGATAACTATCAAGCTGTTCCCTAAGATTCTATCTCCGTACGTGCTGCTTTCACAATAGCTTGCCATGCGATAACGTAACATAATCTGACGTCTACTTTTCAGCCTCGTTGCACGCTACTTGACGAATGCGCACAACAATCTTCAACATGCGCATAAGCTGCTTGGACCCATGATTGAGGAACGTCTACGGCTAGAGGCTGAGCTAGGAGATGAGTGGACTGAAAAGCCCGTGAGTGATGCACGCTGTTGCTGATGTTAGACATGCTAATATATGATCACTGGAACTGTTAGAATGACCTCCTCTCATGGTGCATCGACGAATCTAAGGGAATCGAACGCACACCATACGAGATCGCCCGTCGGATCCTCGTTATCAACTTTGCTGCAATACACGTACGTCTTCATCACCAACTTTGCAAGTTTTAATCGCTCACGTCAGGCTTTGTTGGCGGCACACGTCTAGACGAGCTCAAACGTACGTCTCCTTCTCCCTGAGCTCTCATCATCTGAAGTCTCATCGACGATCTGACCGCCGATATGCAGAACTTCTGCCAAGCACTTTTCAATATAGCCGCTTACCCCTCCTACGTCCCCGCCCTGCGCGAAGAAGTTTCCCGCATCGTCACAGCCGAGGGGTGGACGAAAGCAGCGATGGGAAAGATGGTAAAACTAGAGAGTTTCCTCGCAGAGACGATGCGTCTCGAGGGACTCAATATCCGTATGCGTCCCCCTTCCTCTAAACCCACTGCGACGCTCACATGCGGCGCTCGATACAGTGACGATGCAGCGCAAAGCAATGCATGACATCACTCTCTCAGACGGAACATTCGTCCCCGTTGGCACCGTCGTCGCTGTCGCCGCGGACGTGCGCCACCTCGACCCCGCGCTGCACGGCGACGAGCCAGAAACGTTTGACCCGTGGCGGTTCCTCAAACACGATGGGCCTTCGCCCGCAGATGGCGTAGAAGGGGAAGAAGGGGAAGATAAGGTTCAGAACAGAGTTGTTAGCGTGAACGAGGATTGGTTGGTGTTCGGGTATGGTCGACATGCATGGTGCGTTCGGTTCTTCTCTTTCAAATTATATTTCGACATGCAGAGCTGAACCCTGCGGCTGGTCTTTACAGCCCAGGCCGGTTCTTCGTCGTGAACGAGCTCAAGGCCATGCTCGCACACGTTCTCGTGACATACGACGTCAAGCTCATGGACGACGCGCGCGGCGAACGGCCTGCGAGCTTCGTGCTGGGCGCGAGTCGTGCGGCCAATCAGACGGCGAAGGTAATGTTTAGGAAGCGCGCAGATTAAGTACTGTCAGGTAATTATTCGTGGTCTTTGATCTGTTCGGTGTATCTCCATTTGTTATCTCCCTATGTAATATTATCATTGACTGACAATGTGGAATCGAATGTGAACACAAGATCCGGAGCAACACAATGCCCAGCTCATGTATTGCAAGTCGGTGAAACAGTTTGATAAGCACCACGTACTAGTCTTGCGTGGTGACATTTAGATTAACATAGATTGGAGGCTTTAGGATGAAAGACACGTAAGATAGCAAGTTCTCTTCGGATCAGATGGTTTAATATTGTCAAAACGAAGGAATGGGGATCGGGCTATCAAACGGTAAAGCGATGGCATTCAAAGCGCTTCCACTCTTGGAAAGCTCGTGACCATTGCTTTCTTCAGCGTACTTGGTAAAAGTTCACATTCGATACGTTGCCTAGTCTCAAGTTTGTACTACTCAGAATTTAACCTATGCGAGTTAGCCAAGCGTAGGTGAAAGCGTGTTGCGATTATTGTGTGGAAGGTGATTTGGTACCTTTTTGGCAAGCATGAAGAATATCAGTGAGTTCGAAGCATGTCCTTGTCTCAAAGAGCTACATACGCGTTAAACCCATTTGGAGTAATACTCTGAAACGGATTGTATATTCAGGGGGATTCAGAAAAGTATAACAAGAAAATCACTGACGCGATGGTAGAAGGAGACAACTGTGTTCGTGATCGATAACATTGCTTAATCTCTGAGCTCGCAGGAAGCTAACGGAGAGAGTGAAACACTGACGAATCATGCATATGCAGTATAGCATCCCGTCTCGTAATAATGTCTTCAGAAGTTCGCATTGTCTCGAAGTGCACGAGCCACAGTCAAGCCAAGTATTACTGGAGAAATAAGGGCATGAGTACAGTTGGATCGAATAGCTGGATTTGAACTTACGAAGCTCAGTCATGAGGATCAAAGCATACCCTATAGGTAGAACTATCGTCCATCTACTGACAACGCAGGATGCTATCCCGGGGACGGAGTACAGCCCATCTACAGATATTTGCAATAGGTTTCAGATAGTATTCACGACAAGAAACCACAGACATCTCACGTCTTGTTCTGAGAACAGCTGCAGCAAACATCATTGCACCTGCAGCGAAAATCATCTAGTTTTGATGAACTCGAAGCGCATGATATATCATGCATAGAAATGCTCACAATAGCACACAAGGATAACATGGTGCGGACAATCCTATGGCAGCTCCATGCAGCATAAATTCTCTTGAAGAAAAGTCCTGCATAGGGGCTTCATAAGCTTTCGCAATAGGAATTATGTCTACAAAGTCTCACCTTCGGAAGTCACAATTGACAGCTTCTATTGCTGGATGTGGAGCAAGCCTCAGGATGAGGAAGTATCATGTGAAAGTAGATGATTACCTGTGTTGAGGTCGAGCAGAACTCTACACGTTGTGTCGCTATGGTTGACATTGCCGAGTGCTAGCATTAGCCTACCTGACACTTTAGTCTGTACTTGTTTCCTTCGAAGGATAAATTGAGTCTTTCTTACATATGATACGCAGTGATAGCCACGCGAACGGGCTGTATCGAGCAGTGATATACATGACCTGATCAGGGCCTATGCGGCTCCCCTTGCCCTTTCTCAACGACAGGTAGTCTATCTTCAGATTGACCATTATCTTACACCAGTACGACCAGAATACCAAGCACAGAGAGATTACCTCACTAGCACAGTTGAGGAGGCAATCATATATCTGTAGATGGATTAGAGCGTATAGTATAAATCAATTACGATGATAATTCACCAGTAAAGCGAAGACAGATACTAGCAATGCTTCGAATTAGCTGGGAACACAGTATTGCGAAGGCACCGTACCATCAAAGTACTGTTATCAGATCATTTCAGCGAACCTCTCCTGTTTTCCCATATATGTGAGCACATACATTTCCTTCGTTCAAGAAGGCTTATTACTTTCTTCGTGGCGTGTTTTCTGTGGTGTCTGGACAACTCGTCCATTGAGGACGTTAGGGAGCAATGTTACTCCGTCTGATATGGAAGGGGGTGGTAAGAACGTGGATGAGCCTTCGTGAGATTACCTAGGCTTATATGAGTAGTGTACTACAGTTACGAGACAGAAGATTCTCCTTGCGGAGCCGGACAGCCTTGTTGATGGCAGGCTCCGATTACTCCTTATCATCAGGATAGCGTAATTCTAGAAGTGTTACACTTGTGTCTCTTCAGCTTCATTCAGGCTAGTTTATATCGTTTCAGTACTTGTACATGTCCGTACCTGAACTTCTACTATCACATCAGCAATCAGAAGAAAACAATGTGTCCTTCCGTACAAATCTGAAGATCTCACAGTGTATGACTCGATGAGGGCAAATGCATTTGCCTGCATTCTCACGAGGCTATGATCTGATGAACCTACGGAGCTGGCGGTGATGCGAGTAGTGACGATTTGCAATGAACTACAGCTACGAGTCAGAAATGTACGCGTTGAAACTGCATACTGGCTACTTAATTTGCGGCTCAAGAACTGGCACGAGTATCAGAGAACTACAGATGGCCAGAGTCAAGTTGCTAGATATTCTGAGGGGATAACATTATGCACTGACTTATTCACCAATCCTTCTCCGGACACCGGTCGCTCGGTGTTTTCCGTAGATGATGAGGGTCCAAGATCGGGCCAAACTAGACTCGTAACCATTCTCAGCCTATGCGTGCCTAAAGAGGCAACGAGCCAGAGGCTGCGCTCGAGCTTCCCAGCTCGTTACCCGACTAGGGTCCACAGCGCTGAAACTGGTTACGAGTCTACGGTCAAAGCGCTTATGGTAAAGAATAGACCATCTCGACTCCGGATCAGGAAACTACACATTTCATTGAAATTACCGTGTAACGCCGGCTGACAGCCACAACGTGGTATGGTGTTCCTGCATCTCAGAATAAGGACGCGTTAAGAAGCGTCTCAGTCTCAGTAGATGGGCCGCCAAGCGCATCCCCAGTGCGCCAGACTTCATGAACCATACGAAGCTGTGGCACCAAAGCGATGCTTGCAAGTACTATCGACATCCATGCCGCCAGGCCCATAAACATGTAGATCACTTCATTGAAGTATGAAGACTTCGTCCCCAAGCAGCCGGGTGAGCACGAGAGTGTTGCTTAAATCCATGAAAAAGGACGCATACAAAAACACCCTACAACTAAAGGATGTGCTCTGATTACGACTCCTCCGTTCTGTTTTCAAGTTCGTAGCTCTCTGTTCTGTTCATGCTACGCCGCTGAAACTGTAATGATGATATTATGGTGTCGGTACACGGAAGGTCCAGCTCTTGCGAGCTAGCCAGGTTGAGCTGTAGGCGAGAAGCCAGAATGGAGTGAAAGGTAGCCTGATAGCTATAACAATATTAGAATCTTAAAGTGAAAGAGATAGAGGCCTCAACGGCAAAGCTCACTTATCCAACATGTTCATAGTGACTCCCTACTCAATTGGACTAAGCTTGCTACGAAGGCTGAAAGAAAAAATTACGCACAGGAACTGATGCCGTGACCAGATTTGCTACCGAGAATACTATTGTATTCACGCCACCAGATCAGCCGGCAGGAGATGAATCTAGCTGAGGTGCTCACGGGTCATGCAAAAACAGTATATCGCTCCACCACTCATCAGAGTCTTCAGAAGGCCGAGGTGTGGCCGGTCTCGTATGAGGCGTATGCCAATCAAACCAGATATTGCTAAACACACGTGAGTGATAAATATGAGATCGTGAGCTGCGCCTTCTGACCTAGCTCAACCACAAGCAGGATTACGAAAGCACTGGGAAGAATGTTGGAGGGCTCTTTGACTGCAGTGCATCCGTCGAGGCTCGAAACGGGTGATGCCACAACTCAATGAGGTTCAGGGCAGGTCCAGAAACCAATAGTATATGCACTCACATGTCACCGTGAAGACGAATATCGCAATAAGAACCATGAGTGGGACGAGCCCGATCTAAATTCACGTCAAAGCTAGATATCCACCAAGTTGATGATATCACGAACCAGGATCAAGGACAAAATTATATAGAGAATGCGCCTTTGGCAGTTCCACATGATGTAAGTGCGCAGGAAGAAGAGACCTGGCATCCAGATTTCAGAATTAGGTGAGCGCATACCATTAAGGCTAAACCTTACACTCTGAACATATCAATGAAATAGCCTCGATCACTGGAAACGATGTTAGCTTACGATCATACTCAGGACAAGCAGTAGTTCATACAAGAGCAGACTTCGAACATAGATTGACATGTCTAGTCAACAGGCACGTTTATGAGTCTGAATGTGTCACAACTTGCTGGCTTACCCTGTCGCTAAGACCGGGAAACAATAGGACTACTGCAACAGTAAGGTCTGCATCTCTTAACGTGAAGTACAACGCACATCGAAGGACTAGTGGCATCGCCATGAAAGGAAGGTATCGTGTCAGGACGTACAACACCTTTCCGAGACCCATGCGACGCCTTGTCCAAAGGTAATCAAGCTGCAAGCAGTTTAGACTGTGTGAACGACATCAATAAATCGGGAATACCTCGTCGGGGAGGCTGAGAAGATAGCTGTAGACCTGAGGAGCTCAAGGATGAAGAAGTCGGAATCATACGGAAATGTCTCTTCGACGCGCACCAGCATGGATGTGACGGAAACTGTAAGGGCGGTAAGACAGTACTCTGGTCGCGCAACAGTGCGAAGTGTCTTACCGTTCATGTACTAGACGTTGAAAGACTGTGTTAGAGCTCCTAGTAGACGTGACGATCCCAGCGAGACGTACGTTGGTTAGCTGGGCATTTTTGGCGAGAAGAATAGACTGTTCCATCACGGAAATCGTGATGAGGGACACGTCCTAGAGCCGGGAATTCTGAAGGGAAGCAAGGTAGCTGATCAACCTGTCGGAGACTCGATGAGAACAGTGCAATCCTTTTTTAAACTGGCCAATGCGGGCTCGCTGCAGGTCATCACGTATGCTGTCTCTGGCAACGCCAGTGACTAGCGACCAGTGAACATCGCATTTGTGATGATCACCTATGTCCGAGGTGAAACTTTGACATGATACGATGGGGTCCCAACGTTTGGACAACGGGCGAGGCAAAGGATGCTCGCGGCTGGGAAAATTTAAAAGAACTCGGATTGGCAGATTTGTCACTCCTCGCACTGCTACATGAGGACTAGGTGTGTACCATCTGGATTCCATACGCCGAGACGTCACCTAAACATCGCTAAGCCCAAGTCATTCACACTGTTCGTTCCGCTATCATTCGTAAATCATTGCATTGGACATGTAGCTAGTAGGCTCGCATATAAACTAATCTAAACGTGACCGCGATACACCTTGACAAGAGACAGTCAGCAAAGGGCCCAATGAGTGAGACGTCGATAAAAGAAGAGAAGGATCAGACATCCAAAGGAAGGTCTGCGAAGACCTCTCATCGAGCCAGCCCCCGCTTCCCGCCCAGCGCACCCCGAGGGGCGGCCCACACACGCCCACGTTTTTGGGTTCACGGGGCGCGGGGGAATGTAGACGTTCCGCATTGGGGGAGTACTCCCTTGCGAGGAGGGCTCTAGAGTGGAAACTGCGAATGTACGGAAAAGTTTCATCATAAAAGCGGCGCGCGAGAACGCGTCATGATGAGATAAGGAATGATGTACTCACAAGAATAGGTTGGTGGCACAGCTGGCAGTGACGATAGCCAGGAGGGACCTGGAAGAGAGATTGCTTAGTACGAGAGCTCACGAAAATGAAAGATGGGAGAAGGTGAAGAATCAGACAAAATGGCACTGGCAAGTACACTGTGCGCCCCGTAGGACGCGTGTTCGTTGCGAACGAACGCTCTATTCCTCGGCATGGTCGTGTAGGACGGGGAAGAGAATATGGTCATCATGTAAAGGAAGGCGATGGATGGCTATCTTAAAGATATGAAAGCTCACCTAGTCCGTCGATGCCAACCGATGAGATGAGAAGGGGAAGATCGAAAGGGACGCGGACGAAGATGCTCAAAAAAATTGCACCGCTTTATAGCACGCCATCGTCATGCTTGGCCTTGTTTGGCTTATTCCAACACGTGAGATGTGAGCGTGAGTAAGCTAGTCGCAACTTGCCGAAGCCGAGACGCCCCCTTTAGGACGGCCGTCGGGCACGAGCCGCTTTTGTACTCACCAACATCAACGGCGGCGACGAGCAGACCATCACTCCATCACTCCCTTTCCACCTACCTTGACATCGTATGCCATCTATACTTTCACCAATGCTTCCATGGATGGGCTCCAATCTTTCTGAGCCTACCATGACACCCCATCGGGCCCCGGAAGCCCAACGGCGGCCCCGCTCGCCTGAGATCATTGACGTCGACCTCCTCGATGACGAAGACGTCGCCCCTAGAAGGAGCACAACCCGCCCATCCAGCCCACGAAGGCGGAGAGTAAACGAGGAAGGCAGGAGTAGAGGTGTCTCGAGGAATGGCTCGGCGCTTCCCGATGATGCGGACGTGGTCATTCTCGACGACGGCGGGGACTCAGACGACGATGTACAGTTTATGGGAATGTCTTTCAATCCACAGCGACAGCGCCAACAACAAAGGAGTGCGTTTCTCTGCCCTTTGTTTTGTCTGTCTGCACCATGTTAACCAACACCCTTTGTTCTCGACTTTGTTCCCTGCCACCCACTCGCGCATATATGCATGATATGCACTCTCGGCACCTCCCCTCCTTTCGCCTTTGTCCCCCTACTACGAATGCACAGTCCCCCGTCGAACCATCTTCTCTCCTCCACCTCCCAACTCACGTGGCTCCGTCCCACCCGTACCGCCCGTCCCAGCCCATTTCCGGCGACGGGACATCCAGCCTCCGATGCGCCGCCATCCGCCACCCTTCCCCAATGACGTGATCGTCGCACACGACGACCCTCTTCCCTTTGAAGCCAACATCCGTGCTCCCGCCCCGAACAGTAATGCCGGCAGGGCCCCGGCCGCTGCACCGCGGTCGCACCACACCCCGACGATGGGTCTCGGTGGCGCACTTATTGCTCGCGAGAGGCACGAGCGTTATCGCCCCGAGCCTGCAGGCGTCGAGCAAGAGGACATGCCGCGCAACGCCCTGCTCCGCGTCGGCCCGCGCGTGCAACCGGGATGGGGCTATGACGATCGAGCGTTCGCCATTGGCGGCCCGTGGGGACGCCACGCGGACCCACTCTTTGGCTTCGGCTCGGACGATGAGGATGATCCTGATTGGGACCCAGAGGACGTAGGCGGAGCGGATAGATTCTTTCCTCAGGCGATGGGCGACATCGACGCGCTTGCAGCGCATGACGCCGCCAACTCGTTTGGAGGATGGGATAGACCCCGCTGGGGTGGATGGGGATGGCCTGGTGTCTGGGGAGGAGGCGCCGGGCTGTTTGGAGGTCGGGAGAGGGCGAGGGAGAAGGAGCCCGAGTATCTCCCGGAGTACACGCACCCCAAGCGGTTACCTGCAGCATTTACGGCGGATTTTGCGCCGCCTTCGCCTGAGGAGGTTAAGCCGGACGTCATCGTGGTCCGTGACTCGTCGCATTCGCCTCGGATATCTCGGGCCCGGCCGGGAGCGAGTGCGAGCTCAAGCGCGCAGAAGCTCGAGGAGGAGGCTCCAATTGCAGGCGGCATGACACTCGTGTGCCCTCGATGTCGCGACCCGCTTGCGCTTGGGAGCGCGGACACGGGCGCGAAGCGTGAGCGGAGTAGGCTCTGGGGCCTGCGTTGCGGTCATTTGCTCGATGGCAAGTGCGTCGACGAGCTTTCTCACCCTCGGGCACCCACTCCTCCCCCATCTGCGACCCCGCCTGTGATCGTTCGCCCTGATCCGAAGGGCAAAGGCAAGGCAAAGGCCACTGACACCGATATGGCGAACACGTTCGACGCCTCCACGTCGGTGCGCATGCCTGGAGCGTTTACCTACAACGATGCGCCGCCGCCGCCGTACATCCACGACCCTTACGAATCCAATCCCATTCGCTCCCGCCTGCGCTCTCATAACTCACACCCCCACTTTGGACCCGGTGCATCATCTTCGTCACAACCTTCAATCCCCGGTCCTATCCCCGCACCACATCAATATCCGTCCGTCCCCTCCACGCCCACATCACGCCGCACTGCCCAACACCCCACTGAGCCCCCGGTCCGGGCCTCGACGCGGCGTGGGCGCACGCGTCCTGGACCCGGTCGCGGCCGCGGTGGCAAGGGAAAAGGCAAAGCGAAAGGTCCGGTCGTCGAGGCTGAGCACAGCTGGTGCTGCCCCGTTGCTGGGTGTGGGCGCGAGCATCTCTCGCTCAAGATCGATGGGCGGTGGGTGCCCGATGTGCGGAGGGGAGCTATTGGCGTTTACGTCTAGTGGTAGGTCGGATTCGGCGACGTGTTGAAGACGATATTTGCTGATGCTGTACTGTTGCAGGATATTGCGCTTCGTCGGTCGCCGTGCTCGATCGTTTTTTTGCTCGGCGTTTTTTTAAAATGTTTTCCTCGCATGGTATCATATTGCATACAGCAGACAGATACGGTTCCGCACGCCTTTTTGGGAGACGCGACGCTTGGACATCTCCGAAATAATAGAATGTGCTTGTATCTCATCTTCACTTGTCACCCTCCAACATCAGCTGCCGTGTCTGAAACGAAGGTACGTTCTTCGGATCCTACCCGGGATGACTGACGCTGCACGTCTTCGTGAGCCACTGATGAGCAACCTTCGGTTGACACTCGGACGCACGGCCCGTTTGAAGTTGGGGAATGAGGGTCGGAGCGGCACCCGTGCACTTCAGTCAAATATTTACGAAAACTAGACTGCGCTTGACAGAGACTCCCTATAGCCTTTCCTCGATATGTGTTTACGCGTGAGATGGCGACGACCCCATGACTACCGTGGTCATCGCTCGAAGACCACGAGTCGAGCTATGAGAAGCTGGACTTGGAGGCCCGCTCCGTGTCTTTGGACGCTGCGCTCGGCTTCCTTCGACCTCCTCGGGCATGTGTCTGTGAAACGGCGAGGGGCTCGTGGTTTTGCTGACGACCGGTTGAGAACATGAGACAAACTATGAGCTACGGGCTTCATGTTTACGTGGCCTGTTTCACGTTCTTTGCTTGTGCCGCCGCAGCCAAAGCAGGTCCGTTCTAACACAACATGCCCTATGACTTGATGAGGATCGTATCGGCCCGAAGTTGCTCACAAATAGGGAGACCGATGGTAGTACTGGTCTTTCCGTGTCGTTTATTGTACTTTGACCGCGGTTTGGTATTGAAGCCTATGTATAGCACAGTACATGGCATACTGGAATCTTGGCTTATCCAGCTATGTGATAACAACAAGCTGCGAGCGGGGATGGCTGGCACAAGTTCCGTGTGAGGTGCACTAGCTGATTATGGATAGACGCCGTGCTGGGGCACGCTGCGTGCGCGTGGATCGAGAGCTTCAGCTGCTATGATAGAAACAAAGTTCGGAACGTGAGTGAGTGTGTGTGGTATCGTGTACTCATGTCAGCTGGGGTTTGTTTGTTAAGAAGGTCGATCTAAGTAGGAGTCACGCCCAACCTCGCCAACTAATCGTACTAATCAATGTGCAATCTTCAATCAAGTCTTCGATCGATGCAATTGAATGCGTAGGCACGATCTATATCGCTGGTTGAAGGCGAGTATGTAGATGCAAGACGAGCTGCATACTGACAGTGACACGATAAGTCCCCGCACGCCTCGTGCCTGTCCAAAAGACTATCGAAGCCCCGCCTCGAGGCAAGTCGACGGTAAAGACGGAAAGCGTCTACGCTTTCTCGATCGGCCTGATCAGACACCGCCGATCCCAATGCGCAGCCACATACGCACGAGGCTCCCAGCTCCCAGGTGTCCGCATCGGCTAGGCCGTTTATCAGCGACTGTCATGACAGACAGCGAGGGCAGCGTCCGCGATATGGACGATACATGCGTATTGGACGTCTGGGAAGCATGGTGTTACGCTGCTCCGTAGCCTGTGCCGTGCAACGTGGGCCGGGTTCCGAGCCTTGCGCACTTCGGTGCCTGTGTATTCATACATTACGAGTGGTCTGACGAGCGTTATGAACACAAACATGGGTGCAACGTGCCCAAGCGGGCGTGTTGGAGATATAACCAGACACCCCAATGCGGGGCGTCCCCCTCCTGACTTGACTGACTTGCTGGTTCTCGTCTGCTAGACGTTCCATTCCATTCCGTTCCTCTCCTGCGGTCTAAGACCCAACCGCTGATCGGCTGACCCCCAAGCGAAGCTAACCTCCCCCTGTGGATGGATGATCAGCCGCTACGCACGACCTGAACGATCTCACTTATACTTACGAGCACCACTCGACGATTTGTTACGAACTCACTCATGATGGACGCATATCCCTCATCATCAACATCGGCATCCATATTATCATCACAACCAACAGCCAGAACACAGATACCAACACCGATACCGATGCCCACATCCGTGCTGGACACCCCACGACGATACATGCGACGAGAGTGGAAGCGCACCAAGCCCGTACGCCCTCCCTCCCTCCCCCTTCCCTCCCTTCTCTCATCTAACTGCATATGCACCTGTCCACCAGCACCTCCCGCGCTCCGACTCCCTCCCGAACCTGCGCCTAGTGCCCGCGCGACCGCTGTTCGCATGCGCGCGGTGCGGGTTCGCCAACACGCTTGTGCCGTTATGCCTGTGGTGCGCATGGACAACGCAGGGCGCGGCGCGGGCGTTCGAGGAGGCGATGCCGCGCGCGCGCAGATTGAGTGCGCCGGGGCGGGCGTGGCCGGTGTATCGCCAGGATACTACGGCTCACGGGGCGGGGCGTGTAGAGAGGCGGGTGTGGGGGGGTGGAGAGAGGGGTGTAGATGTGAAGCTAGAGGAGGAGAGGGGGGAGGAGGAGGGGAGGAGGAGGGGGTCGGTGTCGAGCGAGACGGAGGCGTCGAGTGTTGCGGTGATTACGCCTGTGGGTGGGACTGTGGATCTGCCAGCGGAGGCGTCCGAGCGGGACTCGGCCCCGATGGAAGAGAGCGGGAAGGGGAGGCGGGAGGAGTTTGTGATGGTGGGAGGACACGAAGGTGATGAGGTGATCCGGGTCGAGGATGCGGGTGCATTTGGATGCAAGTTGGAGGAAGTCGCCACGGGAACGGAGGTGAGTTGTCCGTCAAATCGTCGGCCGAGGTCAAGCTGTGATTGGCTCGTATTGGCGCGGGAGTGGTGTTGACAGGGGCATTCCGAAGTCTCCAATCTCTTTTCACTTCACTCTGCTCTATCCACTCCCTCGCTCACTCTGTCTTCCTAGGTCCAGTATCTCCCCTCCGATTGGCCGTCTGCCCATCCTCACCCGCACGCTCCTTGTCCACCCCAACCACCATCGCAACCACGGCATCTACCAGAAGACGCGTGTGATAGACGCAGATCCGGCGCGGACACACCAAGCGTGCATGATCGACGCGCTAGTCCGTCTGCCAAAGTAGAACGCGCGCAGAAGGACTCAGACGGCGCTAGCAGGCTTCTTCGCGGGGTCCATATCAACGCATCCCCAGGATCCAGCGTCCACTCAGACACCCGTTCGCTCTCCCTCCGTCTGCGTCGTCGCCTGCCCCCTCTTTTCGTTGTGCCACCTACACCCAGGCTGCCTACGCGCGATCAGCCCCGGCCTCAAGACATGTCGCTCCTTACACCCTCGTCTCCTTCTCAGCTACACAGCGACTCTGACGTCGTGATCATGCAGCAAAGCGAGAGTACGCCAGATGCCGCGCCCATCATCTCGTCTTCTCCGAGCTCTCCAACATCTCCAGGATCTCCAAGCTCCCTTTCCCTGACATGGCGATCAGGATCAGGGCGCGCCCTCCGGCGCAAGAACCGCCTCTCGGTTCTCAAGCGCAAGTCGTCCTTGTCGCTAAGGCAGCGCGCGCGGATGACCCTCCTCAACGGTGGCGGTGGATCCGTGACTGCCTCTGCCTCTGCCAGCGCGTCTGACGCCACTCCTCAAGCGCAGATTGCCTCGTCCGCTCCTACAGCCTTCAGAGCGCCCCAAAACGCTCCCCCGTCCCCCTCCTCGCCCCATTCGCGCCCCGCGCCCATGCAAGTCGGAGGAGGACTCCCTCCCTCCCCCACCCGCTCGCACGTCCCACAGTCCGCATCGGCCTCTGGCCTCCCGACACCGCGCTCAAGCTGCGACGGCCCGCCCCCGGCGCTGTATCAGTTCAACAGCAGCGCGAGCGCGCCCAACGTGCGCCTCGGCCACCCGAGCCGGCCATATTACTCCGCGATCCGGAAGAACATGGCGAGGCCCATTTCGCCTGGGCCGTTTCCTGGTCTGGTTCATTCCAACCGCAATTCCAACGCGGGCACGGGCGCGGGCATGGCAACCGCGTCTACGTCAGCTGCGTCCCTTTCCCAGGCCCAAGGACATGCCCAACGCCACAGCCGCGTCTCGACGGAGCACACGCTCGAGGACGAGATGGACGCGGACGAGGAAGGGTTTTATGTCCCTACGCGCGGGACGCGCTCGCTCGACTGTGGAGAGAGGCTCGCTGCGCAGTGTTTCCCGCCGAGCCTGTCGCAGCTGAACCTCGATGCGTCTGCGCCTGGCAAACAGCGGCGGCACAAACATCGGCCGATGTCGCTCGTGCTGCCGCTTTCGTTTACGAATCGGCGCGGGAGGACGCAGGCTCAGCAAGGCACGCTGGCGCATGTGCAGCCGCCTCGACTGAGCCGGTCGAATACGCGCACGCACAGTCGGGCGAATAGCCGCAATGCCAATGCCAACAACGGCGGCGGGGGCGGGCTGCCGACGCCACCGTCTTCAGCGGGCTTCAACGGCGCAGGGTTCTCGCTCAGCGGCGAAACCGAGCTGCGAATGGCGCTCGCGCGTCTCCGGGGCGCCGAGTCGCCGGAATACGTCGAGAGGGAGTACGTGTTCCGCGAGATGGCGCCGCCGCCGTCTTCTGCGCGGGGGCGGTCTGGCACGATGAAAGCAAGGATGTCGCGCATCGGAAAGGGGCTGAAGGATCTCGTCATGTTCCGGCGCGGGTCGAGTGCGCAGCAGAGTGGTGATGGAATCGCGCTTGAGCGGAGCTCGATGTCGACGGGGGCGTCGGCGGGGAATGCGAACGCGATGTCGAATCTGGATTATATATCGGAACTGGACCGCCCGCGGGGGCGGTCGATGGACTCGCCTGCGCCTGGGTGTTCTCATTGACTCGGGCCCGGACACGGACGCTTTGAGAGGCGCTGCATCTCGCATTTACGTTCCTTGTTTGTTTGTTTTTGCTGCTCTTCTCAGAAGGAAGGATAGATTAATGGGTAGATCCGTTATACTGCTTACACTCGTTGCTCTTTAGTTTCTTTTTCATCGCTTTAATCTGGGTGGATAGCCGGATGGACTTTATCTCCCGCCTTTCTCTCCTTTAAAATGTTACTCGTACCTGGTGCGCTACGCATACATCCACTCATTATAGTTTTAGTTCTCGTTTTTAGTTGCCCGTTTACATGTGTTTGCAAAGCGGCGTTGGTAGATACTTGCAATTCGCAGTGCCGAGGTGTATGTCTTTTTCTGGAATATACTGCTTCTCTGCCTTTGTCTCTGCGCGCGAATCGTTATCTAATGGCGCTGTGCTGAGAGCGATCCCAGCGAGCGGAAGATCTAAAAGCCGAGGACGGCACGTCCATAGGCTTGGTCTGGGGAGTCAATCAGATGAAGTCATAGCATGCCTTTTTAGTTGGCTGTTCGTGAGCTGAGGCCGACGTCATCGAGGCTATGCGCTTCCAGGCTTCTATTTGAAGTTCTGACGTTGACTGTATCATTGTCGAATGTGTGGATGCTCTTCTGACAGTGCGCAAATCCTCGGGATTTCTGGCAGTGCACTCAACACAATCCTGGTGAGGTCTGGTGTCATCGCGTCTGATAATGGGACCGAAGGGCGATATGCGGTAATGAACCGTGCGAAAGCGGCTGGCTCGACCGTCGCGAGGAAAGAGATGCCCAAATTGACGCTCCTTGCTCCGTCCAGAAGCTGTCTAGTCTGCTCCTCGGCGGGAGAATGCACTGGCGACTCGAGCACAGCGTCTATTCTTACTAAACACTCCGAAAGGTCAACCAGTCCACCGTCGCTCCTTTTGCGTCCAACTCCTCTCTCGCTCTTTTCCTTCACTCTCTCATTCCCCATATTTCTGGCATGCCCGTCCAGACGGTATCCGCTCTCGATGCATCAGAGTCAACGTCTGCTCGTGCTGCCTCGCGTATCAGCCAGCTCAAGCTCCAGCTCGGTGTCACGCCGGACAGTGCGGTAGATAGGCCGCTTAGGGTGTGTTTCACTTCTTTGCACGTCACAGTGCTTCTGTACGCGTATGGAAGGACCATTGTGCTCACTCTGCCTTTGCAGGAACGCACAAACTCGAGCAAGAGCAAGAGCAATGGTGCTAGCTTGCTATTCAAGGAAGGGGCAAAGGCTTCTCGGTTGTAAGTCGACATACTGCCACCCCCCAAGTTACACATCTGACATGAGTGTGTTGCATAGTAAAGAACCAGCAAGCATCCACCTCAGCCCTATAGTCCTCACCGAACCCGCCCTCGTGCGCAAGCAGTCTGCCCCAGCACCCAACCCCAAGTCCGCCCTTTCCCCCGACCAGATTCAGTCCCGACGCGCATATAGCGTCCGCACCGCCCGCGAACGCCGGTACATGCGCGCAGAACGCGCCCTCGCGTGTACACTGCGCCACTGCTCCGACGCTGTCCTCTCTTCCTCTGAGAACTCGCAACATTCCCTAGAACTGCAACGCGTCCGCGCCCTTGAACACGCACTCGCGCTTCTGGGCACGCACGCTGAGATTGCGAAAGCACGTATACAGGAGTTGCGCGTGTGTCTCGCGGATCAAGATGTTGATCCGGCCGAAAGGGATAGTCTGTTAAGGGAGCGGTGGGCGGTTGAGAAGAGGGGCAGGGAGATCGAGGGGCAGATGAGGGCGCTTGCTGATGCGAATAGAGTTTCTGAGGGGAGGAGCAAGCCCGGATCGCATGTTCACACTTCTGACATGCGGATGAACCCGAAGCCGAACACGCCGTCTTCGTCGCCGAACAAGAAGGGACGCCCCTCTGCCCTATCCTCCAGCTCCTCTTCTTCAGCCTCCTCGCTGTCCTCTGGTTCCTCACTATCAACTCCGGCGCCCATTGTTGGTGGTCCGGACGTGGACCCAGCAGGGATCTCTAGTACCAACGCTCGCGGCCACGAGGATCCAGAAAGCCGCCGCGCCGCAAACCTCGCAGCCTTCTTTGCGCGCTCCGCTACACACACGCCTCTACATCCCCGTCTCCCTCCCGGCCTTGGGCCCCACACCAGCCTCGACGCTACCGCGAGCATCACGAGTGCGGACACAAGTATAGACGCGGACGCAGACACGCTCACGACGCAGTGGGACGCCTACATCCATAGCACATACACGCACACGACGCACGACCCGCGCACGGCCTTCCTCCCACGGCGCATCTCCCTCTCCGACGTCTCGCCCATCCACCTCAGACCCTCGTCTGTCTCCTCCCCTCTCCGCGTCGACCGTGCTCGTCTCCTCCTCCGCTCTGGACCGGGAAGAGTGCTCAACAGGCCGGCATCATTCGATACGCATAGCAGGCACATACAGAGGCTCGCGCTCTCGCCATCGCTCTCTGACATCCCCGATAACTCGCAGACCCCTATGTCGACCTCCGTTGGAGCAAAGGTCAAGGGCCAAGCGAGCATGCCGTTACTCAATGTCGACCTCCAGGTACCCGGCGCGCCGCCGCGGCCGGAACGTTCGCCGCGCCGCATGAGCGCCGCGCAGGCGTCGCTTGCGGGCTCGAACAATGCCGCGTCCGTTTCTGGTTCGACTTTGTCGTCCTCCCTCTCTTCCGCTCTTACCACACCCGTCCACCCCACTTCCGCCCTTCCTTCCGTGCCCCAACCCCAGTATATGGGATCAGGTCCGGTTCCAGTGGCTGCACCGACGCCGTCGACGATGGTACTCAGCGGTGGAGCGACGGGCGGTTCTGCAAAGATTTACTACATGTCGCGGCAGCCGCGCAGCGCTGCGGAGCTGCTGTCGAGTACGGATCTGGGCGAGATTCGGATCCCGCCGTATGCGCTGAGTCTGCTGGACTCGTTTGACGACGTTTCGTCGACGATTAGCGTTCCGCTCGGCGGCTCTCAATCTCACCCCCAATTCCGGGCGCGGGCACGCACTGTGGGTGAAGAAGAGGCAGGACACGGGGAGGGTAAGCAGTCTTCTCAGACGATACCCCGCGTGCGGCGTAGCTCAGCGTCGTATGTGCGCGTTACAGCTCCGCGTTCGTCGGATGTGGTCGATGGGTATCTTGCCGTCAATGGGATCGCGAACGGGAACGGGAGCCATGCGACGTTTTGCATACCGAACACGTCGGCGTCGTCTGCGCCGCCGTCGCCTGGTGGTGGCGGTGCTGCACATCCGGGCGGGAGCGTGAGGAGGGTGCTGTCGCAGGTGCGGTTGAGGCCGAAGCGCACGAATGCGGGAGGGAATGGGGATGGAAACGCGAACGCGAACACGAATAGGCATTCGCTGTTGGTGTATATGCGGAAGCGGATGGGCGGCGACGAGGACGAGTCCGGGTCTGCGTCCGACGAGACGGCCACCGCCACGGCGCCGCCGACGCCGACGCCTGCTCTTTCTGATGCGGCTGTGCAGGCTGCGCAGGACAAGGAGAAGGAGGAGAGGGAGAGGGAGAAGAGGGAGCGGATGAAGGAGTCGTCGTTTACGCGGCCGCTTAGGAGGCGGTTTGGCGCGTTCTGGGGCAGCTTGTGGTGAGCGGTGCTGGTGGTGCGTATGCGCGCAGTCTCTGTTGTCCATCCCTCCCCTCTATCGAATCTCTTTGTTTGTGGCTTGTATATATACAGCCCCCGCACCGTTTCCCTCTCAACCTTTTTCTCCTGTCCTCATTCGCACACGTTAGCTCCCCCTCCCTCACTCGTCTCGCTCTACTCTGCTCTGTCGACTGCGTTATCCCGTGTTTTACATCCATATAAATAGCGTCGTTTTTCTTCTGCTGCAACATCTTTGGACATTCCTACAGCGACAGTGCTCTCACAGTATAGTACAGTACAAGTGCTCATTACCTTAGTGATTCGCGTACCCCGTCCGTACGCCAACGTTTCCTTTTTCTTCTTTCTGGCTCAGACAGTTGTGCATTGTATCTAGCTCGCATTCGCATTTTCAATACATACAGTATCTCCTTTCTCCTTTCTTGCAGCCGTTTCGCCGATATAGGCAGGCTCGGAGTTGTGCTGAGTAAGTCTCCTTCAATACCCACTTCAATCTGACGTTCAAGTTGTGAAATTAATGTCTGGGCGACGAAGTTCAAGGGACGCTACTAGGTGAGTGTTTGTCCGTGCACATATTGAGAGAGCAGCCGATGAATTCGATGATCGATGAACCAGATCTTGGCCTTTCTGGAACGCTCAGCGTCAGCGTCAGCTTCCATCGCCGCCCCGATCTAGTAGCTGATAGTAGTGGGGTGCTTAGCCACCACAGAATGTGCGCGTTTTGTTCTCGGTGGCTGTACGTGGCTTGACTGAGGGAATTGAGCGTGTTAATGCATTTGACAGCTTTGGCTTCCGTTCTGGCTATATATCGCTGTGCAGCCGTCTCCAACGGCGAGCACCAGTGCGCGAGGACTGCGAGGTCAAGATTATCAGAGGAATTGCGTTGTTTCATCCCCCCAATTTTAAGAGGTAAATGATGAGCGTTAGTGGCGCATTCGAGGCAGACCACCGGGCTCGAACAGGCGCTACGGTTCCAGCCCTCGTCAATCTGACTCGCCAATTAAGCATCTTCTCTGGCCATTACAGCTTGTTGGTTTGTATCGCTTTGGAAGACTTATCGACCTCCGTCAATCCTAGAATCGCATCTGAGCCGGACGAATACTTTGTCAAAATATGCAAATCATACACAGGCTTCGATTTTATTATATGAAGCAGGGATTGAGGCGTTAATGCTGTATGTCATGCATTGGTAAACTGATGGCTGTGTTATCGTTTCGGATAGTGGTCCGTCGGATCCGCTGTTCGCGACGCCTCGACTAGCTAGGTGTGGGACAACAAATCTTATAGGTTCCACAGGTGATGCATCATGACTATGTCCTTCGCTTTCCAACGCCATACCTCTCATTTGCCTCTCATACTTGGCCCCGATACACCTAGATGCCACCAAAGGAAGTCAGTCAAGTAATGTTCATATTTCTCGATGACGGTTAACTTGTGCCTATCCTATGTATATGTGTAACTGACGTTCGTCGAGTCGTGTGGCGGGTCTCTGTAGCGATGCGTAAAACTGTCTGGGCTAACACGACTGCCTGAAACCGGAGCATGCTATACTTCATCTCGCTTTGTCCGGGTCTTATGCTTCCGCCATACTAACAGCGCTTCACCGCCGGCATCAGGTATGCGATATTTATGCCCTTCGCCCGAAACATGAAACAGTATTTGTGGGAGCTTTCTGCGGTGAGCACATAATAGCCGGAGCCCAAAGAAAGATCAGTGATAAGTCAGCGCTGCACTGCTTTGCTTGCCCAACACGATGACCCACCCCCCTCATGATCACGAACCCGGGATGGAGCAGTCGATGATTCTCGCCCAAAGAATCCACTTAAGTAATGTATGTCTCTTTCGAGTCGAATGGTGTATGGAGGCCGGGTGCTGACGGTCTCACGGCCCTCCAGTACATGAATGTTAAGACCATTAATATTGAAGTCATTGTGCCAGTCATCTCAATGCTTTACTCAGTCTCCGTTGGTTCCGTGTCGGTATGCATTGTCATGGTGCTGCCTTGTCATTACATTTACTTACTTATGGACTGCTCAGGTGTAAAATTATCTTCTCAGCCTCCCTGAGGAGGTATTTTGAGTTGCTCCCCTACCTATTCGGACTGAATCATCTCTAGATCGATTACCTGTGGACGAAGCGTGGCATGGGCCTTGGGAAGGTCTTGTTCGCTTTCACGCGATATCTTCCTTTCGTATCGATCCCGTTGGTGATTCAAGTTGGGTGTATGATTAAAGCTCGTTCAAAGGGAGATGATGCTTACTGTTGCACTAGCTCTACTCTTCCCTGGACTCGACGATGCAGTAAGCCATCCCCAGCTGAGATAGAAACACTAACAGGCAAACCTGCTTGCCAGAAATGTTATTCTCTTGCGTACGCCTACACGAGTACGAGCCTATGCGTATTGCATCAATTACTGTCTTGATGATCCCATTTCCAGTGATAGACCTTGCTTCAATTATATTGTCGGAGGGTGGGAGCTACACCTTATCTTTTATTACCGTGACTCATCAAACCCTGGGCACCAGGTCTTTTTTTCTTGCGCACTTATGTTATGTGGGACTGCCGAAGAAGTATACTTTATATCGTTTGGGCCTTGTTCACGGTGAGTGAACATAGAACAAATTGCTATATCTCCTTCATTGACATGTATTTAGATGGGAGTCGTGCCGGTTGCGGTTCTTATTGCATTGACCCTCTCCACGGCAGAAAGTGAATTCTTATGCTGCCGTTTCATGTTGACCTAATCATTCTGTCCCTCATTGAGCCACGACATCACCTATCCCAAACCTACCTGGATGCCTTGTAGTTAATGTATCTTCTAACATTCTGACTACAAGCTTTGCTGTTCTAATTGTGGTCGAGTTAGGTTTGCCGATGCATTTTGCAATTGAGGAACTATCACTCACTTTCATGTGTGCCTAGCAATATCTACCTTGATTGTGGTGATCCGCGTCGCACGGGAGCGCCCGCGCTTTGGCCTTCTGAAGACCATAGTACGTGATGGAGCCATCTATTGTTTCTGCGTGACATGTAAGCATAGAAGGCAAATCAATCTTCTACGCTAACTCTTTGTATGAATGAAAGTATTCTCAATAGTGAATATGGTCATGTCTTTGGTTCACGTTCGTAAAATTATTCTTCCCACTTCTCTAACGGGTTTACTCCTAATCGGTAGGGTCCAGCTACGAATATCTTTGACAGGTGAGCTTTGTCAGTGTCAGTTACTATACAACTATCTCAGTTTGTTTTAGTTATCAAGCCACTTTTCATGGCATCCTCGCCTCACGCTTACAGCTTTACTTGGCTAGCATGCATGACTCGACACTTCAGTATACAAACACGGGATTTTCGTCAGTACAGTTTGAGGAGCGTATCGTAAACAGACCAGAGAGCCACATCGATGAGTTGGAATGTAGAAGGAGGGAGCGGTGTTCGGCCTCGTAGTGATGTGACTGGTTCAGAATGTGCAACAATTCTACGCATGACTTTCCATTGAGCTAATTGATACTAGGAGTGAAGTGGGTGTTTCACCCTCATCAGCAAGGACACAGCGAACATCATTAGATGGAAAGATGGAAATTGCAAGGATAGGTTTCTCAGATCATTATTTGATCATGCGATGTGGCCATTCACGGCTCTGGGGCTAATTTCAGACAAAGAAAACCCCACGCTTAGATAGCATATATATGACCGGAATGAATGCTTGGTTCTCAAGTGCACTCGTGCGCCTGCGTACCCAGCCTCGCGGCAGGTCAGCGCTCAGCGCTCAGCACAGGCGTTGCTTGTTTTTATCTGTGATCCTCGTCAGTTAGGTACTGGTCCTCTGGAAGTATTCAAATGCTGCGGCTCGGCTCCACCCATGTCAACAAATATGGTGACATCCTCCATACCAGTTCGTAACTACCGCTTGTCCCCTTTGAATGAGCTTTTGACTGTTCAAAAAGGAGTCCCTATCGGTGTCTTTGATTCGTGAGATCTCTTCTTTCGTCTCGATCCCTTTCGTTGAGTTTTTCATAGATTTCAGGCCTATGTTCACCCTCTTCTTGCCTCGCGCTTACAGCTTTCCTTGGCTAGCGCTGAACGTATGATGTTTCCGAGCACACATACAAGACTATCGTCTATGAATTTTGAACGCTCCAATATGAACAGACTGGAGAACAACAGTCGTGATCTTGAAGACATTATGGGAGAGCAGCATTGAAACTATTTACGTAGTTGATCACCCGACGGTGCTTTCTGTGAGAAAAGCTGAGGAACAGTTAGACGAGTCAATGATTGTACAAAAGACAGTGACGCAAAGGAACGAGGGCTTGGGATATCTATTTACTCAATACACTCTTTCTGAACACAACCCTTCTCCGTCTGACTCACAGTCAGATCCGCGCCTAACACGAAGCTCGCAGATCGCCCGCCGCGCGCGTCGTCCAAGGGCTTGGTGTGTATCACGAGCGCGTGCATAGGAATCGCCGTTACGGATCTTATTCACGACGGAGATACACCTTAGGCTACATTCACCGGCAGTGGCGGGGCTCAGCTATAGATGATGCAAGGCATATAAGAAGAGAAGAACCCGATCGAGCTTTGTGTAAATAGTAAACTTGAAATAATGACCACAGGATCCCATGAAGGCAGTGCCTCGCACTCGGCTTTTACGGGCGGGCGTCTTTCCGGCCCTCCTAGCCTTTCGGGAAAGCCACGGGATCCGGGCTTATCTTGCCTCGCAATTCGCTCTCTCACTGTGTGCACAGGCTGTTTCAGGTCTAAATATACGTCCGCTTGTCTCAGCTCACTGGATAACGGCGGATGCGATGTCGAGTTGTCGGTGAAGCTGTCCTCTGCAGTGAAGTCTTCTCTCCGCAGGACCATTGCCAGTGCATCACTCGGTCACTCCCTCAATGCGCCATAACATACAAAGGCAAGATGGGTCTCACTTCATTCGACTTAAGCTGAGTCTCCTTCTCCTCGCAGACAGATTCAAAAGTCTGGATATGGATCAACTTGGCAAGCTGGTAAATGGTCTTCAAATCTCCAACGTTCGTAGGTACTCCTTGTCGTACGTCATGATGATCTAACATTCCTCGAACACAGTATCTAGCAGGTTAGTTACCAGCTCATGCTAACCACGTACGCTGACAGAATCACAAATAAAGCTTCGATATATTCTCTATTCGTAGGGTAGCATCTGTTTTCGACATATTGTTGGCTGAAACGAAGTAGATTTACGATTACTTGATGACAATACCGGACGAGGTGAGACAAACGCCCTCAATAGTGCTATTTATCATATCCAATGATCATTGACACAACAAACAGATTGGTTTTGTCTGGAACAACAGACGCGACACTTGCGCTTTAGGAAAAGTCATATACATCTCGGCTCGGTACTCACCATTTTTATCAATGCCTATAACATTACTCGGTGCGCATTGTATCTGCTGTAATCTTGAATGAATGCTAAGCCGTATTGCAGGCCAATTACCAGACACTATAGGCATAGAAGTAAGTTATCGTGAAGTCATTTGCTCGTCTGTTCACAGCTTCAAGACATGCAGAACGCTTCTTTACGCATCAGCAGGTACTGCTCCACCATTTGGCTCGTGTGTTGCCTGACCGAACATCCCACAGCCATTCAATCTTTCCATGTTACAGTGTCCCAAGGTAGGACCAGCTTTTCGCTTGATTCTAACAAGTGCAACATTGATGTGCTATGCAGCCTTGTTCATGCTAAGAGGCTATGCCATCTCGCGACATCGAAAATACTATATTTTGTTTGTTGCTGTATCTTTCATCGTGAGACCTTTATTATGTTGTTGTAAACCGTGAACTTATCTTTAAATATGTACCGAATAGATAGGAATATCAGTTGTCTGCGTGTTTCTTGCCCTCTTCCTTCCAACAATAACGTGTACGTGGACTTATACTCGAGTTGAGTTTACTCTTACTAATAATTTTTCAGTTGCGCTTTCGCCCTTTCCGAAGACTACAGGATGCTTCACGACTGGGATCTCACATTTCATATCCGGGGTATATGTGCTCATCGTCGTGACTGAAGGCAGTGAGTCTGCTTATTTGGAGTTGATATGCATATAACATACATGATGCATTCCACCAGTTATTCTCGTATCATCAACAATTCACCTCAAACACTATTCCCCTGACCGACCAAAACTCCTCGAGATTCTGATCAAAGAAGGTGTCATATACTCGGTTTTAATGTTATGTAAGCGCGCATGAGTTCTCTGCGTGCCAAGTTAACAGACGAAACGATGCTTTCAGGTTTTTCATCTGCAAACATCATGGTTATATATCTCGCGCAGGTTAGGGATTTCTCCATAGCCAGCTCGTCCGACTAATACATCTTAAATCATGTAGGACGAATACTCGGACCTGCTTACCACGTAAGCATGCTTGAAGCTGTATTGCTAGCATCGTATGTTGACGTGCTTGTCCTACAGCTATCAATGTGTCTTCCATACAATACTGGCATCGCATCTACATTTGCATCTGAATCGGACAAATACTGTGCCCCCTTCAGAAGACAATACGCAGATGTCGAGTATAGCGTTTAGGGCAGGAAATGAGGCTTAGATACTGGATGATGTCGATCGATGCCGCATTGATGACTTAGAGTCAAAGCTGTACATTTTGTAGCTCACGTTGAACGAGAATATTTCGTGCTTGCAGCCTTCGATTCGGGCAACGGCCCGTCGGATCCGTGTTTCTGTCACGAGGCAAGCCTCGTGGGAATATCAGGTTATCTAATCGGGCCCATCGAGAGCGCGATTTGAGCTTCCTTGTCTCTCCACCCACATACCTCCTGCACCCTGTCCTAGCGCCGACTCAGGCCATACCTCCTAGACATCGCCGAAGGGTGTCAGTCAAAATAATGCTATAGCCAACAACGTACTTGAAGGCCGTTTGGCGAGAGCTATTTTGCTGACTTCCTTTATCGCAGCTGGGAGGATTTCCGATGCCGCATGCTGTCGATATGATACGCACTCGCCCTTATCCATTTTCCCATCAACGGTAACACGTTGCAAAGGCTCGTTGTATGATGCATAAGTAGATTCAATGCTATATCGACTTTTCAGATCTGCCAAAGTTCGGGGCACTTCAAAACAAGTATCTGGAGAACGACTACTAGACGTTGTAGATCTCATTCGATATATAGAGCGGTACAGGGTAGTACCAAGGGATGTATCCTTGATTTCATCTAAGGAATATATTCTGCGATTCCTGAGCATGTCGTAGTTGTCTAACGAGTTTTGCTACGAATCGGAGAAACGAGGTCAGAGAATCGGATGGGGTTGGTATCATTCTTGAACATGTCCTACTGTAAAAGCCCACGTTGCGCCTGTTTGTCCTGCAGACAAATGCAGTGGATGTCGGATTTGTGGCCCACAACGCGTGCGTGCGCCGGATACATTGCGTGCCACCCTACTAGATCATCTCATGTCACCCTCTAGGGTCCGGTCCGAGACTCCTACTCCAATGTTTGCTACTGAACATAGAGTTCACGTAATCAAAAGTAATGAAGGTTCTGACAACCTTGTCATGCGAACAAGCTAGTCCTCGTGGAGCAAACTGAAGCCAAAGCGCTGAAGCCTGAAGCTCAAAGCCCCTATGACACAAAGACAAACAAGGCCAAAGAGTTGGTCCCGTCTAGCATCTGAATCAGACTTGACCGTCTCAACTAGACGCTATCTCAGATGTTTTCTGTCCTGATGCCACTCCGAATGGAAGAAGACGGCCGCTTCTCTCAGGATCAGAGGAGGTGCAGGATCAGGCAGACTGCAATGCTCCGCAGAACACAGAGATTCCGCGGCTTCCATTCGGGTGCTTCCTCGCGTCCTCGCTCGGCCAGCCGGTCTCGATGAAATCCTGGAGTACGGCATACCAAACTTTCTGACCTGCCACATCTTCTCTTCAGCACCGGGCCCCCACTGCGGCACTCATCAATGAACCGCATTCGCCTTTAAACATCGATACCACCACACTCGTTTTACTCTGACTTGCCGCTATGTCCACCACCAGTCATCTCTCGGTACATGACAGCTCGTCCCAGATCCTACGCAATGATGCACAGGAGCCAAAGCCAGAGCCAGAACATACAACCTTCAGGCGCATCCTCCCTGTCTTCGCCGCCGTCGCTCTCTGCCTTATGGTATCCACCCTCGACCAAATCATGGTCGCTATAGCCATTCCCACCATTCAAAGCGACTTCAACGCCGGCGCCCTCTCTTCGTGGATACCGACAGTCTACTTTCTGGCTTCAACGAGCGTGCAGCCACTCTATGGTCGCTTCAGCGACATCTTCGGTCGCCGAGCCATGATTTGCTTTGCGCTGACAGTGCTCCTCATAGGAGACTTCGGATCGGGATTTGCAAAGTCGATAGAAGAGCTTATCGCATTCCGCGCAGTTGCAGGACTCGGAGGAGGGGGGATCTTAACGTTGGCGCAGACCGTGATGTCCGACGTGGTTAGCCTGCGAGAGCGGTACGTCGCTTACCTCATAACGCGATATGAACGCCTGCTAATCGCTAGATGTTCACGTCCGCTTCCTCCATTCAGCGGGAAGTACCAAAGCATAATAGGGGTTGTAATGCTCCTCGGGTATGGATTTAGTCCTCCGATCGCTGGAGTACTAGTTCAGCGCGCGACATGGCGGGTATGAAGCTCAGACCTATCATCCGAGCACACTCGCTGACCAATTTCATAGTGGTGCTTTTGGCTAAATCTCCCGATTATTGTGGTTGCCTTTGTCCTCACCTCGCTATATGCACCTACAAAACGAGTGTCGGAAGGCCTGAAGAGGTGAGAATGAGTTTTGGGATAGGCAAGAATGGTGACTCTGATCGAGCGTTGTAGTCAGCTGCGGAGCATCGACTACTTGGGATCCATACTCTCCCTACTCGGTTCTGTTTCATTAACTCTCTCTTTGATATGGGTATGCTCTATTCATGCGACTATGCAAATCGCTTCCCACAAACTTTACAGGGAGGGACAATGTTCTCCTGGACTTCACCTGTAGTCCTGTCTCTTCTTCCCGTTGGTGTTATCTTCCTGGTCCTATTCCTCGTATGGGAGTGGTATGGCCCAGCAATTCCTATCGTACCCGGTGAGCCAGCCATGCCATCGGATCTGCGCCCGTGGAACTCATACACCCACCTAGTGCGCATCTTCAGAAGCGCTACACTCGTAGGAGTCTGTATCGTGATGTTCATCAGGTACTTCACGCGTTTCCAGATAGTTTCCTCGACTGACTCAGAGGCAGTGGGTTTGTTGGCCAGTCATCAACCTACTATCTCGCACAATACTTCCAAATCGCGATTGGGTTCTCGCCCACCCGCTCATCTCTATTTGCTTTACCCTCATTGCTAGGGGACACGCTTGCCAACGTCTTATCGGTGGGTGAGGGGTGCTGGTAGCGTGAGTTTCTTGCTCATGGACTGTATAGGGCTTCATTGTCACTCGATTCGGGCGTTACAAGGTGGGTGTCTTAGAAAGCACGCGCTCCTTCGAACACTGATATTCGACCTTACAAGGCTCTTATATACGTCGCCCTCATGATATGGGCTGTCGCGCAAGGAATTTTAACCCTCGTTACTGCGTCGACGCCAAATGTTGTGGCCGTACTCGCCGTGCTAGTCTTCCTGACTGGTTGGGGAGGGGGTCAGGTTCGGGTGTAGCTTGAGTTCCGAGATTCATCACTAACGGCCATGGTAGATGCTACAACCAACAGTTATCGCCGCTCAAGCTAGCGTAGACCAGGAAGATATGAGTGTGGTCACCGCTGTACATAATGTGCGTACTCCAATTGAAGTACAGTTTCGATGAATAGCTCATGATATCGCATGACTAGTATGCATCGCAACTAGGAGGAACTATTGCTCTTGCTGCAGGATCAAGCGCAGTGTAAGCGCTCTTCATCCGTTCTCCCTACGACTGAGTCAATAACAGCTTGTGAATCAAAGTAACAATGGTTTTCACGCAGCCTTGGCCTCCCTCAATCTCAAGTCGACAGCCGTTGCATCCATCATAGCAAACCCGGCTCTCCTAAGCCCTGGCTCGTCGGCGCGCTCATCTTTCCTTGAACAGCTAGGGATTACATCCATCGAGGCGGACCATGCTATCGCGAGCGGGTACGGAAGGCTCTTCATCATCAACGCTGCATGTTCGGCCTTTGCTGCTATCGTGGGCTTGCTCGTGATTCAGGACATTGATCTCGGGCCACGTGGGGCCGACCGAGCCGGTGACTTCGGATCTGACCTAGCGGGACAGGAGAAAAGTGGAGACGAGCAAGGGCGCGTTGTCCCTAAGAGCCGTCGTGAAGTGGGATCCACGGAAGTCGTAGGTGGTGACGTCGATCGACGAGCGACAGAGTGATACAAAGTGACTGGCTATATATACATTGGGACGACCTTCACAACACTACTATCAGGTCTAATTCTCTGATTCAACTTCTGTAACATAAGAGATACACACTTTATATACACTCTAAAGGGAGCTCGGCGAGTCTCGGACAGAGATGTCATCGGCGACGCGTGGCATCCACGTTCTGTCAACTTTCCCCAGAAGGGGAGGAACAGCGCCCGAATATCTCCGTCGACGCCGTGATGGCCCTTGAAGCTTTGAAGAAACGTGCACTGATAAACCTCTGGAGTCAAACAGAAGTATATCGCAGCCAACAAGATGCATAATGGTGCAGGGAATTGGCTTTAGGGCCGGATGATTCTGTTTGGCTAACCCTTAACAATAAGGGTCTGAACCTACCATAGATCACCGAAGACAAGTCATAGCTGCAGATGCGTTTCAAGACATAGCTGGATGCTTGTCAGGCTCAGCCCTGCTCAGCCATCATTGAGATATTAATCATTAACAGGACAACATCACATCATCGGGTGACATGTTTCCCCGATAGTGCGGGAATAACCCTGGTATGCGCTGGCATCGGTAGCAGGACCGACTTCCTTCTCCCCTTCCTCTCGCCACTTCTTCGTGCACGACGCGACATCAAAGATCAAGCTGCTTCGTATAGCGCGTTGAGGCGAGATGGAGAATAGCTTGAGAGGTCTGTTTCAGTTGTCGAGTGGTCTGCAAACCGCGAATGTGCGTCCACCCATTCCTTAGTCTTTGACGAGTGTATATTGATGAATTGACATGCGAACGCAGTATTTCAATGGTACGCTCCAGTGTCTTTTTAGCGCTCACTGGATGACTGACGAACGTGCTTAGTCTCGATCGCAGCCCTTTTTGTACGATACTGTTCTCACTTCCGCACACCACACCGTAGCTAAGAGCTGTGTATCCGCACGCAGTTGTTTGACTATCTCCTGACATTTGCTGATGAGGTGAGCACTCGTATGGTCTCCGCACACAATGTCTTACTCCAGCGGTGTTGAGCAGATCACGTTCATCTGGAGGACAAACGGGTGGGCTCTGGGCAAAGTCCTTTATGTCTTCGCTCGCTATACACCATTTGTCTCGTTACCTTTGGCACTAGCGAGTGAGTCGGAAGATTGTGTTATTCATAGGCATCATTTCTCATAGGTCCCGTAGGTCAATTCATCCATCCCTCCGACCTGCAGGTGTGTTGCATCCCTTAATGCGCATCAACCATACCTTAACCCTGCTATCCCAGGTGTGCACATCGCTTCTTTTTGTGGTAAATGGTGGGTCTCGGTCGCGTCAATGAAACACGTAATCGTATTGACGATCAGTTCAGCGCTTCAAGCATTTGAAATCACGGTCTCACAATGTACGGTGAGCCTTTCGACTTCAGCTCACATCTCTCACTTCCATTGGTCTTTAAGGCCTATTTGCCCTGAGAAACTACGCAATGTGGCAGAAGCATAGGATCATGGCCGCAATCGCCCTCTTCCTTTTGGTGGTGAGCGTTCACCTTGAGTTCCTTTTTTGTGTATATGTGGACCATCTTTGTTTCAGTCGGCACTTACGGTCGTCATCACAATCCTCGTCAAGTTCTTGCCCTCGATAACTTGTACGTTCTCCCACATGAGAAAACCTTCTCGTCCAGCTGAGCGCTGATCATTTCACAGTCGCGTCATCACCAATCCCGAGTATAATCGGTTGCTTCAAAACAGGCGCCGATTCAGCGGTCTTTGGCGCGTATATTGTAATCATTGTGTCAGAATCAGGTGCGCGTTTAATTTCCTGTATAGCGTATGTTGCTTGAACGCTAACTCACGGCGCGCGTAGGAATGCTGATCTCAATATCTATGTGGTTGATAAAGAATCGCACACAGTTCCGAAGTCGAATGCTCGACATTGTCATGCGCGATGGCATCCTCTACTGCGTTTGCATGCTTCGTGAGTGCTACACTCCATGTACTCGTCCTATGACAAAGCTCTCACGATCCGTCTGCTGCGCCGAAAACTCAGTCTTCTCGATTCTGAACGTGGCTGTGATATTCTCGTTCCCCGTGAGCTCTCCTATCTCTGCTCATCCTCTCGTCTCACCATTATCACGCTAGGAGAGCTACTCACACATGCTCACGACATACCAATCTGTATTCCACACGATCCTCGCCTCACGGCTACAACTGCATCTTTGCAAGACCCATGGCCGCAGCCTCTCGCGCCACGACGTCCTCACCTCCTACTTGGAAACCGACCCAGATGACCCAATGATGCTGACGAGAGAATTGGCAGAATGGTCCGAACACATCCAGCTGGAGTCGTTCCGCAAATCAGCAGGCTCCGTGATCCTGCAACTTGCGCCGTATCCAAACCGATCGATGCCTGTGTTTCCTGATTGATTGAGGGTGTTTAGCATTTTATGTATTACCCTGTATCGCATATTCTTGTAATCTATGACGTTTGTTTTGTAAGCACAGTCAGTGGTGCGCCTTTGCTGCTCCTTTGCGGAGGAAACAGAGCTCGCTTCCATGCTAAAGTATGAGTATTCTAAAGGATGGTATAATGTCACGAGTGAATCTTTCGACACACATGAGTCTGTCTGAGCGCAGTGATAACAGCACTTCCCTTTGGCTAGTCCCATAGCTGTCCGTTGAGTTGAGAAGTTGAGGTCGGCGTAGAGGGAAGTTCGTTGCGTATATGGGTCCCGATCGACATATCAAGAGGAATTGTAGTAAGCTCGAGCGCCGAGAAGTTATGATGACCAGTCGGAGTAACTCGTAGAGCGTTTTGCCATCGCCTTTCACGGTGGGCACACGGAGAGACGCCATAATTGAGGGTGGCAAGAAGAGAGTTGACATATACTATTTGGGCCACCGTTTATGAGAATTAGATTCAATGCAAGGATGGAAGGCAAGGGCGACGTACAGCGATTAAGGACGACATACATACTCACATACCACTGCTGCAGCGAGCTAAACAGGAGAAGCACGACGGTAATGACCGAGCATACACTAATTGATGAAGACGGTATTTATCAGGCGTTTACGAAGCTACGAAAACGGAAAGCATACGAGGTGAGAAGACCAGTATTCAGAGCGAGAACAATGAATACATTGATAGCGTCGTCTGTGGACCGTATTCCAAGCTTTGATCGTTGAAGAGTCGCGCAGAGGAAGGACGTCACGATGATATCGTTCACTGTCAGGCACGCGAGTGGAGTGTATACGAGCCACTACATGGTCGGCGGCACCATCGGTCAGTCCCTGAACCACGGGGTGTTTTGTGGTCACGTTGACGTACGGGTGTAACTTGAGTCCAAGTGCTTTGGTTGGAGCTAGAACGCCCAAGTAAGCTACGTGCTTAGTAGCGCCAAAGTCAGACACGCACCTTAAGGCAGTCCATACTAGTTGGCAACATTATTGAAATAACGGTGAGTACTTGGTGGAAAACGAGATTCTGCGTCATGACTCACAGCAACCTACACCCCAGCCGAAAAGCGTCACCAACACCATCACGACCGCGAAGATCAAGCGAAGGTTGCTTTTGCTTACTAGGGTTCGAGGGCAATTGTATCAGCTTACGGCGTAATTAGTAAGAGGATGCGTCACTCACAAGCCCATATGCGTTTCAACCATACGCTAAAAGCCCGAATCAGCCTCTAGACTGTTGTAATGACACGTTGCAAGACCCACTAATGGACGAGAGCCGCTACTGCAAGCTAGTGTGTTGTCGTGAGTTTGAGGTCAACCCAAGCACAACTTTACCTACTGTGCATGGTACCATGCCCTTTACAGAACGAATATAAGTTTGGTCTAGTAACATACGCGCTTATATCATTCCATGTCACCGTACTCACATAGAAGGTCATTTCAGGCATGCTCAGCCTAGCGGGATTGTGGTGCGAGCTTACGACATAGTCGTAATAGCCGCGCGTAAAGAAGCAAAGGTGGAGCGTTTCAAGGACCCTTGAGACCAAGCAGGGGTGTGCAGAGTCAGAGCGGGAGGCAAAACAGTCGATGAGCAGGGGTTGGCGTACCCACCACAGAAAAGACACAATGAACTTGAGCTCAAGCTTTCCCCCCCTCAGACGGTATTTCATGAAGTAGTAGCATTGTGAGCAGACGACGCCGTAAAGCCTGCGATGAAAAAACGAGTTGGTTGTTTCTGGAACTTTTCACCAGGGATACAGACACGCACCATGTCGAGAAGACGCAGCCAAAGAAAAGACCCCCCAGCGTAGAGCTGATGTCGACGCTAGGTGAGTCAGCAGTGGACTCAGAGTAGAAGTCCATGGGCGAGGCTATGCTTGGTGCATAGAACGACAGAGAGGGACGGGCAGATAACATCCCCACTATATTTAAATGGCTGTGGTACGTGTGAAGACGAGGGTGAGTTAAGTTGACATGAGCCGTCGGCGCTTGGTCGGCTTCGGAAGATATCGATCGCATTCAGTTGCACGCGATTACGCACGTTACGCTTAAGGTTGGGAAGCCACGTTCGAGCATGCTGATTCTTCTAGTGTTCGAAGCTGAGTTGCCTCACGTAAAGCTTAAGGTCTCAAGATCTCGGGGCAGATGCTCACAACTCTCCAGCGACTAGCTCTACACGCGTCGCGGATCAAGCGAAGATCGCACCACGAGTCTAAATCAAGGGCATAGTACCCAACATTGCAAGCCTACGTGTCATCGAGAAAGTGTCGCGTTCACACTTGAGTTTGGTAGTCAAGTGCAGTGTATATAAAGAAGTCCATGCAAGAGCAAGCGTTCCCAACGTTGGACATAATTTCACCTACGAATTGGTGCTATACAACCGAGTGAAGCCCTCATCTTTCTGCGTTGCCCACGTCCCAGCTACGGCTGAATTTTGCACCCGGTCGGGCGGGGAGGTCAATACAGACGTGGACCCCACCGGCTCGCTCAGCGAGAGGTCCAAGGCGATAGTCGTGAGCTCAAGCGGTGAGGTGCCGGAGTCTGTTGCTATAGCGTGTCTGATCCGTCTGAATCGGCCAGCGGTGTGGGATGTCGGAGATATGCCGTAATTGAGCATCGCGAGGAGAGAATTGGCGTAAACTATCGGTGAGTGGGCTCTCAGCGTACATCACACCAGAAGGGAGAGGGTAGATGGACGTACGACGGGTGATGACAATGTATAGACTAATATACCATTCCTGGAGTGGGGTAATCAAGACAAGAACGACGACTACGACGGACAGGATGCTTTTATATCGTCAGACATGGAACGTGTGAAAGAGAAATTCAGATACGAACGATATTAGAAGGCCGGTGTTCAGTGAGAGCGCAATGAGCCCGTTTATAATACTATCGGTCGAGCGAATACCACTTTTGGATCGCTGCAGCTTTACACAAAAAAACGTGGCAGCAATGATATCGTTAGCGGTTGAGCACACAAGCGGAGTTATAACCGTCCACTGTGATGATGGTAAGCCTAAGCACGGAAACTAACTCTGCAAAAGAGATAAATAGATACATACCGCTTCGAGTTTCATCCAAGTGCTGGTTTTCGCGCTATTGCAAAGATTTAGTAAGATATTGAGAGAAAGCCAGTAACATACTATTTGTCGGCCAACACTTGAAAAACCTTCAGCATCATAAGATACTGACATCGAAAGAAGGCACTCACAGGCACCCACAGCCCAGCTGGAGAGTGTCAAAGCTATCTGCAAGACACAGAACACTTGACACATTGAAATACACGGGCGATGAGCAACGTACCATGCAGCCCGCCAGGAAAAGACGTAATCTACTCTTGCTCACTGAAGTGCGTTTAACCCATATGAGGCGGCAGCAAATTTTTTATCACTCACGGTTCCAGATACGTCTCATCCACACACTCAACATCGGGTGAGCAGCGCTTGTTCGACGAGAATTACTGAAACGTACTATTGCACTAACGAGGCGATGACGAGCTGTTTTCTACAATGAGGCCGGGACGTAGAGAGAAAAGTGGAGAGCGCACGGATGTTACCATCATTCCCTATGGACAGAGCACCAAATGTTATAGTACTCGAGTGAGAAGAGGATACGCAGAACCAGTATTAATGTTACACTTACGGAGAGTGGCCACTGGGGTTCGGCTAGTTTCGCAGGATTGCCATGTGCGGCGACGAGGTAAGCGTACAATGCGATCGTATAAAGTACAAAGTGGAACGTCTCCAGCGCCCTTGAAAATAGATCGACAAAAAGAGTTCAGTGGCTGCAGTCCCCAGGGGGACTAGGGAAAAAAGCATGGAGGCCACTCACCACACGGCAATCACGATCAGCTTCAGCTCAAGCTTCCCTCCGCACAGACTATACTTCATAAAGTAGCGACATTGCGAACATGCGATTCCATAAAGCCTATGTTAAGAATGAAGTCAGACGGGCGAGCGGGTAGGGACGCCCCAACACGAGATGTACGCATAAGGCCATCACGCACCACATTGCGGCTATATAACCGTAGAAGAGCGCCCCCACCGACGATGTCACGTCGACTTGGCTGGGTCCATCATTCGCGTCAACGTCAACCATGGACGGCAACGACCCGGAGAGAAGAAAGGTGAGGTGAATGTGAACGTCGAGGGGAGGGGAACGGCCATATGTCAACGCTACTCGCTGTCTCGCTCGAGCGGAACGTGATTTGGCGATCCTGGATTTGATGTCGAGATGCTCATTTGTCTTGATCAAAATATATACTTTTAGGGGATTCGGAATCAAATTTTATTTCGGGAGCAATAACGCTTGGGTGGCTTTTGGCAATGTTTGTATGTTTTGACACGCGTTTACTCATGTAGGATCAGGCAGTGTCCACTGAATTTCGACCTTCATCAACGCCGTCTGTCTATCTGAGACACGCTTGAAGGAAAAGAAGAGATAGGGAATAGTAGTACGGTAAATCTCTCGTTCGTGAAATCACTCAGTATTGGATAACTCGAAATTGTGACTGCCCATCCCCCTCAAGCTTTCCTCTAAATTTGATTAGATCATAAAGGGTCCAGTAGAAAGGATATATATAGACGCAGACCTCATAAATCTTTGCTCGCATGTGAAAACTGCCGATCACTCTCTTCCTTCTCCGGAGGTCCTCTGTCAATGTTCGGTGTCATGAGCACGGTCATGTCGGAAGCATTTTGTGAAAGTTCATAGGGAATGGTTGTGAGTTCGAAGGCATAGTCGTTGGATGGAGGTGCAAGTTGACTATTTTTCCGACGTCGGTGTTTATGATGCGAAGGAGACACACGGTAGTTCAGAAGAGCGAGGAGGGAGTTGGTGTATACTGTGATAACGAAGTCGCATAGGTTAGCGTTGAGCAATTGTAAGGGAAAGAAACGCCAAGAATAGAAGCATAAAATTACGGCGGGCGATGATAATATACATGCTAACGTACCACTGCTGGATTGTGCTTAGGATAAACAGAACAATTATTGCAACAGAACAGATACTACAGCGCCGTCAGCACGAGCCGAGCCGAAAGGTGAAATTCAGCCGACGTACCAGGTAAGAAGACCCGTATTGAGTGTAAAAGCGATGAACACGTTGATGATGCCATCCGTTGACCGAACGCTCATTTTAGCCCGCTGGAGAGTCGCATAGAGGATAAAGGTCATAACAATGTCGTTTACCGCCATGCATACTAGCGGTGTGACTGCGAAAAACTTGATGCATGAACTGACAGTTAGCTTTCTGAAGCTCGTGGATGACAATGAGATAAAGGCCCTCGTCTACTGAGTCTGACTTGAACCAGGTAGTTTCGTTGAAGCTAGTCGTATATCCCAAGTTGTAAGTCTCGGAACATTCAGTGGATCCGGGATACGCACCTGATAACTGTCCACGCTGTGTGAGTGCGACTCTACTTCAGTCCGTAAAGTCAACATGGTGTAAATGTGCTCGCCGATACCAACACTAAGGCCGAAAGTGGATAATAAGGTCTGCACAGCACCCTATGAGCATGAAGATACAGTTTTTCAATGTATCAATGACGCACCATGAACCCTGCGATAAACAGGCTGGATAGACTTTTGCTTACTGTGGTGTGTAAAGTATCATAGGTACCCTGCATGAGTGCATGTATATGAAGCTGGGTGACCTCACTCACATGACCATATGCGCTTCGTCCATACACTGACATACGCTTAACAATAGGATTACCAATCACCGACAGGTATAGCTTACTATTGCACTAAACATGCGATGCAATTCTTTGGCGCATGGTTAGCTGAACGCTCAGGCTGAACTGTGATAAACTCGAACATACAGACGGAAGAACGAGGCACTAAATAACGTTAGAGGCCACGTGAAATGTCTTGCGATTCCTACCACAAGTCTACACTTACGAATAACTCCCACTGTGGATGAGAAAGCTTATCGGGGTTCCGGTGGGAATTGACCACGTAGCCACGGTATCCTTGCAGGAAGAAACACAGATGAAGAGTCTCCAGGAGCCTGAAGAAAGATGATACGACATTGATCATATGTCGGCTTCGAAAGTCGTGAACAAGGCTGTGTATGGATAGTCTCACCAAAGAGCAGTCACAACAACCTTCAACTCCAGCTTCCCTTCGTAAATCCGGCACTTCATGAAATAATAGCATTGTGAGGTAGCAACGCCATAGAGCCTGTTACAGGGACGCGATCAGAAATTCTCAGCTTCAAGCTTAGGATTGCTGAGATTCCAACGCACCATAACAAGAATACGCAGCCATAGAACAGTGCACCCATGGTTGAGGAAAGATAGATTTCAGGAGATGCATCAGCGGCAGCCATTGAGGGACTAGTAAGCCGAGGGTATGGAGGGAGAGGTCAAACGCTGTCTGGGCCGACAGGCTTAGTGCCAGGTGAGGTGGGGCCTTTGCCTACGCATCGCTCGTGCTCGCTTGGCCGTATCAGGTCCTTTGCCTGAGGGAAGTCGGTGCTAGAGCTGAGTACTGATGGGTTAATTGTTACTGATGGGGGTAGAACGCCCGAAAGTAGCGATGACCCCGGATGACTCGGAAACGCGTTGATTGTACATCTGGAAAGCACACCTCGCCATTTAGCAGCCCCAGACTGCATGTCCAGGATAAGGTACTTCGGAGATTACAAAAAAGTCGGAACATCTTTCATCGTCATTGAGGGGACGATACGCTCGAGAGAATATGACATACCAACCTTCAGCTTGGATGGATCAGTTTTCGCCAGAAAATACCAGAGGAAAGATCGAATTTTCCACAAAGAAGAGTGCCAGGTGTGAAAAACTTCGTATGCTGAAGCTAAGGTCGATAATGTGTTTTGGTGTGACGAACAGCGTGAGAGTTTCGCACCGCCACTGATATGCCACCATTCGCAGTGAACTTACGGTTTACTTTCGTCGTTATGTTGCCCTGTCGAGTCTCCTATGCTTTCTCGTGAAGAACTGGTCTATGGCGCCGCTCAAGGCGCAGATACTCGCAGAAAAACAACCCCTCACGTAGTGTCCTCCTCTGGATGACCTGTTGATTGCGTTTAATGTCCTCCCCATGTGGTCCACGACTCGGAGTTGTTGTACGCAAGGATGAAAGGTGAGTTGAGCTCGGGTCAGGTAGCGTTCTGACAAATTCTAAATGAAATGTGCCTTAATCCACGTTCTGATTAAAATCAGGTAGCTATATGGCCCCATAGCCACATGTGCAACTTGCAGTTGACAAGCCATAGTTTGCTATACCCCGTGTATGAGCCGAGCCGTTTCTAGGTGCCTTTCACAGCTTTTTACGTCGATCTGAGTTTGATACACGTTGAATAGGGTTGTCCACTGCCCACTGAAGTGTATTTGACGTATGACCTTCACCTGGGCGCTTGATCATGGTCGGAAGCTATCTCATACAAGGACCATTCTAAGTGCACCGGATTGCTACTCCGAACGCTTATATTGATAACGCACTCAGTCTAATTTGGCGTAGGATTACCCCATTTCACGTCAAGAGAGCATAGCCAAGAACGTCTACCCCGTCGCTACTTGACTCTGGAGTGTTATGGCAGCGCAATGATGAGGTCATCTTACGTCTGTGACTAACCCCGACGTGAGATCCCTGATCAAAAATGAGGACATCGTGTGTTGCGTGGCTTGCCACCGCACCAGTTGTCTTGGAGTTGCGCACGGTTATTTCACCTCTCGATGTGGGCTGGTTCGAGGAAGGTATAGTAGTTCGCCATCCGGTTCGACATTCGAGTTGGAAGAAACTACTCCGCTGAGTCGCGGAATCTCAAGGCATGTCCACGGGCACGGTCATCGGCCACGTTTACCCAACTGTATTTAGACGTCTTCCGCCGATCTCAACTTTGAAGTATTAAACGCAATTATGCTTTACGACGGCGTGATTTTCTCTCGCTTTCGCAGCCAGCCTTTTGTCTTGAGGCTAAGCCTGGGTATGTTCTCGGAGTAATACATTTTGCCCTCGAGTCTTCTTCCACGTGGCTGGGATGACTCGGGAACCTGCCTCTCCCTTGGGTCCTTCTCTGGCTGCGCTGTCTAGTTGACGCCCATTAAAAGCCTCGTTGAGGCTATAAAACGAACGATTTCATGGTCATAGCCCGGAGATGAAGGCAAGATAAGTCTCGAGGTAAGTTTCCGAGGATTTGCTCAAGAATCGTTTTGTTGGGTGTGGGTAAGCTTGTATCATCTCCATAGTTGTTCCTGAGAGTTCTTTAAAAGCTAAAATGCCCGTGTGCTCTGTGAATATTGGAGTCCACTGTTCGATATCTTGTCAACCGGGTCTTGATCAAGCTTAGAGCTGAGTTTAGGGGCTAAATGACCATATGCAGCGACCCGGAAGCAATTCGATATCCCCTTGCCAGTGTCGCACAACGTCTCCCACCAAACAGCCCAATATCGCCTCTACTCACCGAACATGCCGCCCGCATCGACCTCGTCAACCCGCGCGCTTAACGCAATCCTGCCTCTTGTAGCAGCGGGCCAGCCCTACGAGGCACATCAGAAGGCGCGCACGTTCGCCGCGCGCTACGTCAAGTCGGGCCAGCACGCTACTGCGATCGATGTGCTCTTCCAGTCCGCGCGCGAGCTGTTCAAGATCGGGCAGCAGGGGTCAGGCACAGACCTCACGGTGTTCTTGCTGGACACCTATGAGACGGGACAGGTGGGCGTGGATGATGAGTCGAGGGGTGCGTTTTGCGCTTGCTTAAGCCGACAGATGAAGGGGGCTGAACGTGGGGTTTCGATCGTTGAAAGGAAGACTCACGCAGTTGATTGCGCTCACTGGATCGTCTGGATCGTGGAGGAAACAAGTCATTGATCGGTCGATAGCGTGCGTATCCTTCCACTTGGGAATATCGACTGCTCACAATATCTTAGATGGTCTGCAAAGGCAGGCCCATGTCCAGCAGGTGACCAGGACTTGCAACACTATGCTGGAGAAGTGTTGTACAAAGGTGCGAACCAGAAGTCTGCTCAACCGACGTTACACTTGGCTCAAATGAACACAAGATGGCATATTCGACGAGGCTGAACCACACCTTCTCGCTTCTGGCAAACGCGATAGCGCCAGACTGCTCGCCGAGATGTTCGTCCAATGGTCTGCAGACAGCGACGCATCCGTCGCCGGCGCGTTCGCCCTGCGCGGCACGATCCCGTACGCTGACCATCTCTCCCCCGCAAATCGCGTCCTTTAGAACTCTCGCTGACCGATACGCTGCTCAGATACCTCCAAAACGGCAACATCCTCGCTGCACGCACGTTCATCACTACCTTTGTCTCTGCCGTCCTCGCCGCGCGCCCTAGTCTAGTTTCCAAGCTACAGTCCGAATCTCTCAGTGTGCCCGCAGATGACGACACGAGCGAGGTGCGCTTCTGCGCCGACCCGCTGCTCAACTTCTGCCAGCTCGCCGTGCTCGCGTGCCAACGCGCAGACGGCGAGCGATCCCGCGCTGCGCGGGAGAACTGGGTCAAGCTGTGCGGGACGTATCAGAGCCGCGGGGGCGTGCTGGCCAGCGGGGACGTGAGGGTGGTAAGCTGCTATTTTCTCTCCTTTTGATCCTCGGCTCTGACCGATGTAACTTTTGACTTCCGGTCCCGGGTGATGCGGTGTAGGCTCTGAACGAGATTGCGCAGCTTTACTTTGGTATCGCCGCTCCTCGCTCGCAGTCGGAGAACCCGCTCGGCGCGATGCTTTCCTCGATGCTTGGTGGCGGTCCACCAGGAGGAGGGGCTCCCCAGCGCCGGATGCTTGCACCCGTCCGAGGACGGCTGGATGCACCTGGACTTGACTGATTTGCACATACGTTTTTGGAGCTCGCATTTTGAGTATACATGCTTTTCTCGGTCTTACAAGAGGGTTTTGCTTTCGGCGCATTGATGTCATGTAATGGAGCTTTGTATCACGAGAATGATTAAGGAAGTTTTCAACATTTTACGAGCTTCTCGAACAAACTCCATGTGCCTTTTTGTCTCTCTTACGGCTGTTAGTTGAGCGACCGTGAGGCGTCTGTTAGCTCGGGCTCTTCGGGCTGCCTGGAACTAAGGCTGAGTAAGCCTGGTGGCAATATACAGCCTTGCGCGTCCCGTCAGGAAGCTTCTCGAGCTCTCCATCCACTTTGCCGATGCCCATGAATGACGCGGAAGAAGATGGCCGCGCCGAAACTTGAAATAACACGGGAACCCAACCAACTTCCATTACCCGAGCCATGCGGGGCAACATAATGCCTCGGTACCGACAAGCGACGGCCTTTTGGACTGTTGCATTTCTATTCTAATAGATCTACTTATAGAGCATTCTCCGGAGATGGTGGCCGTCTACGTTTACCTTCAGAATTTGCATTCTCGAGCTGTCCAGTGTATGTAGGGCGCCCCGACTCGGAACGCCTCTCTTGATCCGCGTTGTTTACGGCCCTGACAAAGGCATTGTGCAAAAGGAGCGATGAGATTACCAATTGCTGAAACATATCATGAACTTCCGAAAAAAACGAATCAGCCTGAACAACAAAGCCTGAGCCTGAGTGCGCTAAATGTACAGCTGACACCACTTGAAACAATACTGAACTGTCCAGCCAGTGATGACAACTACGGATTGAGACCTGAGCGCTCCCCGTGCGCTCGGCCATCCTGCTCGCACGCGCGCATCTAAATCAGCTAGACAGTCTCCACATACGCATATCAAGTTTGTCGATGCGCTCGGATCATTCGTCAAAACCCACTTAGCGTGCATACTCGCGGGACGCTAACGCTCTCCACGGAGTGGATAGACAATCGCAAGCTCAATAGGTTTCCAGAAGTCTCACTGCACACGTAGCACATGCAGGACCTCCGACGGAAGCGACTGTATCGCGTTACGAACGGGAAAACCGACACCGACACGCAGGGCCACAGGTACGTAAATCGCCGAGGAGAAGACATCAATATGCACTTGTTGGGATGTCCGAGTAGCTGGAATGTCGACCGCGAGGGTATGGTGCGGCGTCGGTCCGCGCGAACGTCGTATTGGGGCTACCCCACCAATGGGCAGCCAAGGGGTGCTAAATTGCGTAAACGCGCATCTATATCCGCAAACGCGAACGTTGCAATTGAAAACTGCTCGTTCATTCGCTGTCAGATGACAAGGTAGCTCCGGTGACACTCGACGAGCGAATGGTGGTGTTCCAATATGAGGCCGTGTTTCCAATAGAATGAACGACCGAAGAAGAGATCAATTAACTAGGGAGGTAGAGTCTACATGGCGCGCGATGCATCGGCAGGAAGGGTAGACAGTTGGGTAGCTAGAATACATCGACGGCTGAGCTAGCAAGGAGCAGTGGCAAACCGAGGCATGACACAAAGATCTGCGCACACCTGGGAGGAAGAACGTGTCAGCGGCTCGCTCGTGTGGAGGACTGGCTTGTACTAAGGACAGTACCTGATGAACAAGTACAACTCCGAGCTCCCCATGGGCAGGCACGCCTTCCACCTCTCCATTTCCCCCCACAACCGGTATCCCAGTCACCAAACGCGACGAACGTTGGTAGCATTGACGCGTGTGGGGGGTCGCGTGATGGTAAATAATTACTGGTTGATCGACTGGACGCTGGGGTTGCGCTTCGGACCCGTGGGGAGTGGCGTCCCCGACTGGGAGGTGACGGGCGTGGTGCTGCTCATGTCTCCGTTGATGATGTCCTGGATGGAAACTTCGAGCGCGTCGACGCGCTGAGACATCTGCATCACTGTGGCGTGACGAACGATACCAGCGCACCGCGGACGGCGGCGAGAGAGAAAATGGGGCTATGTCAGCTATCTGTGTTCGCGTCCGCGGTACGGGGGAGGGCTAGGGAGGGGGTAGTGGGTGCGGCAAGTGAGGCGAGGTACGCACTGCGGTCAAGGATCTGCGTGGACATGTCGTCGAACTTGGTTTCCAGCTGCTCTAGCAGAGTTTCGACCTAGTCAGAGGTCCGATACGTGTTACGGATCATGGGGGTGGCACGACGGCGTCGCATCGGTGTTTGACCATTGGTTCGGAAGAAAGATATCGACAAAAAGCGATCATGAAGGTACCAAAATCCTTGTCAGAATGGATCGACGTGTATCGCGAGAGGATTGGTGGTACTTACGAACGCAGTAAGTTCGTGTGGACTGGATATCTCATTAGGAATAGCAGCAGTTGGCTGTCTCGTAGGCGTCCTTGTTCCCGAGGGATCCGAGCCGTTTGTCGTAGCCTTGGAAGGTGTCGCGTTCGTGTTGGATGGCACTTTGAGAGGAAGGGCAGAGCCAGAGGACATGGTGCAACGAACGAGCTGGGCGGTAGAGGAGAGGGTTCGGAAACGGGTTCGGCTGCCACGTTCAGAAGCCTCCGGACATCTCACACCGGGATTACTTGGTTAGGTAATTGTCCTGGGATCCGGTCCGACCAGTTTCCGCAGATGGATAGAGTCATCCCTGACATACCGCATTCTCCATTCTGCGTTCATTTGCCAGACACCACTTTCTTCTCCGAGAATCACCTGCAAAGTTGTCTGCAGACTGTATTCCTGTCATGTGGTAAGTGGCGCACACAGCGTACACTTTTTTGTCCATCGAGATAAGCTTTGCTGTCAATGAGCCAGATAGTCTGAAGTTTACCTGATTTTCAGGCCCCGTTCGCTATTGTTCTCTCCAAATCCAGCTTGCCCAGTGATCGTGCAATATATCGCAGCAGGCTCATCATCGGACAACTAGTTCACCATCAGCGATTTGGGTCGATGTGCTGATGATGGTCTTGTCCCACCAAGCGTAGATGAGACTGAAACATGCTGGACTTATTGTGTTGTCAATGTAGCCAATCTTGCGTGGACGGTTCAACATATGATTACTGTTTCCGAAATCTTCACCCCAAGATTCGAGCATGATTAGTCCGTATGGGCTTTGCATGTTCCTGATGGCAAGTGCTCAACGCTCTTGTACGCTCTTGTTTTCTTAGCAACGCGTTCTCGAGCTTACTCGGAGACTCGACAGCTATGTCGAACATCCCTGACGATACCTAGTCCCCTCTAAGCCATGTGGCAAAGGGCTATCTGAGCCGACTGAATGGGCCCTTGTACTTTGCTTGAATGATTGACGCAGCCTCACTCAGGCGTCGGTTGGCTCGGTGAAGGACGTTTGACATATCCTGAAGGAACATACGGTGACCCTTGGAGAGACGGAAGCATACGTGTGGGCGGAGCGGAAGAAGATGGCTCGGCTGTCGGCCTGTCGTCGGACCGTCGCGGAGCTGGCGAGAGTTGCCTGATGTGGGGTGCTTCCTTTTGTTCTACGCGAACCGGGACCAACCGAGACAAACACGTCCATGGTCGAGTCGTCATCAAGGCGCCCATTTGTGGGGACAATAAAGCGGTCCAATGGGCGAGACGAACCGGCTCTTCTCGTCTTGCCTTCCCCGTTCACCGCCCGCAGGGTCGTATGCTCGCATATTGTGCTCCCCTGCCTTGCGTGCGTCTTTCCGGACATGTCGCACGCTTCTATCGGTATATCATGTCGCGAACTTTGCCAGCTCGATCATCTGTCTATTGGCTCGCTAAAAGGTGAACAGGTTTCCGGTCCGTGTACCCACAATATCAACCCAATTGTGCGTCCGAGGCGACGTCAAACGCTTTGACGCTTTGACCTTGTCTGCGCCACCAAAAAGCGCTTGAACATAGTTGGCCAAGTCTCACTCTTCGAGCTGATCAATGTGTAGATCAAAGTAGCCCACCCCCAACCTCAATCCAACCCTTTCGCGTCACCCAAAGGCGGTGTGGCCGGAGCTGATTTCAATTGTCCGTATTCAAGTGCGTACACACGGCCCTTGCGGCTAATTATTGGGCGCGGCGGCGCCTGTTGTGTCATTTTGACTTTCACCAGATCCACAATGTCAAAGCCAGATCTCTGGCACTTGCCGCGCCCTGCGAGCCACGTTCTTTCGCCGGACACTCGTTCCTGCGCTCTTCTCTTCACTCAAAATTATTTTTCAAGTGGCCGTCCGAGCAATGGCCGATTGCTCATCACCAACCCGTCCCACATATATAAAAGCATCGTGTTTTCCGAGGAAGGCTTCTCCTTGGGTACTACTCGACCTCGGTCCGCGTCTCATCATACGTCCTTCGCTCCTTGAGGACATTGTCCATATTCTTCGCATACATCACACATCCTATCCTTCGCGTTCCATCCCTCGTCATTAAAATGTCCCCAACGGCCACCTTCACCACGACTTCCTCGGAAGAGAACGCGCCTACGAAGTTCATCCTTCCCGACCTCGTATCCGACTGCACCTACCCTCTCCTCCTCAACGACAACTGCGAGCCCGTCGCCCGCGCCTCGGAGCAGTGGCTCATCGCTGGCGCGCGCCTGCAGGAGCCGCGCCGCACCAAGTTCATGGGCCTCCTCGCCGGCGAGCTTACTGCTGCTTGCTACCCGCACGCCGACGCGTCCCACCTGCGCGTGTGTGTCGACTTCATGAACTGGCTGTTCAACATGGACGACTGGCTCGACGACTTCGATGTCGACGATACCTGGGGCATGCGTCACTGCTGCCTCGGCGCCTTCCGCGACCCTGTCGGGTTCGAGACGGACAAGCTCGGCGGTTTGATGTCCAAGTCGTGCGTCACATTCTTCTCTTGCGTCATTGCTTCACGTTCAGTCACTGACTTGGCGGTTTTTCGCTTGCAGGTTCTTTAGCCGCTTCAGGCAGGACGGCGGTCCGGGCTGCACGGAGCGCTTCATCCACACGATGGACCTTTTCTTCATTGCTGTCGCGCAGCAGGCCGGTGATCGTGCTAACGGCATCACCCCTGACCTCGAGTCATACATCACTGTCCGCCGGGACACGTCCGGCTGCAAGCCGTGCTTCGCGCTTATCGAGTACGCCGCCGGCATCGACCTCCCCGACCATGTCATCTACCACCCGACGCTCGCTGCCATGGAGGAGGCGACGAACGACCTCGTCACCTGGTCGAACGTAAGTTTTCCATTACCCATCGCTCACTATCAGAATGGCTGACGCTGGCGCGACAGGACATCTTCTCCTACAACAAGGAGCAGGTCACCGACGACACGCACAACATGATCCCCGTGCTCATGCGCGAGCGCGGGCTCGACCTGCAGGGCGCCGTCGACTTCGTGGGGCGCCTGTGCAAGGGCACAATCGAGCGCTTCGAGACGGAGCGCGCGCGCCTCCCCTCGTGGGGCCCCGAGCTCGACGCGCAGGTCCAGACGTACATCGAGGGCCTGCAGAACTGGATCGTCGGCTCGCTCCACTGGAGCTTCGACTCGCACCGCTACTTCGGCAAGGACGGGCACGCGGTCAAGAAGCACCGCATCGTGAAGCTGCTGCCCAAGCGCGTGCCCCAGCAGGCGTAGCTGGTCGCTCGCCTGTCTCCCGTCTATTTCGTTCATCTGGATACACTACTTTCTTGACTCCGTGCGCTTAATCCTTTCTCCGCCTCCCCTTCTTGCATACATAACTGTGTCATAGCCCATACCATAGACGCACCCCATAATTCTGTGCTGTATCTTCTCCATATATGGTATGACCCCCCCTAGGCCACTATGCTATGCCCCGCATGCGACTCCCACATGCCACCCTCACGATTTCCCTCCCCTTCGCTCTTACTCCTAGCGCGCGCTTTGTATTTTTACGATCTCATGTCTCACACACCATCTATTATCTTTTTATTCATTTCTTGGTATCGATATTGATATTCGTATCTTATCACTTAGTAGTTATGTTTGATGCCTAGCATATCTACGTTATTTCGCTTTCTCTTAGTGGTCGAACAGGTCATTCATCAGCTAGATCTTGGAATGGATTCGTCGTTTTATTGTGACTCGTCTCAGCGTGAAAGCCATCAATCATCATCGGTATAATTACATTGTCGCCACAGCTTCAGTGGCCTCTCGACTACGCCGGAGGCTCTCCGCAATGATCGATCACGTAGTTCTTCACCCGCTGCTGTTCCTGTCCTCCGACGCCCTCCAGCTGCTCGGGCATCAACCCTTCAAGATTCGTCTGTGGACGTATCAGAATCCAGCACGTTGGGAAAAGACACCCAAGAATTGAGCAAGGGGTGGTCAGGAACCCGCGGACGAGCGAGTCTCAATGAAAGCACATACCCTCGAGCGATCGGCGCCTGCTTCGATCAGCTGGACCGCCGCTGCGGCATGTCCCGACTCCATAGCGAGGTGCAGCGGCGTGTTGCCTGGGAGGAATCAAGAGTGAGTCCAAGGATAGAACAGATCGGTCAGTGAGATACGGGTGGTCGCCGTATGGCCCTCGGGGCGATGAAGAGTGTTGTGAAGGAAATGGGAGAAAATGCGTGGTGGGTTAAATATATTCGCTCATGCGAGCATGTGCATTCCCTCCGCAGCGCCAGGTACGTATGGTCGGAAATCAGGAAGACGATGATGTCGATGATGAAACGGGGGGCCGAGCAATAATTAAGAACGTACCTAAGCGATCGCCGGTGTTCAGCCTCGGCTTGATGCCCTCTCTAGGCTCCAGGAGGAGTGCGATGAAGCCTGTGGAGCCTGTGGAGCCAGTTGTGGCCGCACGATGTCTGAGATTCGTCGCGGTTGGAGGTTGAACGATCGGGCCGAGATAAGATAGAAAGGTAATGAGATATTACAGAGTAAGGAAGAACGTTTCGTCAGCACACGAACGTAGCGGTATGGTCTGGGAAACGAAAAGACAAAAGCGCGGAGAAAGAGCCATATACGTACAATGGAAGTTGGTTTGCCTTGTCCCGCGCGTTGATCTATGCAAATGAAACAACGGAACGAGGTGAGATGAGATGAATGTATGTATGTGCGAGACGAAACGAGCGCTTGACGGTTCTTTTTGTTTTACGCACATCTGCACCGCGTTCTATTAAGAATCTGCCGATCTATGCGGGAAAATTGTTAGAGAGATGAACGCGGGCGGTTGAAAAGACAATAAAGCGCACATCTATTCTGGATTTGGAGGCTGCGTAGTGTCTGATGAGGAAGAACGGAGGCTATGTGTTAGCAGCTTCCTCAACACCTTTTGGTTTTCATAGAAAATATACGGATCCAACTGGTAAAGACTCACAAAGGGGTTAGACCTTTGTCGGTAGTCTTGCGTACGTCAGCGCCGGATCCAACGAGCTCGCGGACGGTCTCTTCGTGTCCCGCGCTGACTTTGAGTTTTAAGAGTGCGATGAGGTCGTAGTCTCATGAGGTTTGATGGAATGTACGCACCTGCGATATGGAGTGCAGTCCATGCGCTTCCATCAACCTTGTTCACATCCGCTCCTTGGTCCACAAGGTATCGAACGATGTCGGCCGAACCGCTGGACGCTGCCCAATGCAGCGGAGTTCGCTCGTCCTGGAATCGTGGAATTTAGATGTCGGACTGTAAGGAAGCTCGTTGATCCCCACTAACATCATCAACTGAGTTGACAAGCTTCGGGTTGGCAGACACGAGCGAGCGGAGCAATGACAGCTGATCTACGCTTCCGGTCAGCTGAAGGTTCCTAGAGGCACTCTATCACGTACTGTGCTGTGCCGCGGAATGTACTGTCATAGACATGTTAGCGTCAATTAGGATGCTTAGCAGTGACTGTCGACAGAAGCTTTGAAGGAGAAGGAAGAGACGCGAATGACGCGTTCAATAACCCCTAACCTTGTTTTCAGTCCAGAGTACGCGGCCTCCCAAAATAGGAGAACCCCTGTCCCAACATCTATCGAGTGAGCCAATCTCGTGGCAAGCCTCCTCACTGCAAGCAACTCTTAATAGTAGCAGCAGTGTTACTTGAAGTTTATCTTAAAAATTAAGGTGAACGGGTTTCAGTAACTAGTTCCTCATTATTTAATAATTTTATCAAAGACAGGGCTGTTTAGCTGCGAAAAACAGGCGCGTTCCTTTCCTGTTTCATAAAAGTTTAAATAATGAGGAACTAATTATCGATACAAGACATGCCGTGCTCCGCTACGGCACAGTTGAACGCTGATGGGAAAGGACCTGAACAATTAGAACATGTCTAATCAATCTTCTCGCACGGGCGGCTAGTCACACCAGAAAAAAAAAACAGTAGAACTGCCACTGCTGCCCGAGCCTAAGCGCAAATGGTACATTGGACGCGTAGACATGTGGACTAAGATACATGGCGAGAGTGATTAGGTACGGACATATGAAATAAACCGTAGCTTGTAATGGTACGATGCCGGCAGCCGGAGGGTGGGTACTCGAATCTGGCCGAACGCGGGGATGAGTGAATCACCCCGACATAAGGAATAAGGAATCTGAATGTGGGCTTACCTGGCAGAGTGCGGGGAAGGAGCGAATGGCGTCCTCCCCATGCTCTGCCTGCATACAAATATCCGTATATCGTCGCGCTGGGATTGGTCTAGACAAAATAGGAGACCGATCGGATGACACTAGCCTAACGGTGTGGCACGATCCGCCGCAGACAATCGAACGGGTATTCGCCCCGCAGCCCAGAGGACTGCGAGGCCCACGGCAGGCGCGTCCTTACGGGACGTTCGCGCGTTCTTAGCGAGAATGCGGGCGCAGGAGGTTGCTCGCAGGCGCGCACAGCGAGTGCGCTGGCGTCGTGCGAGCTGGTCTCTCGCTGGCGGATCGCGGGTGGCACGCGCTTGGGCAGGTGCGACTCATTAGACTAGGTAAACATAGTTTAAACTCGAGAAAAGTGGAAAACGTGAGCAGCGTACGTACGGGATTGCGCTAACAGGATCCAAGGTTGCATCATGGAAGTGGCTGCAGACGTACATGGAGACGATGACAGAGAGAGAGAGAGTTGGGGCTACAAAGCCCTCGAGTGCACCAAGGCGGGCCATAAGCCTTCAGCCCGTGCATGGGCGGCGGCTGCTGTCGCCGATACAGCCTGCTGGTAGGTTGCTAGCGCCTGCGGACGTCACGGGGTTGCTGATGCCTGCCAGCCAGGCGGGTGCCAGTGAGGCGTGAGTCAACAGTGCTTGACCTGTGACCTTGCAGTGAAGTTAGTGGATGAAAAGCGGGAGACGTGAGCAGCGTACGGGTTTGCGGCAGCAGGATCCATGGTGCGAAATTGGGGAGGAGAGGAGGGGGGAAGAAAGGACGCCGGTAACAACCCATGGCCAGCGCTAGCCTATTATCATGACGGGAGATTAGACCATAAAGGGATAGATAGACGCCGAGATCCATCTCCTTCAAGAGGGCAAACATGAACATCGCCAAGCCAGGATAAATATTGAAGATACGGGTAACCTGTTCACCTTGATCTTTAAAATAAAGCTTAAATAACAATGCCACTATTATTGAGAAATGTTTGCAGTGCCTTGAGATCGACCTTGCGTTGTGCCTGCGTGTTCTTCATCTACATGCGCCTCCCGGACCTTTTGTTCAGGAGCTGGTCTATGTGTCCCTCCCATGATCTCTGCCTACCGTCAGGACCAGCCCACAACAATCATCTGCAGCTAAGAAAATAAACATTGTGCTCTGCCCATGGACATCAGAGATGGCGATGGGGGCGGTGGGTGAGATTCGCCTTTTATGAGTTCATATTTCCATCCCTCGCGACGTCCCACCCTCCTCCCACTATCTTCATAGTAGTATGGGCGACTCTCATCCTCTGGACTTCTGTCCAGAAGCCGTTTTGACCATCTGCTGCAACACCCGGGAGAGATGTCAAGCTGTCGTCTTTCTATGCTACCAGGCACCCTCTCTCTGAGCTGTCACGCCACCGCCATATTTCTCTGTAGTCTCTCCAACCCCTTCACTACATACTTTATCGCTGTATGTTTCAAGCATTGCTGCCACCTCCCTTGTAAACGCCTGCTGGAAGGCTCCTATGAAACATCCTCCACACCACTTCACAACGTCAGCATCATATCGCTAGAGAAGCTTCCTTCTGACATCGACACTTTCTTTGTATTGCATCCCACTGCAACTACTATCACAGCTGCAGTATACAGCACCCCCTTCAACATACTCGGTTCGCTCTATGCAAGTCCCCGACAAGCAAATTCGTTCGATGATACCACACGCGTCTCCGCTCATCAAGTCCACAGCCTCGTGTCTCTTCTCAGCGAGCGCTATTCAAAGGCCCCATATTCTCGCTATCAGGATCCCACATGGTTAGCCCTAGTTGGTTTCCGTTCGTTTCAGCAGGTGTTCAAGCTAGAAGATTGCACCACCGCCGCTCGGTACCCCACACGGTTCCTGACCATAAAAATCCTTTTGGATGCTGAGGAGGTGGATGAAGTCTGTGGAAAGTTTTCGCGAGGAGAACAACACCATGTAGATAAATTAGTAAGTCAGCTTGCAATTCGATGTGGTTACAGGAGTGTTGAAACGAGTTACGAGCACAATGAAGAACCCGCCTTCCCACAGAGTCCTCAGAAGGTTCGGGTAGGATAAGTGGTGAAACGGTGTTGACTCCATCTGATGCAAACGGCTTGCTCTTAATGTGCGTTTGGGATTGGCTTGGTAGATTGCGATAAGGTTCGACTCAAGTGTAGACCTCAGTCCCTCTATGGTTGGTAACTTCAAGGAGAACTTACTGAGAGCTTAGCTATATTCCCATGTAACGAACTTGCCTCATCCCTTGGCTTCGGTGGACAAGCCAACTTGGGTCCCGGTCTGGATAGAAAATGAACCGGCACAAAGTACTTAGTAATTTAGGGTTCCCCCGCATGTTGTCTCGCATTAGCAGGCCATGCCTTTGACGATAGGTGATAAGCGGCCCAGCCTAATGAATTGGTATTACAAAGATAAAGAGATATTAAAGTGTAAGGAGTGCACCGTACGCGTATAAGCACCTCGCTGACAATATCGACCTTCTTCAGTCGAGATAGATATTGCTACTAGTACTCGAGTAGTGTTATTGACGGTGTAGGCGTGTGGCGAAAACATGTCAAGAAGCACAGGACGGTATTATCCGCAGGATGCGTTGAATATACTGATGGATTCGACAGGTTCGTGGGCGGACGTCGACTTGATCGACGATTGGAGTCATTTGGGCCCGTCCTCAACACGTCCTAGTTGCTTCATCGTTGTCAGCTCGCGAACCGTGGGAAAATAAGGCGCCCGCATAGCCGTCAACAAGAGTGACGCTGGGCAGCATTATCGACATGTACAACCGCCAGATTCAGCAGTCAGTCTGTACCCACCGACGACGTCTTTCTCAACACACTCCCCGTTGAAGGAGTTGTCTGCCATGTCCGAAGCGTGAGAGCCCCGGGTAGCGTGTCGGAGACGGGAAAATGATCATCACATGCAATATGGGGCCCCAGGTACCGGCGAACACTGTTGCCGCCCTCGCTCACTGTCTCCCAGAGCTCTCCTCACCTTTACTCAGTAAACGGCATCTCATTGAGCAAACTAGGATCATCATGGCGACATCGTACAATGTTCCCCAGCACTCCGAACAACTAAAGATCTCCTTCCCAGCGGAGCACGTCATGCTCCTGACCCTCAACCGGCCCAAGCGCCTCAATGCCGTCGGACCGCAGCTCAACTCGGATATCGGTGCTGTGCTCAACTGGTTTGAAGACCAGCCTAGCTTGTGGTACGTAGCTCTTGGGAGAATCATTGTACCTGGAAAAAGTTTATAGTGGCTCGATAGGGTCGTAATTGTGACGGGCGAGGGAAGGGCGTTCTGTGCGGGTGCGGACTTGATGGCGTGCGTTAGATTTCCCTTTTGAAAGCTTCTTCGACCGAGCTGAAAGTGCCGTGACGACTGTCCAGCTGGAACGAAGCTCAGCAGAGCGGCGACTCAAACGAGTCCCAGATGCTTGCCTCGTCCTTGCATGGTTTTGGTCAAATCTCGCGGCGTCAGACATCTAACAAACCCATCATCGCTGCCGTTAATGGTTCCGCGTATGGAGGCGGCGTCGAGATGATCCTCAACTGTGACCTTGTCGTCGCCAGTGATAAGGCGACCTTTGCGCTCCCAGAGGTCAAGCGCGGTGTTGTCGCGGCCCAGGGAGGTATGTTCTATCCTTGCCTTCCTTCCCGCGCCTGTCACATCATCCTTGAAGTATTCCTTGAAGCATTGCTCTGATTCATGTTTTCTTGCAGTCATCCCTCGTTTAGCTAGAGTTTCCGGGCATCAGGTTCGTGTCGTCCCGCTTGCTCTCACATACCCCAACTTCTTTCTGACTTACGTCATTTTGGGTCATGCACGAGTAGCTTGCCTCGGAGATGCTGCTTCTCGGCAACAATGTCAGCGCTGCTGAAGCGCGCGACCGATTCGGCTTGTACGTGCCCATTATTGCGCGATAAAGGTTAAACATGGACTGACATATTATACGTCTATCTCACTTAGTGTGAATCGCGTTGTCCCCGCTGACACCGTGCTCTCGACTGCCCTCGACCTCGCGAAGGACATCATATCCAATTCGCCCGACTCGGTGCAAAGTTCCAAGCGCGGCTTGATCCTTTCCCAGCAGCTCCCTGTCGAGGAAGCTGTTCGCGCCCATGCTCTAGGGGATGCTGGACGGAGGGTGTACAAGAGCGAGAATATCCGAGAGGGGTTGATGGCATTTGCAGAGGTGAGTCTGTTGCTGGTAGTGTCTTCTTACGGCTAATATCGAGTCCTTCAGAAACGCAAGCCAAAGTGGAAGAGCCCCGCTAAGCTTTAATACCATCATATGTCGCACCAGTTAGCTGCGCTTTAATATATTTCGCCACGTTTCTCTGTGAGCTTTGGGCTGGGACGGACTCCTTGGCGATGTCAGTGCTGCTTTCCGAGACTGGTCACACCACAGAGCGGGCGCAAGGCTTCGACAGGCTGGTTGGACAGGAAATATGTGAGCAAGTATCAGGTAGCCTTCCTTTCGTCCATCCACCATTGAACTCGCTGTGGACCTTGGTGGACTAAGTTGAACGACCCAACACCGTTATGTCGCCGACCTAGCGACATGATCGTGTTGCCCATGGTGCCGGCCTTATCGACGGACTGGGGTCGGCGTTCTTCTGTTCGTATCGCCGCCTCTATCGGACAAGCGCACCCTGTGAAAGTTGTGCTTGTTTCCCAGGGGTTTTATTTCACGAAGGTTCTTTACGTCCGAAAGGCGGTCACTCTTCATAACGGCCATCGATATTCTCGTACAGTAGTCCGGTGCTGTTCAGCGGGGACGTTGTAATCGATACTCCCAACACGATGCTCCCTGAAGCACGCCTCAACATCAGTGGTAGGACGGGTTCCTGGTTGATGCACAGCAATCTACAACAGTACGTATCGCATCAGAACCACCACAGGACAGGGTACTCAAGCGTTCATTCGGCTGCTATATTTATTTCCCAAGCTAAGCGGACTACCAGTGCTTATATAGTGCGGTGGTCAAATTAGCTGGTCCGCACACCTCCCGCCCCTTCACACGCGTGGCTCAGCCACGCCCTTTGTTCGCAATCCCTTCGATAGGGGTGTAATGACCGATCTCGTCGAGCTTGCGACGGGTTTGCAAACTACCACAGTAAGCCCTCTTACTTCGTTCCATGTACTGTTGACAAACTCATGGACTCTGGACTAATAGTACTTAGACAGTAAGTAAACTCAGCACAATCGTGCTCGCCCGCATAACACGACCTGATCTACGAACAGTATCGGTCTGCGCGTTGTTTGTGAGTAAGCTTCTCTGACTTTATCTAGATGGCTTGCTGATCCGCGGCTAGGTGTATGATTATCTCATCAATTTACCAGACGAAGTAACTTCATCGAATGACTCTCTAGTCAGAATCTTACGTTCAGGCGCAGATCGATTACCTGTGGACCACGAACCGTGTAGGGCTGGGGAAGATCTTATACGTTTTGACTCGATATCTACCATTCGTTTCCTTACCGTTGGTGTTGACATGTATGTTTCACATCAAGGAGTTTGGAGGGATTGATCCTGATGACGATTACAGCACAGCTAATGTCCGGTCTTGATATCAAGGTCAGTCCTCAAAATGGCCGCCATATTCCCAGCGCATCGCTCAGGCGATTAACTCTGAAACATGATAGACATGCACATCATTGCTCTCTGCGGTCAACGGTAGATGTTCAGCTGACTGCGTGCACTCATTAGCGTCTCACCATAGCTTGATTTTTAGTATTTCAATCCGTGGAAGTAGTATTCGCAGAATGTAGGATTAATTCCTACCACTTCAACTTGCCACTATATCATTAAGTCCCACGTAGGGATGTTCTCGCTACGAACATATGTGATGTGGAGTCAAGACAAGACGGTGCTAGCGATAATATTAGCTGCTTCTTTGGTACGACTATATTTCTTCCAGTGGCACGTGTCCCTTATCGTCCCTCTCTTCCACCTAGATAGCGATCGTAGCTGTCACGGTTCTTTTGGTACTCTTTGTCCCTTCGATAAAAGGTGAACCGCTTTTCTTCTGTATCACTCCCTGGCTAACGAGTTTTAGTCGTACAGTTGCGCGTCTCTGGTATTACTGGCTGCGTCAAAGGCGAGGTATCGTCAATCCTGTTTGCGACATATCTCGTCATAATTGCAGCTGAGCTAGGTCAGACTTCGATATCTCTGTTCCGGCCTAAGGCATGTTTTCTGACCAGGGATATGGGTCTAGTTATCCTTGCCTTGATTGTCACGCATGTACTGCGTAAGCGAAGCCAGTCACGCTCTCACCTTCTAGTGACTATGATGCGCGACGGTGTATTCTACTGTGTTTGCATGATAGGTACGTGTACCATCAATGTCGTTGTCGTGATCAAGGCACTGACTTCGGGCCCTAGCTTTCTCTATCGTCAACGTAATTACAACTTTGTGCGTCAAGGTCAGTAAAAGCATCGGTCATGTTGGCAGTCAAGCGTACTCAAGACAAAACAGGGGAGTTACTCGGACTTGTTCAACATGTGAGTGTGCGTGCAGATGAGTCCTCCGCGTCGCGGTATTCAAGCCAATACAGATACCAGACGGTGTTCCATACGATTCTTGCCTCGCGCTTGCAGCTTCATCTAACGAGAACAAATACACATGCTCGTGTACCTTCTCGTTGCCATATTGATACGAGGCTAACATCGATCATATTTGAGGAAGGACCCACGGATTCAGCACCAGAAACCTTTGGTCCTAGTTATGAGTCAGATATGTACGCGAATGAAATGCTTGCTGATGGTACCTGTCCGTCACTCCCAATATGAGACAATAAATCACCTACTTTCTTTGTATCGGCTCCACCTAGGATGTGTAATGTCTTGAATCAAACCATGTCCCACTACATCTTGACCAGCGTAGTTGACATGGTACGTGAGCCCCTTGTTGCAATGTCTACGAATATCTTGTGATGCTCACACCCCTTTTCACATTCATCACCATCTGTCTCTCCTGCGGAGTTAACTTTCACGTTACAGACAACGGTGTCGTGCTATTGTATCTACTTTCCCTTTACCATCAACACGTTCCGCTGATGGTCTCTATCCTGAGCAGCTTTCTGAACGTTAAAATCACCACTCGTTAGGAACGGCACAGTTTATAAACTAGAACAAGGTCGTCTAGGTTACTTCTGGGACAGAACAAAGGCTATGTGAGCAGACATTATATAAGACGCCGCTAGTACCTGACTGTAAGGCAGATGTACCATGGGCACGAACCTTGCTAACATGTACGACTGTGCTAAGAATAACGCCAACGTTTTTTCCAATCGCACAAGATCCGGGTTGAGCGGTTACGTGTAAAGGTGAGAAACTGAGATTACCGGTATACGCGCTATCCAATAGACCTGTCTTGGGTTCTTCTGTCAAAGGATCACCGTCTAATTGAAGCAATATACATACTGCAAAATCCGCCGCTCTTTCCCAGGAATCCCTCTTCTGTTGATGCATCAACGTCAACCACGCTGCTCCGCAAAGTAAGCTCAGTAGATGCATATGCCCTGCTCTTGGCTTACCCACAACGCTACATAGATATCCTCATGAGATCATCGTAGAACGAATACCCGGATGTCAGGCCAACAGCGATAGATATATCCCAGGCTCCTTGCAAATAGCTATATAGAGCTGTGACTATGCCACATGGCAGAGGCACCTCCGCCCCCGTGGTCAAGCCACATCATTTGCTCAAGGTTCCATCCACAAAAGGCCCAGAGCATCGATTTACGGAACGAAGGATGGTAGAACTCAGCAAACTTGCGACAGGGTTGTTAACTACCAGCGTGCGTCCCCTTCTTACATAAACTGCATGCACGCTGAGGGCGGGATACTGTCACGCAGTACTTAGATGGTAAGCTCAATATATGTCTGCACGCATGAAACAAGCTCATCTTCAAATAGTATCGGTTTGTACAGTATTTGTGACTACAGTTTCCTTGTCAATATTGATAGCATGCTGAATCGTACACAGGTGTACGATTATCTCATCAACCTCCCTGATGAGGTACTTTTTCCACTTATTTTCTTCCTTTGCCCAAATTTACGGTTATGCTAAGATTGAGTACCTATGGAAAATGCGCAACATAGGGCGAGGAAAAGTATTGTATGCTCTGACACGCTATCTACCGTTTGTGTCATTGCCACTGGTGCTTATATGTTCGATTCATTCAGCATATTATGTTACGAGGACTCTGATGATCGACACAGCGCAGTTCAAATCCGGCCTGGACGTCAAAGTGAGTCTATGGCATCGTTATTACTGCCTAAATAGTGACCTGACTAGTGGTAGGCTTGCACAAAGCTTCTCACTGCAATCAATGGTAAGCGTTGGATACCTGAGCTACACGATGTCTAACCTGTCACTAGCTTTTCAATCAGCAGAGGTGATGTTTTCGGAGTGTAAGCTGAAGGTCAAAGGATACGAAAGCAGACACGAACTAACTCAGCCACGCTATCAGGGCTGTTTTTATTGAGAACATATATTATGTGGAACCGTAACAAAACTGTGCTTCTGATAATGTCAGCTTTGTCTTCGGTGTGTATTCCCTTGAGTTTGCAAGTCGACATCTGTGGACTAACCTTAAACTCTACTTTTTAGGCATCGGTTTTATCCGTCACATTGTTATTGGTGATGTTTGTTCCTTCGATTGAAGGTAAAGATAGCCTGGCTTGACTATATCACCAAACTAAGACACTCTAGTGATGCAATTGGACGTACCGGGAATTACGGGCTGCGTGAAGAGTCGGGCTTCGTCAATCATGTTTGCAACGTATCTTGTCATTATTGGGATCGAGTTAGGTTAGCCGATATAGTTTTACATATGGGTTTTAATTCGCCGCTAATATGCATATCGTGGTTAGTTATCCTGGTGCTGATCCTCACGCAGGCCCTACGGACGCTCAATCAGTCGCATTGCCGGCTCCTCAAGACTATGATGCACGACGGTGTATTCTATTGCATTTGTATGATCAGTAAGAGTACTTCCAACATATTATCTTCAATTTAGCATTAAGTATGAAAATCTACTCCAGTGTTCTCCACCATCAACGTAGTCACTGTGTTACGCGTTCAGGTAGTCAACAACTCTATCTGACATATACTTATATTAACAACATCGAGACAGGGAAGCTATTCGGATATGTTCAACATGTAAGTCGAACATCCATTGATTGGCTTGATTTGAAGGAATATCATAATCAATTGCAGATATCAAACAGTCTTCCACACGATTCTTGCTTCGCGCATGCAGCTTCATCTAACCAGGACGAGCAAACAAAATTGCAGCCGTTCTCTGGAGAGTATTGAATTCATCTTCAATGATAATTGAGGACGGAACCTCATATGAAATATATACTGTGAATTCTAGAATATCAGAGCGATATATCCATACCTCCTGCCATTTATCTCCGTTGAACGTTGAAGGCTCACAATGTCCACTAGTTTTCCAGTAGATACCATGTTCCTAGAGCAGGGAACTACATGTTTCATACTTATCCTGCCATTCGTGGTAGATTAGTTATACCATGTGTCGAAAGTTATGGCTGTTAAAGACAACCCAAGACTCGGCTGAGTGCAAATGGAATAAAGCGCAGCATATCCCAATATTAATATCGAGAGTTTTTAAGCTTTCAGACGGTCATATGGAACTAGCAAAGCTCAGTGCCATATAAATCTGTCATTCCGGACTCATTTCAGACTTTTCAAGACGGAAGACCCAGATACAGACGATCTGAGGAGTTTTGGGCCATTTGAAGTCGATCTGTGAACATAAGGGTTTAATCGACTATGCAGAAGAAGACGGAGAAAATTTGACATGGAAGTGGTTAGTCGACGGCCCGAGAAGATGGAGTACATCTGATCTGCATGGTGCGGCTTAAAACACACATAAAGTTCTCTGCAACGGTCATGAGTTCGCAGCAAGGTAATGGTCACGCACTGAACTTGAAGCTTGAAGATTGCAACGTACGAACTTAGCCTAGTACAACCGTAACAACTGGACAGGGGCACAGGGACGGCAATTGCCGACGGACGACCTATCAGAGTCTGTGCGCTTCCCTCTGTCTTTAAGCACTCCTAGTCATCGCATTCATTATGCTACCGCGCCGCACGACAATGCGTCGTTCTTAGTGATCCATCAACGTTGAAAATATCCACGAGTCCTTCGATCATCACGTCACGACGCTGAAGTACATATCAGCTCGCTCCAGCCTGCTTCAACCTTCGCCAAAGCTCATGTTCCCGACATAACGTGGCCATTACTTGACCCATAGCTCATTATGACACCTCACGACCTTGGCAGCGCCAACCAGCAATGCCTACTAGCTGCAAGCGTGGTACACACATCAAATATCCTTGACTCGAGTCTCGAATGCGATCGGCCGCAGGCGATACGTCGCTGACAGTACGGCTTCCAAGACAGCGCCTCGGGCCGCGACGATACACCGCGCATATGCAAGATGATGAGATGGGACAGCCTGAGGGTGCGTCTACCCTCCTTCTTTCTTTCTCCTCGCCCTTAGCAAGCTCCAGAACCGATCTCACTAACCGTACACACCCCACGATGGTCACAACATACGGCACCGTCCCCTCGCACTCCGAAGAGATTAAGGTCTCCTTCCCGGCAGAGCATGTCATGCTCCTCACCCTCAATCGTCCCAAGAAGCTCAACGCTGTGGGGCCGCAAATGAGAGCTGAGATTGGCACTGTGCTCAATTGGTTCGAGGACGAGCCCAGTTTGTGGTACGTCCGAGTTTGGGGAAGCTTGTGGTACAGGTTTTCGAGATTGACTGTTGTATATGTAGGGTGGTGATTGTGACGGGTGAGGGGAGGGCGTTCTGTGCGGGAGCAGATTTGTCGGCGTACGTCTCATGTTCTTTCACATATAGCACAACATTGACGAACGTACCAATCCGTCCCTGCTCCTGCATACGGCTGCGTTCGCCAACGCCTCTCCTACTCGTCTACCTCGCACTCCAACTCATTAACGCTCTTTGAACACAGCTGGAATGAAACCTACAAAGACGGAAACTCGAATGAATCTCAGACAATCGCCTCCTCCTTGCACGGATTTGCCTCCATCTCGCGGCGGCAGACGTCGAACAAGCCCATCATTGCGGCCGTCAACGGGCCCGCGTACGGAGGCGGTGTCGAGCTGATTCTCAATTGCGACCTCGTCGTTGCGAGCGACCAGGCCGTCTTCGCACTCCCCGAGGTCAAGCGTGGTGTCGTTGCTGCGGAGGGAGGTGCGTGCTTGTGCATTATTGTGGGTTTATTGTCTTGACTGAACGATGCGTTTCCGATAGCTATTCCTCGTCTCGCTGCAGTCGCTGGGCACCAGGTTCGTCCTATCCACTATATGATACCCCCTCAAACCACCGGCTGACCTATGCGCGCCATCAGCTTGCCTCAGAACTCCTGCTCCTAGGAAACACCGTCAGCGCCATTGAAGCGCGAGACCGCTTCCGATTGTACGTCCTCGCGTCCTGCCTACCCTCCCCGATTCCAAAGCATCCCCAACATCATGTCTTAATCCTAACTCAATTCGTACAGCGTCAACCGCGTGGTCCCAGCATCCGCCGTCCTCGAAACCGCGCTCTCACTAGCCGCAATCGTCACCGAAAACTCGCCCGACTCGGTACAGAGCTCCAAGCGCGGGCTCATCTTCTCGCAACAGCTCCCCGTCGAGGAGGCCGTGCGCGCGCACGCCCTCGGGGATGTAGGACGGAGGGTGTACAGGGGCGAGAATATCAAGGAAGGACTGGCTGCGTTTGCTGAGGTATGTTCTTCCCCCCTGTATGCTGTGGAGTGAGGTTGGCTGATGAGACGGATGTGGGGTAGAAACGCAAGCCGAGGTGGAAGAATCCTGCACGGCTTTGAGCTTGCCTGCAAAGCCGCGGCTGCTGCTCCTCTTGTATGGTCTGCAGATATTACTCGATATGAGCGGTCAGAGCGATGAGTGGGGGACCTATGTATCGGAAGTTCATACTCGCGGACATGAGCATCACAATTTTTTGAGAGGCGGTAGTGATCGCAGCGTTACCTTTAATTTGGGCCTTCTTTTCCTATCAATCAAGCGGATAATATTATTTAGCTTTTCGTGTACATCTAATACGTCTAGCTATTTGGTGATAATCAAGGGTCTTACATAAGAGTAGTTTGGCAACTCGTCCGCAGGGTGTCTGTCTATGGAGGGTAGTATATTCTTAGAAGAGGCGAGAATGAGCGGCGAAAGATCTTTGCGTTATCGACCAATGAAGTCGATGATGAGCTTCTTGTATTCCGTGGGTCTGCATGTACCATAAACAAAACGAGTAGCGGGGGCACATAATCGCGAGCGCTTACCTTTCAGCGTGAACTGTTGGTTATACGAGATTCGGGTTTGGGTCAGCGAGATTAACATGGACGTTACGAATCAAAAACGAGAACGCACCCCAGTGTCCGGTGTCAAGCTCCTCGATTTGCGCGTTCGGGAAATACGCCTTGATCGTCGGAATGTTCTTGTGGTTGATGAACCTACGGCGTAATGCTTTGTGAGCATGGATGATATACGGAGAACGGTTGAACGTACTTTGATTTGCGACCTTTGACAAAGAGCGTGCTGCCCTCGTACGTGCGTTCACCAGGGGCCCATGGGAAGGTCTCAATGTCGGGTCGCCCCTCTTTGAGGAAGTTGAGTGGAACTTTGAATTTAATGTTGTGTGGCTCCGAGGTGTCGAGGTTGGTCAAGAGGAAGGCGCGCACGCCTGGGTCCTGTTGTGGAGTGTCTAAATATACACAGCAGGGAAGACGGAAGCGAAACGGAGGTCACGTACGCTCTCGTACTCCTTCAACGCCTCCTCGGCCTCCTTCCTCGACTTCAGGCCCATCCCTTGTATACGCTGCATGCCCTCGATGTGCCTGATACGCTGACGCGTGTCCTCGGATGCCTGCGCGCGCACGGGTGCGATGTCGGATACGATGAGGTGCTGGATGAGGGCTGGGGGAAGGGAGGGGGAGAGCGCGACTGCCATAGCGACTTTGCCGCCCATGGAGTGGCCCATGAGGGAGATGTTCTCGAGCGAGTGTTCCGAGCAAAAGCGAAGGATGTCGGTGGCCATGTGGGTGTACGTCATCGGGCGGACGTGCGGGGACGAGCCATGGTTGCGGAGGTCCTAAGTCATATCGATATCAAAAAAATGGCTCGGAGAGGATTAAAAGTAACGGGGACTCGTACGAGGGTGTAGACGGGCCTGCCAAGGTCCTTCATGAACGCCTTGGAGAGCGACTGCCAGTTGCGCTTTGAGCCACTGTTATCTGAGCATTCAACGCACAGTATACGTTCGGAACTATCAACGTGACTTACAAGAACCCATGAAGGATAACAAGAGGTCTCTCCTTGCGTCCATTTGGAGGTAAATATTCGTCATAGGCGAGATCGACTGGCTCGACCTTAGATACTGACGACATGCATCCTGGATAGAGATGAGGACGTTGAGGCTGACCTAGACCTACTTACTTACTTGACTGTGTCAGCCAAGCCAGCCTTCCAGATGTGGTGAATGTGGTTCTCGAGAGGAGGGAAACAGCATGGCGAACACTCATCCCGACGACGATGACGGTGTACGCAGAGGACGCAAATTAGCCGGTTTGGTTGCCGGCGCGCGGCCCGGTCCTTCACGTGCTCCTCGGAGCCTTTGGCTATACTGGAGCACTCAACGTCAACGCTTTTTGCTTTCGCCCCTCGACGCGTCCTCACCAGCAGCGCGACGAACGATGGTCAGCATCACAGTCCAACCCGCGGGGAGACCCGTCAAGCTCGCCAAGGGTCTCCCTATCAAGGTCGACCTACCTGGTAAAGATGTCTCCACAGCCACTGTCGGCGACGTCAAGGCTGCCCTTGTCGCCAAGTTCCCCAGAGTGCGTCATTGTATGCGTTGTCTCCCTTGCCTTTACGCTAACTTATAGCATGTCTATATGCGCTTTATATTCGCGTGTAGTTCACCCCCTCGCGCCAGCGCATCTCGGCCAAGGGCGACAACAAGCTCCTCCCACCCGAAACGACGCTCCTGAAGGCAGGTATCGTCGACGGTGACGAGGTCACCGTGAAGGACCTCGGACCTCAAATCAGCTGGCAGTTTGTGTTCGTGGTTGAATATGTGAGTCACATACCCGGCTTACTCCCCGTCTGGCGCTAACACAAACGTGTGCAATGTCAGGCCGGGCCGCTGCTCATTCACCCCCTATTCTACCACTTTTCAAAGCTGTTCTATGGAGTTGACCAGCAACATAGCACGCTCCAGAAGTATGTCTGTATACTCGTGCTCTCGCCCATCCCCTCATCTTGTGCAGGTTTGTGTATACCTGGATGCTCCTTCACTTCGCCAAGCGTGAAGTCGAGACCCTCTTGTAAGCCTTCTACTTCAGGGCGTTCTAAGCAAATGCTGATGAAGCCACATGTAACAGCGTCCATCGTTTTTCGCATGACACGATGCCCTTCTTGAACATTTTCAAAAAGTGCGTTTCCCATCCACTACTGATTCTATCCACTCGATGGTGACCTTTCGCTCTACCAACTAGCTCGGCCCACTACTGGATTTTCAGTGGTACGTCCCCCCCAACCCCCACGACTATCGCACATAAGACTAATGCATACACCCCGCTCGCATAGGCGCATTCCTCGCGTACGCGCTGTACAGCCCCACCTACGCCGCGACGTCGCCCTACATCCTCGGTACCGTGCGCAACGATCCCAAGTTCCTCTGGGCATGCACCGCCGTCTGGGCTGTGAGTCTCCTTCTATACCTCTTCTACACATTCCTCCCGTGCTGACTTACCCTTTTGTAGTGGGCCGAGCTCTCCAACGCCTACACCCATCTCAAACTCCGCGCCCTACGCCCGCCCGGCACGCGCACGCGCGCCGTCGCGACGGGCTACGGCTTCGACCTTGTCTCGTTCCCCAACTACCTCTTCGAGTCCATCGCATGGACAGTGGTGGCGCTCATGACCGGCTCCTGGGCCGCGTGGTTCTTCTTGGCGATTGGCGCGGGGCAGATGTACCTCTGGGGCGTGAAGAAGCATCGGGCGTACAAGCGCGAGTTCGGGGACAAGTATCCGAAGGGGAGGAAGGTTATGATTCCGTTCTTGCTGTGAAGAAATCCGAATCGATCGCTTATGCCTTGGATGGTGAAGCGGGGAGGGTGGGTCGAGACTTCCGCGGTAGACACTGACGCTTGATGTGTTATTGGTAGATATCACGCTTTTGATATCTATTTCTTTCTCTTCCATTCGTGGCATCGCAGCCGACGTGATGGGAAACGCATTGTATCCACGTGCCCGCCGGCGTCGGTGGACAATTTGCCCTCTTAGCTCAAACGGGTGAAGATATCTCAACTAGAAGAAAGATAAAGATTGACAAAGATGATGTTGCATTGAAGAGCAATGTTTTCTAGCACGAAAATACTCTGCCCGTTTGGTTTAGGGTATCCACAGTGTCTCTCAAAGTATCAGGCCTCTATCACTCCACCTAAGCCATAGTAGCTGTGGCGAGCTAGTTGGAACCAGAGTCCGCGGGGACGCATCCAATACCAACGGTACCCTGCAGACGCCAATTTTGTGCGGTGAGGGATATGCGCCGACGCTCAAGAGAAAAGTCCATCACGTACAAGGGTGCTATTCTCGCAACACGATAGCTGCGACTGACAATTGTTGCCAGTCATGGACATGGGCGTGCAGTCGATGCCGACCGGGACATCGAGGCCTTGAAGGTTAACTCCGACCATCCCGAGCACGTTCGAAGCCTCTTGGCTGGAAGCCTTGAATCCATCAAGTGTGAGTTGACCATTGTCACAGTAGTGTAGAGGGCGAAGGCCAGCGACAACGTACCGGCTGAATGGTATTGCAGCATTGCATAGCTCCGCTGGAGCACGTCGCTGTAGCAGATCTCTTTTCGAGGGGCTTCGAAGCTGCGAGGAGAGAGAGGCAGAGGAATACGACGGATGAGAGACGTTGGTTCATGTTGTGTGCTTGAACGGAGGGAGACGAGATGACGGTAACAAGGAAAGCTTGTGATTTTCGGTGAGGCAGAGGGTGAGAGGTATATATGTCATATCGTTATTCGGTTCCCGTGAAGTTATTGACAAGCGTAGGAATGTTTTAAACTCGACGATCATAATTGCAATCAACCTCGTCTTCGCTCGCATCACGACCCTGACCTTCGTGCATCATGCAATGGTTTAACATTTAAGCGTGAACGCGCAGGCTGTACTAGGGGTTTGGCGGCAACATCTAAACTATAAAGTGCTGAGCGTCGCTCCTCAGTTTTTATTATGTACTTCAACAACACGACAAAGTAACGTGCTTTTAAATAGCAATTTTGTTGTCTCAAATACTTCCTAAATTCGGAGGCATTTAGAAGTACTGTCAAGCACGCTACTGGGATTTGCGACAGCATCCCGAACCGTGGCCAGCGACAACCAGGTCAGGCTCGTCTCGAGCGCACACCAAGCCCTTCAGCTACTAACTAGCTGTCCATCTTCTATTCCCACCCGTGAACTTCCCGAAATTGCTCGACAAGCATGCTTGGAACATCACAGCGTTTCATAGAATGCTGGCCACAGGCTTTATTCTTGGCTTTACTACTTGGGGACTTTAAAAACGCTTACCATCAGCGGATTGATGCTTCTATACTGTAACTTCATTTCCGTCCCGAAATGCAATATCCGATACTTGTGCAGTACTTTCAGGGTGCAAGATCGAATTGTTGTACCGGTTGAGGTGCAGATGGAGATGTGAAGCGAGTATCGTATGAAAAACGCATTGATATCTAAACGAACGAGAAGTTGAGATGATTTGGAATCGACAAAGAAGTAAAACTGCTTACGTTGTAAGCAGATCCGCGAAAGCGTCCTGAACATCATGATCAGACCTTTTATCTCACTAACTTACATGGTACAGACCTGAGCAAGATAGATCACCAAGACATTTGCGGTCGATAAACCTGAGAAGATTCTGTCAGTCTTACAAAGATCCGTAGGATGAAGACGGGAAAACCCACTTAGCATCCAAAGTGAGTATATGATGCCTTCCCGAACCACGGCCTGAAGTAGCTTCGGGCGTTCCAGAGGGGTGGTTTTCAAGATATGAGCGAATGATATTGACAGCAAGCCTAGGTATAAATGTGAATACCCTTCCTCAAAATTGAAGGTGAATAAAATGTACTGGCTTCGCAGGCCATGAGGAGTATGAATATCCCAGATATGACATGCGGCACGCCAGTCTTAAAGCACCCAGTGATTTCTGGTATGGGAGACGGCGCAACTACGCAATTTCATTAGTATGTAATGCAGCGATAATACCGATACATACAAGGTGTGGACGGTAGGAAAAGAACAAGAATGACTATGACTATAGCAAGCCCAACCTGAATTCAGGATTAAACATCACACTGTAGGCGAAGTGAAGCAAACGACTGACGGGGCAAAGGAGACAATAACAGATAGACCACTTATGGCGCTGCCAGACCGCATAGTTTCGGAGCATAAACAGAACTGTAATATGTGTTACAGTATGTCGTAGAGTAATCATACAGTGTATCGCTCACCTTGCGAGACGGGGACTTGAAAGGCCTGAACAGCTTTATGGTTTTTAGACGCATGAAACGTGGACGGAAAATGTTACTAGTACCTGTCGACGCAAATAGAAGCGATCTACAAGTCTTTATTGTTGTCAATTGAAATCCATGTGTATCTAGGAAGACTAACGTTTATGTCAAAGGCGCTTGGGAGCTGACCTACATACGTGGCTATAAGTTATCCATGGTACAGAAGGGGAAAGCGTACGCACCGAGGAGCGTCAAAGGCATTCCAAAAAAAGGCGAGTATCGGGTGAAAATGTATATGATTTTCCCCAGAGCATATCCATCGTAGGTTCTTGACCAGACAAACACCATCTACATACGAAAGAACCATAAAGTATGAATTTCAAGCCAGTGCTATTATTTCAAGAATATGGCGTGCCTCATCCCCAATACACAACAAATAATCATAAAGCTGCATGAGCGTTAGCTGAAACCTTCGAATAAGCATGCTTAAGGGTTTACAAATAGAGCAGATATTGACGCTGATTATGTGTAGTTCAGCATTGATATTCTCATATAGAAGTATGAGAAAACAGGATCTCTCACCGGCAAGATACCGAAAAGTGGAACATTTCAGCTCCAGTTCTAAGTAACCCGAGTATCCAAACCTACGTTTGAAGTTTGCAGACCATATGCAATCTCCATGATTTCGGCCATCTTGTGAGTATGAGCTTACCTACGGATAATATGGTCAATTCAGGTTCAGTAAGGCGAGCCTCATGTTGGCTTTTAATGGCATGTCGCCTCGAGCAAATGGCCGTGCACTGCACTGGGATTATGTCTTGGTTTGACAAAACCGCCGTTTGCGTTACCTTGTTCCATAATCTATCCATCAAGCCAGCATCGCACATACACCGGTTCCTCGGTGGTTTGATTGATGCGGATGTATTTTTAGTTGTGAAACACAGAGGCGCCGTCCCGTGGGGGAGCGTACCTAAAGCAATGGTTTACGGAAGCCGGTTAAGCCGGAAATGCTGGGTTATTGAGAATATGCTCGCACTGGAAGGTAGGATATCCTGTACGGCTCACTCACTAGAATACCCCCGGTAGTCCTATTTGAATAGAAGCGCTGCAGAGACCTCTAGTGTACAGTTTCAGGTTAGAGAGTCAAGAGTACGGCACATATCCATGCCCAGCCAAGCGTAATCGCAATAAACCCGACCCAGTGGGTCATACACAGCTACGATTTACAAGCGATGCTCGTGGGCGTCCTGGTCATCTATGTCGTGACATAGGTGGCCTCTGTTGAAAATCGAGGACGAGACTGCTTGGAATCAATACAAGTCTGCGACTCATGGAGAATTTCAAAGTTATGGGACTCCCGACGAACTTATGCAACAATGAGTACTCAATTTAGCTTCTAAGATTATAAATTGTTATGCTACATTCTACAGTGGATGATGATGTCAATAAATAAGTATATGTAGATGCAAGGCGTACGAACGGATCCAGTAGCATCTGGTACGTTTTAGTTCAAGCATTCCGAACCCTCATAGACAGCACAGTACTAGTTTTAGAGCTTAGCACGCACGGGGAGCTCGACGGGCTCGCTCTCCGCGCGCTTCCTGAGCTGCTGACGGAGAATCTTGCCCGCGGCACTCTTGGGAATAGCGTCAATGAAGATGACACCTCCACGGAGCTTCTTGTGGTTTGCAACGCGCGAAGCGACGAACTCCTGCACCGCCGCTGACGTAAGTTCGGGTGAGGTCTTGACCACATATGCTCTGTTGATATGATCAACACTGGCAGATCCAAACATCTATAAAAAGAAGCACACCTTGGTAGCTCCGTTGCCTGCTCTTTGCTCTCCACCCCAATGACAGCCGCGTCCGCGATCTGAGGGTGCTGCAGCAGCACATTCTCGAGGTCCGCGGGTGCGACCTGGAAGCCCTTGTACTTGATGAGCTCTTTGCGGCGGTCGACGATGTTGTAGAAGCCCTCCTTCGAGCGCACGGCGATGTCGCCCGTCTTGAACCACCCGTCGGGCGTCACGGACTTGGCGGTCGCGGTCGGGTTGTTAAGATAACCCTTCATGACGATAGGGCCGCGCACCCAGATTTCTCCGGCGCCTTCGATGCTGGTGAGTTTCTGTGTTGGGATATGATGAACTTGAAGTCGAGTGTGACAAAATAATAAGGTCCTACCTCGCCGTCTTCCTCGCTGACGAGACGCGCTTCGAGGTTGGGGAGAAGATAGCCGACGCTACCGACGCGTTCAACTGCATGCTCCTGTGGGAGAAGAAATACTGAAGGAGAAGTTTCCGTCAGGCCATACTCTGCTCAGACGATCAGTACTGTCAAATTTACGCAAGGAAAAACTGGACGAACGTTGAGTGATGCAGACATCAGCACCGCGTTTGCCAAGGCGTTCCTTCACAGATGATACGAGCTCTCCACCGAGGGGTGCAGCACCAGAAATGAGGGTCTCGAGGGAGGACATGTCGTATTTGTCCACAGCTATGTCATAACGTAAAGGTTAACAACGAAATTTATGGCTTCACGGCGGGAAGGACATACCGGGATGCTTGGCAAACACGACGAGGATGGGAGGGACGATAATGCCGATAGTGGCCTTGTACAGTTGCACAGCCGCACAGAATTTCTCCGGCTCGAACCTGCCGTGCAAGATGATACTTGGCGCACCCATAGTGAGCGGGAAATGGAGCAGCCAAATAGCGCCGTAGATGTGGTACGACGGGAGCACGCCAAAGTACGCGTCGCGGTACGGTGCCACGGCCTTGCCCTGCTTGTTGAGCGCGGGGCCGACCTTGGCCGGGGGCAGCGTCGGCTTGAGGATCTCGAGCTCGGAGATGATGTTGTGGTGCGTCGACTCGACGCCCTTGGGCTTGCCCGTCGTGCCGGACGAGTAGCACAAGTACACGGTGCTGTCAGACAGCAGGCCCGGCATCTGGATCTCCTGCGCGAGCTCGCCCCGACCCACGAGCTCGCTGAGCCGCGTGAGGCCCTTCAGCGCCGCGGCATCACCCGCGTCGAGCTCGGCGGGCGCGCCGGTGAGCCACGTGCTGTCGGCGACGATGATCCGGCGCGCGATTTCGTCTTCGGGAATGCTGAGGGAACGCATCATTTCGCGCACGGTGGGCACAAGGGGTGGGTGGGCGAGCACGAGGTGTGCATGCGAGTCTTCGTATTGATATGCGAGCTCGGCGGCGGTGTAGGCGCTGTTGGCGAGAGTGGCAGCATGGCCTGCTGCAGCGGCACCAAGGAGCATGACTGGCCATGCGAGGGTGTTGGGCGAAAAGATGAGAAGTGTGGGTGGAGTGGAGACAGGACGGCTGTACGGGTGGGCGAGGGATTGTGGTGGGTTCACCAGGGAATACGCGAACTGGAGGCAGAGCGAGCGTAGTTGGGCACGGGAAAGCGTCGCTCCTGAGGCAGCATCGATGAACGCGGGGTAGCTCGCGGGGAAGCCACCTACGACGCCTGGTTGAGATGGGTTGATACCGAGGAGGTGCGTGAAGATGGATTGTCGGGGAATAGGCACCGACTTGAATGGCGACGTGTAGATGACTTCGGACGGGGTGGGCGCTTTAGCGGACATTCTGACTATAGAAGAGAGCGAAGGTATGTTGGAGTGAAACCTAGATGTGGGCGAAATATGGGGAGAGGGTGTCCATGACTGATGCCTGTATTTGAAGGCGAGTCGGGACAACGGCTGGATTGCCCTGACGGCTAAGCTTGATGTCAAAGACTTGACGAGCATGGGCAGTGTTACGCTGCATCTTGCTGAGCAATGTGGCCGTCATAAGGCGACGTCGGCCCCGCAGAAGACCCACCGCGGGAGACAAGCGGCGGGGCGCATACCCCTCGACTGAGCGGACCTATGCGGACATCGTGCAACACGCGCGGCCGCAGGGATGAACAGCCTCGGAATCGACCCTCGGTGCCTGAACCATCGCTTCGGGCCTGTACTGAAAATAGGACGCTGTAGCATTGAATCGTTTTGAGCGTGAGCTGACTCGGGCCCAGCTGAGCAAGCTCTGACGCAAAACCGACGCTGTATGAATAGTTAATGACATGTCAAGCTTCAAGCCCGGACATAGATATTATTACGTGAGGGGCTAACGATACATATGCGCGATAGTCTATGATCTTGAGTCCATCCTGTGGCAGTTGTGTAAAGAGGTTAGGATCGAACAGTGATGGGGATGAGCTGAATTGGTGACCAATATGCAAAGTCGGACATAGTGAGCGCTGTTCACTTCCAAGACCGCCACAGATGGTGTGCCCGAAATGAATATATAGCGAACGTGAGCGGGGTTCAATGGCAGTAAATGTGCTCGGCACGACGACCTTTGGCTGATGGGGGCATCTCAAAGGAAGTGACACAGCCTTTCGTTTATGACGCGGCGAACCTCGAGTTCTGGCGCAGGCGTGTGCCAATCCTGAAGAACACAAACCTATTCGTGGTCGAAGCCAGTCAGCCTTACACCCAATACCAGACATTAGACCAATGTACTCACGGAAGCGGCGCCATAATCGTAGTCAACCCCGCCAACAGCGCTGTCGCGCCCACCGTGCCCAGCTTGTTATACATCGCACCAGCAAATAGCGGGAAAGCCGCCGCGAACGCAGACCGGAGGGCGCTGTTACTCGCGAGAGCGGAGGCCGCGAGCGGACGATATGCGGTGACGAGGTATGTGAAAACGGAGGTGAAGACAAACAGGGACCCCGTGCCAAGCAGGATGGAGGCGATGATAGGTACGATCCAGTGGACGGAGCGGTAGGTAGTGAAGGCGAGCCAGAAGAGACCTGTGGGTTCAAATTAAATATAAGTGTTTTGGTCGAAAGGGGGAAAGACGTCATACTGATAGGACACAAGACAGCGCCAGCCATACCGATAATCAACCTCACCTCGGGCGGAGGGTTTCCGCCATATTTGGCTGCTGTCTTGGGCGCAGATACCTTGTTGTATACGAGCTGTGCTAGGAATGCAAGGATCATGCCAAGGCCGATACCGGCGAAGCTCAGGCCAGTTGACTGCATGTTGAACCCGTGGTTCTTCTCGAAGATAAACGGGAAGGCCTGCAGGGTTAAATAGAGAATTCCGAGAAGAAGCGCGGTCCTATGGCAAAGAGAATCAGCATACTAAGTCAAGCCTTAGTAAAGGAAGACTGACCAAATGTTGAGTAGAAGGGCCATCCGTTCGTAAATCATCAGCTCTGTACGTAGGAGTTAGCTTTCGTACACACGACAGACGGAAATCAAAGCATACCAAATGGCTTGTAACAGCTCACAAAAATCGCTCCAACTAAGCTTCCGTCCCGTCTATCCAGAGGTGCGTAAAACCTCCCGTCGCCAGTCTCCTTCCGCATCCTGGCCGCCTTACCCTTAAGCAAGACAGGCACATATGTCTCGCGAACGAACTGCAAAACAATAGAGTCAGCAGTTACCTCGCATATCGCGGGTATTAGACACGCACCACAAACAACATCACGAGCTCGATAAAGATCCAGATGATCTGGATACGGTACGTCCATCGCCAGTCCAGGTGCTGGTTGATGAGGCTGTCAGGAACGCGTTCAGATATATTCTATTCTACACGCAATTACTGAGTCTCACCCGGAGTACATTGGCCCAACCACTGGCCCGATGAACGGCGACATCGTGTAGAATGCCATCGGGCTAAATTACACTCGCGGATCAGTACCTTTGAAATCTAAGACCAGCAAAGAGAGGAAGCTTACTTTGCAACGTTATAGTTTGAGAACATGTCGCTGACACTTCCGCCGGCGACGCTCAGGAACGCTGAGCTCGCGAAACCTGTTAAGACTCTGAAGACAAGGAACGTTGCTATGTTTCTCATATTAGTGTCTTCGTCGTATTCCCTCTGGAAGCGAATTAACTTTACCTATGTTTGGCGCAAATGCGACGGGGAAGGTAAATGCGAAGAAGAAGATGTAGGACAGGCGGTATACAATGTTACGACCTATCGACATTGAGGTTCAGCACTCCAGTCCCGATTTCGTTGATGCAGGGTTCACCGCACTCACCATATACTTCGGACAGAGGGCCGACGAGAAGAGGACCAGTCCCAAGGCCGACCATGTACATGCTGATGCCGAGAATAGTAACCTCCTTCGAAACACGGAATGCGTCCACTTCGCCAGCCTCAGTAAATGAAGCCTAGAGCCGAGCGACATGATGAGTTTCGGTCAGTCAGAAAGTACCGTGAATACGCTGCTCTGGTTACGCACAATAGACGATGCACAAGTCGCACACAGCGAAGCCGAGCTAATCACAACAACCATGACCCACTTCCTAAAGTTCGACATGTTCTGCGGATTCTCATCCGGTGCGAGAGTGACCAAGTGAGAAGTCTCCGCGCCCCCCTTTTCATTACTGTTGATCTCATCGGGTGGATACATATGGGGCAGCTCCGGTACCGGGGGTATCGTGCTCGTCGAACTCTTGACGGTCACCAGAGTGGAATATGAGGCGACGTTGGCCACCGTCCTGGTTATGTCAGGTGCTGTGGTAGCCTCGGACATGGCGGTGGCGATGTTGGACGGAGAGGAATAAGGCAAGTGTTACAAGTGGTGGGCAGGTGAATGAACGAGATACCAGCACGTCGATGAACCAAAGACAGGCGCACAAGCACGCCAGAAAACAATAGCATTATAGAAGAAAGCGAAGACCGGGGGGCTGGCGAGGATTGGGCGAGGAACGGAAAGGAAGGGCCGAAGGAAGCGGTTGGAGGAATCCATGCGGCCGTCCCTATTCGCGATCGGTCAGCGATTGAATGGGGGGCGGAGATATTCTGGCGATTGGCTGGTTATGTACTGGGCTGTTTCCTGCTGTTTCGTACCGCTCCGAGGCCGAGGATGTCAAAACCGACGTCGAAGAGGAACATTTTAGAGCCGCCGGCAACAACGCGGCTGACATGTTGCGCCAACAAGAGCGCAAGTGACGATGACGACAGCCACCTCTGTCAGCTTCCATCCTCAGACAACGCATTCACGCGTCGATACCGCAAACCAGAAGACGATAGCTTACTAGGCGCGATGGTTAACAGCCGTTTGAAGATCTCCCTGTCACATCGATACATTTCGCGCGTGTACACTGCACCATGCAGTCTGCACGGCATTCAGCTGACACTCCTCCATTTTTACGTGTGAAACAGAAGGTGCTGCCTACTGTTCCGTCCGAAGACCACGACCATTCAAGACTGAAACCGGATAGTGACAATGTGTGCATGAAGGAGCATGTGGGGTAGGAGACGTTGAGATGCGTCCGGCGACCGTTGCCAGAGGCGCGTTCGCGTCGCCCAGTCACAGTCCTCCCCGCCAAGTTGACTAAGCGTGCACTGCCACACACGCGCGTTCCAGGACGGGCGTGGCCGTCGCGCGTCGCGGCTGTCAACCACAACGTCGCCAGCACTTAATACAACGCGCTCACCGCAATAGCGTAGGAGTCGATAGCAGCACATTGTGCTGCTCGTGAGTTGCATAATCTTATCCTTTCTTCCTCACGCTCAACGTGTCATCATGAGACCGTTAGATCTCAGCGCTCAGCAATCGCTGCACTGGTAGCCTGCTGAAAGACGTTTTCATCTGCCCAAATCGCTTCTCGTCGGGGCAAATGATTCGATGACCTCTTTAGCGCCGTCCTCCCTTTGGCTGAAGTCTGAGTCCTGTCCCAGTGACATTCAAGCGCGAAGCCCATTTCAACCGCTCCCGCATCATGCCAAGCAATATGCAAAGTTGTATATGGAGGGCGTCGGCAACTTTGACACGGTCAGATGCACGTTCACGCTCGCCTCTCCCTCTCCATCCCGCTGCCTACTTCCGAGTCTACCTCAGCCCGTTCGGCTATCCGCTGACGCTGAGGCACATGAAGTAGGTGTCGAAGGACCGGCGTTTTTGCCGTGGTGGCAAGGTGATGCCGAGGACGTACGCATGGCCGACCGGCGGTGAGATATGTGCCGTGGTGGGAGGTGAGGAGACATGCAGCGAGGGTAATGAAGTACCAGCTCAGCGAGAGGGCAAGGGATCATGAGTTCGAGGGCAGTGCCTCTTCGCGCCTCTGATCGAGGATCGAGAACGACAGTGGGATCTATTGTAGGATGCATGGAGGGCTTTGTACCGCGAGGGAAAATAGTATCATGGTGCGTCAACTCATCTTCTTCCTAGGCTCGTCGAAGGTGTTGACCCGTCGATGATATCGTTCTCAGATAGAACTCATCAATGCCTAATTGTTTGTCGATGGAGTCGTTCACGTCTCGATATCTCTGTTTCTAGCTCGAGATGTATGTTTCTCCTAGAGCATCATGCTCAGCGTCCGAGTGTTCGACCGGCATCTCATTATAAACCCGAGGAGCACGCAGCGGTAACAGCTTATAGTGTCGCGTGCATCGCATAGGCTTTGCTTATCGCGTTGTTTGTCACTCTGGCTATCTCCCCTTGCGGATCAAGCCTAAAGGTTTTGATTGAGGCGGCCCGCTTGGCCGCCGTATCTTAGCGCTCACACCTGCAGCTTGCTCATATATATAGGTAGGACAAGGTCCTGGCTCCCTCTCCGGTTCCTAGGTGAACTGACGACCATTGCTCTTCATAATCGGTATCATGTCGCGGCTGGACATCTCCTCCATCCATCCAGCCACGAACGAGAAAGCACAGGACGGCGCATCTACCTCCGCAGCTCCTTCGCCGGACGGCGCGGATGCTCGTTCCCCGGGTCCTAAGAACGTCCGCCCGCCAATTGACTACACCTCGCCCAGAACATTTGCACGCTCCGCGTATGCACGCTTTGCGAGCATCTGGACGCGCCAGTTTGTGCTATCTCTGCTCGCGGGGCAGCTCGTGTCGTTCTGCATTACGGTGGCGAACGTGACAACGACGGAGCTTGTCAATAGGGGCTGGGCGCTGTCAACGACGCAGACATTATTCATGTGAGCAGCATCGCTGTCTGTAACATATATCTAGTTGTATCTGATGGATGTCGTTTAGGTATTTCTCGCTGTTCGTGACGTATACTCCTTATACAATCTACCAATGTGCGTCGACCTAGTCCTCGGGACTGTCGGCTTATTGACGGGCCATCTACACGGTAGATGGTTTCAGGGGATGGACGAGGATGATATGGAAGGATGGCTGGAAATGTATGTCATTCTTTATTTGAGATATTCTTAAACATGCTCATTGATCACACTCGTCCTACATGTAGACTTTTTTCTCGCAGCATGCGACGTCGAGGGCAACTTCCTTGGAGTCAAGGTATGTACTTCCTGCGGGACTTTCGGCGGAACATTATCTGAACGCTTCCCTTAGGCATACGACTACACGAACCTACTCTCCTGTGAGCTGCTCGATGCGTAAGATTCTACACTATGCGTCTATCGCGTTTTGTTTACTCACGTGGAAACTTGGGAACTTTTGTAGCTGGGCGATTCCGGTCTGCCTGTTTTTCTGCTGGGTATACATGCGTACCAAGTTTCATTGGACTCATCTTCTGGTACGGGTTTCGCTCCTTAATGCCTTGCGATCACCTGATGTTGGCCTCAAGGGAGTGTTAATATGTATAGGTGGCCTCGGGATGCTAGTTGCATCCGACCTGTTGACAGACAAGAACTATTCCGCCCCTAATAGGGGCGAGGGTGACGCTTTTATGATAGTTGCTGCCACGCTCTATGGATTTAGTGCGTTTCTTACCCTCGTCCGCCTTTGAAGCATGAGACTCCACTTACCATCCTTGTAACAGCAAATGCCACAGAGGAGTTCTTCGTTAGGCGAAGACCTCTTTACGAGGTAAAGACCTGATTCCCTCTTTTATAGCCTTACTTTGACTCGTGGTGCTTGGAATATGCGTCAATTATGCGCTTAGGTCGTTGGTCAGATTGGGATGTGGGGCATGCTGATCAACGGATGTCAAGCAGCAGGCCTGGAACACGCTCATATGAGAACCGCTACTTGGGATGGAGCTACGAGTAAGTGTCTCTTTCTCAACTGCCGGTGATCGACCACTTACAATGCTACTGCTTTAGTTGGTATTCTAGTGTCATATACTGTTGGTGCGTTCCCTCAGCTCTCGTAACAGAGAAATCAGCACGACGCTCAACATGACCTGATATAGCCATGTTCATCCTATACACTGTCGCCCCAATGGTTTATCGCATGGCGTCGTCCGCATTCTATAATATCAGCCTCCTCACGAGCGACTTTTACGGGCTGATATTCGGTAAAGTTACTCGCTATTATTCTACAACACCTGCTGATGGGACTCGCAATGTATGGTTTGGGCAGGTCTGATACTTTTTGTCAGTCCTATTCATGTACCTTTTATGTAGCATGATGTGCTAGACGCATGCACCCCATTACAGCGGTATCATCCGTTCTGGCTGTATTTTCCCGCTTTCTGTGTGGTGATCCTTGGCCTTGTCATCTACTTCTGGCACGCGACACGTAAGTTCGTTCTCTTTCAAGCGAGAATCATTGAGGTGACTAATGATGTATCTTTGGTTATACAGCGGAAGAACAAGGAAAGCTAGATCCGCAGCGACCGGAATACATCATGCAAGCCCGACGACATGAGCGAGATGATGCGTGAAAGCCCACCAAGACATGGAATTACATATAGTACGCCAGTTAGTCATGAACCTCCTGACAACTGTTGTCTATCTACGTCTCTCTTGGCAGCCCTATTCGGTGCCCTTGTTAGCCTTATTTTACGGTCCTCGAAGTCCTCTCGTTTGACCACCATGACTACCAAAACATGAACTAGATCGGGCTATCAGTAAGCAAGATACCGCATGTGAGTAAGCGTACCTCAGGTGAATAAGCATAAAGGCTCCGTGTGGGCGAGTTGTTACTGCGCGGGTCGCGTCTGAACTCACATCTCGACATCTCTGCGCCAGACTGGGCAAAGACTCGTCGCTTTGCGATGCAAATCCTAGCTCTCGCGTGCTGGAACACGTCATTAACGGCTGCATCCCTGCCATACTTTGATGATTTATAAATACAGCGCCGGCTCTCGAGGGCCATATGTTCTGCAGTTTACACCTCGCACAAAAACATGAAGCTACACAGCCCCCTTTCGCTTGCCTCTCTCATCTCAGTAGTTCTTGCTCACAGTCAAGACCCCCTTGTTGACCTCGGTTACTCCATCTATCAGGGCCTGACGAATGACACCACGGGCGTTGCTTCTTTCCTTGGAATCAGGTATGCGGCACCCCCCACCGGTACGTGTTTTCCCCTTTTTTGTCTCTACCATCAGCTTACTGCGACGACTAATAGGTGACCTTCGCTTTGCCGCGCCTCAGCCGCCGCCCAACATCACGGGCGTACAACCAGCTGTATATCAGCCAAATGCATGCCCACAGGCATCGTATGGGAGCGAGCCCACATCTCCGTACCTTAACATAACGGGGATGCAGAGGCGAGACTCTACTACACCCGGCTTTTCTGAAGACTGCCTGTTCCTAAAGTATGTCCATCCGCTCCTCCTACTGGATCATCAACTCTCTAACATGTCGTACTCGTTTAATCAGCGTCTTTACGCCCGTCGATGCTCATAAAAACGCGACTGCTGATCTGCCTGTACTAGTCTGGATCCATGGAGGGGGGTACGGTTGTTCATCTCTTCTTCAGTCCGAAGATCTATTCTGACTCACCATTAGATACATCTCCTGGGGCGCCTATATGCACCCTGGCGAAGATCTTGCGGCAGCAGCGGACAACGGTGCGGTCGTGGTGGTTCTTCAGTATCGTCTCGGTATCTTTGGCTTCTTGTCTGGGAACGAATTCGTTCAAGGTGGCGGAGCACTGAACGCTGGGCTGCGTAAGTTCTACTGCATGCATGAATATGATGTGTTCGCCCTTATAAATGACTGTTAGTCGACCAGAGGTTCGCTCTTCAGTGGGTTCAGGATCATGTAAGCAAATATTACACCGTGTGGAGAGATATATTTTACCGGCTAACTCATTTTAGATCGGCCAATTTGGAGGTGATTCCTCTAAGGTGACAATCTGGGGGCAGTCAGCAGGTATGCTTTAGCCGTCATGTGATGGTGTAACTTCGCTCACTCGCTTGTTTAGGCGGTGGATCCGTTTTTCAACACATTGTTGCCGATGGCGGAAACACTCAGCCACCCCTGTTTCACCGTGCCATGGTTAGCTCAAATTTCATGCCACCTCAGTATATGTACAACGACTCAATACCTGAGGTGTGTCACAATTTTCCTTTGTGTCGACAAAACAGTAATCTCAGTCGCTGATATCCTTGCATATGGGCATGACAGGCTATCTATCAGTCTGTCGTTCAAGCGGCGGACTGTGCCACTTCTACTGAGTCGTTGTCCTGCCTCCGTAATGCATCAGTGGATGTACTAGAGAATGTCAACAACCTGACCAATTTCAATGCGCTGTACGGTACATTCACCACTGTCCCGGTCATCGACGGAAAGTTATTCTCCGAGCCGGTAACGGAAACTCTAGTCAAGGGGAATGTCAACGGGGTTCGTTATTCGGTGATGTGCTCCCTTTTATGAGTGCTTTACTGACGCGTGTCGCTGCTCCAGGAGATGTTGTTATCTATAACAAATGCAGATGAGGGTGCCATATTCATCGACCCAAAAACCGCCAATACAACCAGCTATGTCCATAATCTCTTCCCATATCTACCCATAGATGAAGCTCGCAAAGTCGGAAGTGTATATGCGAATTTTACGACTCCAGGCGGATCAGGGGACGTTACACCTGCGGTTGCCCAGGCCAGTGGGATTCTGGGCGAGTGTGAGTGCCCTGTACGCTTCTGCTTGTGGCGATATTATACTGAAAACTTCTGAAAAGCTACTTTCACCTGTCCGACATATCTCCTTCTCGACGCGTTCAACAAGGCTGGGAAGCAAGCGTGGAAGGGTCTTTTTGCAGTCCCTCCCGCGCATCATGGCGATGATCTCGCGTACTACTTCCCATCCTCCCCATTGTGGGTTTGCTTGCCTGTCCGGTCTGGCCATGATGCTTACGCTCTGCATAGCTTCAATCCGGCGGTCAACGACACCGAGCTCGTTAGCTCGTTTGCCAAGACGTTCCTGAGCGTTGTCATTAATGCCGATCCGAATACCCACATTGACTCGAGCGATGCGACGCCCCGATGGAGCACATGGGCTCAAGGGAACACGGAGATGATATTCAATGTCACAAACGCGAACGAGACGGACATCAAGGTCAGCATAACAGATCCGGATATGCTGTCACGCTGCCGGTAAGTGGTTCCTCGATCAATGTTCCATGCTCTGAGAGTTCAGCTCACATTGCTCGGTAGCATATGGCAAGGACTTGCTCAATACACTGGCCATTAAATGGGAACGAGATTTTGTAGTGGTAGACATGTATGGTAAAATCATATTCCAACAATCACTGAACTCACTCCTTCGCACTAAAAAATCTCTAAATACCGTTGGGACGGTCAGTCCTGGAGAAGAAGACGACGAGTGACCTCGTATAGCAGGGATGAGTGACTATGAGCGCAAACACACTAAATACTGACTACACTGGCCATGCCGGCCCTAAACTACTGCATCATGCCTTCCTCGGGGCTCGGTCCGACCTCCCTAGTCCACCGTGGATGTGAGTAAGAAAGTCCCCTCCGTCACTCAGACCGTGCGATGATTGAGCATCCCAAAGCAGGCAGGCCGGAGCTAATGACATGCTTCTTACCATGTTCTATGAATCTATGACAGGAACGGCCATGTTCAGTGTTATGTTCTCAGATCAAGTCGCGGGACTGTTGATCGCTGAATGACCTCAGCCATTAATTTATGATATATAACTATAAGTCGTTTCAGAGATGATCGATGAGCGTTTGTTCTTGGACATATCTATTTTGCTTGATCTGCTTCCGTCTCCGTATGCTTGAAAAACAGCGTTCTTGAAGGGGCTTCCGAGACGTGCTAGATCTCTGTACCTGAAATATCGTTGAACAGCGCATGGACCTCGCAGCTCGGCTCGAGGTCCCTGAGCATTAAAATAAAGAGAGAACTCATGCAGGCATGACTTGGCAAGACGGCTGAGCTAGGCTGAGCTTGACCGAGGGAATCCGACGGAACCGGATATGGGCGCCGTTTTCGTTTAGCTTGGAAACCGAGACTCGCCCCCGACGTCGACATCAGGAGAATTATCGAAGCGGATCTTCGTCGGCGCTCGACACCGCGCGCGCCAAGTCAACGCAAGAATCGCTTGCGGTCGCTTCGATTTCGATGAAGGACGGCGGAACCATTGTGTTCCCATGGGCGCAGCGATTATTCGTTCTCTATGTGGACCTGTTGAGCAATGTACATAGTGATGAGACTCGCTTAGCCTTGAGTGAGGTGGCTTTGGATGTAAATAAATAGCATGTTTTTTGTACATTCTATATGAGTTTTGAAAAGATACAGTCTATGTCCCTACGTTCTATCCCTATGCGTAGTGGGAGAAATCGAGAAAATAATTGGTAATGCGGCTATGCTGGGTAAATTATAATATTCTAGTTAGAAAAGTCCCGATCTATAGAGCTTTGAAACAGAGCCAGAAGATAGCAAGATAGAAAAAATCAGCGCGGGTCCGAGTCGTGTCTAGGCGTCGCGAACTGTAGGAGTGACAGGTGACCGGTACGAGGGGGGATGAGCGAAGCGGATTGTCGTGTCCAGCGATATCCGCTTGCTGGGACGACGGGAAGACTCCTCTTGCCGCGAGAAGAACGCGTTCCAGCACTTGTCGAGTTCAGAGGGGGTGAAGTCCACGTAGCGCTTGATGAACTCGTCCCTGCTGACAGGCTTGTACGCCGGTATCCGCTCGAGGCGCTTCCGGTAGAAGGTGTCGACACCAGGGAACTGCTCAGTGAGCTCGTAGAGACACTGCTCGCGAGAGGTGCGGTCGAAGGCGTTGCTAGCGTAGGTGTGGTAGGCTGTCGCATCCTCGGCGGCGACGCGCTCGCAGACGGCGAGGAAAGACTGTTTCTCGGCGAGCTCTGTCCAGGCGTGCTCAAAGGAGGCGGTCTCAGCCTCGAACGCGTCGGTCGCCGGCAGCGACTGGCGGTAGTCGTCCATGAGGACCTCGACCGGAGACTCGCAGCCGCTGGCCTTCATCGCGCTGAGAAGAACGAGCATGCGGGAGGCGTTAGCCGCCCAGTGGGCACCGGAGGCGTGTGTATTGGTATCCGTCCACTGCATGCCGACCGTCGAGAGCGAGCCGTCAGCGAGGACCATGGGAACACCATGGCCGCCCGATCCGAGGTCCGTCGCGTGGATGAACGTTCCGCTGGCGGTCTGAAGGAAACGACCCTTGGCATACTCGGGCAGTCCGGGGACGATCTCCTTAACCTTGCCCTTGAGTGCCTGGAGGAGGACGTCGGCGGTAGTCGTGAGGGTCTTTGGCGCAAACATCGCGTCGAAGCGGTGATCGCCAAGCGCGACCTCGTCGGTGTCCTCGACGTAGGTGATCTCCTCAAACGAGCCCTTAGCATGGTTCGCGACGCCGAGAGCGAAGAGCTGTGCAATCATGTCGTGCACAGCGATCGGCGAGGCGGCGACGGTCGAATTTAGCTTGATCCACTGGTGGAAGAACGCGCTGTTCGAGTTGACCATGGCGAAGTCGGGACGGGTGATATCCGACGCAGCGGAGCGACGCATGAGCCAACCGGCGCGTGCTTCGCGAGTGAAGGGAGCCTTGGCGACGAGATCCTTGTTGGCGGTCTCGGGGCTGTTCTCGAAGCCGAAGCCGTCAAGGAGCGCCTGGTAGCCAGCGCGGAGGAGAGCGATCTCGGTCATCTCGCCCGCCTGGTGCTGGAGCGTCTGCTGATGATAGTCGTCCATGCGCTCCACCGTCGACATGTTACGGTCGACCTGCGAGGGGGTGGTGCCGATCTCGTACGAGACGTTCTGGTAGAGGAGGGGCCTGACGAAGGAGAGCCAGTCGAAGTCCTTTTGCAGGAACATCGCATGCGCCTGGTCCATGTCGATGAAGGAGGTCTTGCCGGGCCATGCGCGAGAGTGGTGGTGGCGAGGGGGTGCAACCTCACCCTCTGAGCGGCTGATGAAGGTGAATAAGCCCTGGTACCGCTTGGCCACCTCCTCGTCGATCTCGTAGCCGTGGTCGTTTGTGAGGATAATCTTCGTATACTGGAGGATGATGGCGATGGGGTCGTAGGCAGACAATGAAATGCCAGTGATGCCCAGCCTGGCATCGGGCTTGAGGAGACCCTGTTCGTCGAGAAGCCCTTGCTGCGAAAGGAATTCGCCGACGGACTCAAGGCTAGGCGTCTCAGAGAAGGACTTCGGAGCGACCGAGTCCGAGACAGGAACCTTCCAGGTGGTGCCGTTGGCGAGGTGCACAAAGTCAAACGCGTGGGTCTTGGTCTCGCCGTCACCGTTGCTGCGGACAATAAGCTTGGGCTCGGTGGGGCGGGTAAAGTCGGCGTCGAGGACGGTGTGGTCATAATGGAAATGGATCGAGATCTCGGGGACCTCCTGCGCCACGAACTCGAGGACCTCGTTGATAGAAGCGCGCTGGATCTTGCCGACGGTGCCCCGGGTGGTGCAGGCGGTGCTGACGTTGACGGACCCATCCTTGCCGCGTGATTGGTTGAAGAGTGCATACCCGGCAGGATTGCGCTTGCGGAGCTCCTCCCGGTGCTCGTCCGCAGTGGACTTCAACTCCTCAGCGGCAAGACCGGCCAAGTCGGTGGCAACCTTGACGATGTGTTGGTATTTGGCCGGGATCTTATGCGAGTTGGCGAAGGGGACAGGGCCGGTGATGGGTGTGTTCATCGTCGCATCGCAATCGACCTGGAAGGCGTTGCCCGATCCTGCGTTGGCCTCAGGCTGTTTCTCGAAGACGTGGAACTCCATGCGGAAGCCCAGCTTCCCGAGCTGCTCGCGCTCAGCCAGAACGGTCAGAACCGCGCCCTTGAAGAGCATCGCGTTCCTGGGACCGAAGCCAGAGAGACCGTGCCGTACCACACAAGGTGCAGGTTTTGATACCGCAGCTCCACTAGAAGGTGCTGCACGGTACTGCAAGTCGGTGCGGTAGGAGAGCGTGGTTGGCAGTATTGAAGGGTACTGGGAGCGCGCTGGAATGTTGAAGGTGGCAAGAGGCGAGATGGGGAGAGGCGTAGAGGAAGAAAGTTGTGCATCTGAGTACAGCGCTTAGATGGTGATGTACAGAGCAATTGTAGACTAAACCGGAGCTTACCACTATTCCAACGTGAAGCATGAAAGGGCGCTTGTACGCCGAGGGTCTGACGAGGCAGGGGTTCAGGGAAAGTGGTCGAGGACATGTTGCGCGAGAAGTGAGAAGGGTGGAAAACTAGAAGGCTGATAGTCAACGTTGTATCCATCTATTAGTATATAAATGTTGTCAAGTTTTAGCCGCCAGCTCACCTTCTCTTTTGTGTTTGTCAGTGACAGAAGGTGGATGATATTAAGCCTTCGAACTGGAGTCGATATGCTTAAATATACCTTGTAGCACGCTAGGCCTAGCGAACACCGTCTCATCTACCGCGTCATTGGCCTTTGTTCAGCAGTCCTAGCGGTGGATACCCTGCGGGCGCTGCGTTCCTTGACCGCGCCTCTAATGCCTGAATCAAATTCGAGTGAGTAACTCGTCAGCTTACAGCGCCCCTGAGCTCTGTCAAGTCACAGCGAAGTTCACCATTCAGTGACTGTTGCAGTGCCTCGATACCCACTTGACTACCCACGTCGGACTACAAACGTCCACTCGCACCTGAGAAGACTACTCGATCTATCCTGGCATCACGGGCCTTGTAATGCAGGTGACACCGCCACGCACGTTGGTATGAAATCAATGCGTCGGGAAAATGAGAACGCCTTGCCCAGCAATGACCTGCGGCCGGCGTCAATGAAGAGGCTTGTCAAAGCTTTCAAAGGTTTCATAATGTTGATCATTATACTGCAAAGGATCGGTCAGCAAATCAAGCAATCTGAGTAACGGATTGGCTCCAATACAAAAAACGGCCTCGTTACCCGACGGCGAGCGTCGTTACGCGGTGTAGGCTGAATTTGTACAGTATACCTGTGTCAATATCAAGAGACGGATTATTAGCAGTGTGGCTGTCAAACGACTGCTAAGCGGTGACATAGTCATCCTCGACGCACGCGAGAATATGATACAACGAAAGCTCGGTAGCTCATTATTGCCTGTCAGATTTGAATATCTGCGCCGAAGGACCGGGAAGTGTCAAGAACTTCAATTGTAGCGCGATCCACTCTCTCTGCTGCGCAATACCACCTGATAGGACCGCATACCCGCATCGAATGCGTAGCGGGCAGTCCGATCGCCATGGAAGAGATCGTTTCAGTTGCTCTGTTGCCGAAATGTGAACCTACGACAGTATTCAGCAAGACACCAGTACAAAAGAGTGTCAAGATGCTAAAAGGGGTTCAGTCTCGAGCTCATGAAAGCCAGTAGTCTCCGCGCCTCGAGCATATTGTCAGACCCGACGCGACGTCACGGCCTGCCATGACACCTCGGAGACGCGACAGCCTCGGTACAGCCGCATATACCCGTAAAATTTACTTACGCTTCCTTATAAGCGCCCACACGTCCATGTTGGCGAATGACACTTGACATCTCCTGAGAATGAACTTGCGGTCTACTACGGGCAGGAACAGTGGATTTGAGGTTGACTAGACATTCCGTGGGGAGCGTTCCTTAATCATGGACTCAAGATTGTGCCGAAATAGCGATGACTAGCAGCATGACTAGAAGATGAATCGGATCGCAAGGGTGGGGGCCATGTTCCCGAGAAGGTCGTGACTCACAGTGCGATCCTGAATCGGTGAACCCCTCCGAGATCGATGTCTTGGTGTTATGCTGCTGACGTTAAAGGAAGGCTACTATCAGTTGCGAAGTGAGTGGGTATGCATGAATCGGGTGATTGAGTGCGGATATTGATTAGTGTAAAGGCGAGACAAGAGGGGAAGGGAGGCGCATACACCAAGCACTTGGCCGTTTGTTTGACGTCGTTAAAAGCTGAAGCCATTAGCAAACAAGTAATAATAACCTTATCGCTAGCCGCATGCACTACCTCTTATCTCTGAGCGCGGTATGATAAGGAACAGCAGAAGTTTTTCATTGTCATCTTCTCAATGATAGAGCGATACCATATGGTTGTTGAACTCGGAAATGCGAGGACCTCGTACAAGTATCCCTCTCCGGAGTAACTTTAGCTTTCGAGAAGAGATCTTCGATTAGGATGCAGCGGGAATGTCGATGGGTTTCCGTTGAGACGAGCAAATATACCAGCTGGAGGGCTGGTTAATATTCAACTACTTGGGGTTTATGGGTTCAGTGATCCGGTGACATACTTTTCAGATTGACGAAGCCTACAAGATTCTCCGGTGCATTCGGTCAAAGAGCGAATGCCGATGAAGAAATCGAGGCTGACGAGCTGCCGCCCATGAGGGTCATAACTTGGTCACAGGCGTCTACAAAGACCCGAAGAGAAACATATAGAGTTCAACGTCGCAAACGGTGAGGATAAGACAGACCAGATACTTATGTTCCTTACCAATCCTCTCCTCATTCAATCACACCCGCCTCTCGTAGCCCCCAGTCTACCCGCATGCTCTTGCTAACAGTCTCGTCATGATAGTACTCCGAAGACGTATCCCAGGGTCGTTTGCTAGGTGCCGCTGTGGTACGTGGGTGATGTTGAATCTAGAGTGATGTCGAGTAGTGGGATCATCGTATTAGTTTGAGCAGAATGAATTGATGTGTCCAAAGGCTGCAATCTCGCTTGAGTTCTGCAGAGGATAGCGACAGTACATGATGAACAAGCTGAGTCGAGGCGACGACGTCGCACGACGGTGGCTCTGCCGGACCGTGCCTCCGTTCCGAATCCGATTGTCTCGGAGCGTCCCCGTCAAGACTCAACATCCGCGTCGCTCTCGAGCTTGATTTCTTCCCCGCCTCAGAGTCCAAGCACATCCTTTGATACTCACATGCGAGCAAAACAGGCATCTGCTGTGACTTGTCCTCGTCCTTAACGTGCCCCAAATCAATACATGCGCTCAGGCAGACAAGGATCCGCTAATGTGAGAGGCCGTGTAGATGGAGCTCGTCACCGGAAGCTACTTAGGCACGGAAGGCGAGAACGCAAGGCTAGGTGCGTCACTTGCCAGAGTCAGTGCCATTCTTGGTCTACTCATGTGGTCTACCATTCTCATTGCAGAACACCGAGTCCCGAGGAGCCGCTCCTCGCTCTCCCATGAACGTTGAACTCCCATCATCTGGTGCTCATTGCCCTCCTCGCAGACCTCATGACTAGGTCAGGAGCATTTATCGTACGAGTCGCCCTCCATGGATATCGGGATAATCCAAGAACTACCGTTCAAACGGTCCGGCGGTGTCCGCGCGTGCTCTTAAGTGACCTCTGCACGTATAACTTTCATACGTTCCCGCCGCACGATTCAAGGTCAACGTCTAGCACAAGTCATGCTACTACGCTGTGTTCTTGCGCTCTTATCTCTCGCTGTAGTAGCACTCGGACAAAGTCAGAGTCCTGCTATCGACCTTGGCTACGCAACCTATGAAGGAACGACGAATACTACTACCGGAGTCACGTCCTTCTACGGCATACGGTATGCTGCACCTCCTACTGGTGAGCCGCCCTTCTACTTTCATTACCATAAGATACCTGACATTGTTCGCTCGCTGCCTTCCCAGGTGAATTCCGCTTCGGCGCACCCCAGCCTCCCGCCCACGTTAGCGGCATCCAGCAGGCGACTAACGAGCCCAACTCATGCTACCAAGCAACCAACGGACACATGCCTTCGTCTCCATATGCGAGGTCCCAGGGATCTACATCGGCATTGGGAAAGCGTGCTGAGCCAGTGTACTCGGAGGATTGTCTCTTCCTGAAGTACGTTACCTTTACTCGTGCTATACCTTCGTCGGTCACTTACAGGGAGCTAATATCTCCATGAAATCCAGTGTATTCACCCCCGTTAACCTTAGCACCACCGCCACCTCAGGCCTTCCTGTCGTAGTGTTCATACATGGCGGCGGGTACGTTTCTTGTTCTCTAGCTCCCGCAGGCATCAAATGAATCAGACTGTTTGCAGCTACGTCGCAGGGTCGGTATACACTCAGCATGGCGAAAACCTTGTGGCCGATGCCGACAACGATGTGGTGATGGTGGGCATTCAATATCGCCTCGGCATTTTCGGGTTTCTCTCTGGCAACGAGGTGGTCGAAGGAGGTGGTGCATTAAACGCCGGCTTGCGTACGTTGGCACCGCGTTGAATGGCAGATCGAAATTTGACTAACCGTAACCTTTGGCAATGTTAGTGGATCAAACATTTGCTCTGCAGTGGGTGCAGGACCACGTAAGTAACATATATGTGCCTCTCCGGAACGATCAACTCAATTTACCCCTAAAAGATAAGCAAGTTCGGAGGTGACGCTTCAAAAGTCACAATTTGGGGCCAATCAGCCGGTATGCATACAGTGATCTTTCTCCGTGCCTTCGTTTAAGATCTCCTCGTCTAGGCGCTGGATCTGTTTTTCAGCACATCATCGCCAATGGGGGAAACACCCAACCGCCGCTCTTTCGTGCTGCTATGACTAGCTCGACGTTCTTCCCATCGCAGTATTGGTATAACGGCACGATCCCCGAGGCACGCAAATTTCTACTATAATTCGTCTATGATAAGGCTGATGATTGTTTGGAATACCAGACCGTCTACCAAGCGATCGTCAATGGGACAGGGTAAGTTCATACAGCTCATCCGTCACCCTACGAATCGCCCACGCTCATGACTCTCCAAACAGGTGCAGCACATCCGTTTCGTCCTTCGCCTGCCTTCGGAGCGCCTCTGTGGATATCCTCGAACAGCTGAACAATCAAACGAACAATGATGCGTTCTATGGCGTGTACACCACTGTGCCCGTCGTCGACGGAAAGCTGATAGTCGAACCTCCCATCGAGACGCTCGCCAAGGGACACGTGAACGGGGTGAGTCGACATCGTGTGCCGAAACCAAAGTCATACTCCGTCATGCGCTTTGTGCTGACTCCCAATACAGGAGGTATTACTGTCGGTGACTAACTCCGATGAGGGTGCTCTCTTCGTCAACGCAGATGTGCCCTTTGACCCAGTATACTACATACATAACCTCTTCCCCCAACTACCCGCGGACGACGTGCAAAAGGTGGCAGACGCGTATGAAACCTACACAATCCCAGCTGGACGAGGCGTGCCTGAAGGACGCGACGTCACACAGGCTATTGGTATTATGGGCGAGTGTAAGTGTTCCTGGCTTATTACACACGCTGTACCGGGTATGCGCATTGACGATAACCTCGTCACAGCCATCTTTTACTGCGCGACCTACTTCCTACTTGAGGGATTTAGCAAAGCAGGCAAGAACGCGTGGAAAGGCTTCTTCGGCATCCCGCCCGGATACCACGCCGAAGACGTCCCATACTACTTCACTTCGTCAGTCCGCTTTTTGTCGCCACCATCCCGTCGGTTGTTGACCCTCGAGCGACACGTCTAGCGATGGGCCACCCATCGACAACCCCTCGTTTACCGCCTCGTTTGCTCAGTCCTTTATGAGTGTCGTCATTAACCTTGATCCGAACGACCACATCAACTCGAGCGATGTTACGCCTCAGTGGAAGACATGGGCGCAAGCAAACACAGAGATGCTGTTCAACGTTACGGAGACGAACCTGACTGACATCCATGCAATCACGACAGACCCGGGCATGCTTGCGCGTTGCGAGTGAGTGGACCTTTCCTTACTGGATTACTGTAGAACATTTTCTGACGTCGGCTTAGGATATGGCGGGGACTGGGGAAGTACATTGGGCAGTAGTTATGTAAATCACAGCATATACAATCGAAACCATATGAGATGCCATAAGCATGGTGAAACGCCGCCATGGTAATCATAAAATCTGAGGTAGCGTACACGGGAACAACGAAAAGGCGACCGTCGAAACAATACTGAGTGGAGAGTAGCCAGAAACAATCAACATAAAAGACCATGGATCACCTCAAGGTGATCAACCCAAATAACTGTCGTGCTTTCGATCAGCCAAGCCTGTTATAGCGGAATGAAGTTGTACTCACGAGAAAGTTGAGAACTTGAAGACGTGTCGTCACATCATCAAGCGACGACACAGTAAGAGTTGCCACCGCTTCCTCCGTCGTCCTCGTCGACTGGGACAGACGGGACTGTAGTCTCCTCGGGAGCAGGAACGAGGTAGTTGAGGGACACGAAGAAGTCCATTGTGTGGTTGTTGATAGGAGTGCGGGGAGTGCGCAAAGGAGAATATAGCACGATGGTGTGTCTGTTCAGCGCCGGAAAGGCTAGCGAGACGATGGACGAGGATAAAACGATATCGTGGGGAGCTTCACGGTAGAGAAAATCGCTTGTTTTTATACATCGCAGGGGAGCTTGGACCATGTTCAGGTACGCGTCATCTCGTGTACGGCTGGAAATTTCGGCTTGGATTTACGCAGAAATTTATTGTTCTTGGATCAGGGACGTCGACCCGAGCCGCAAGGTCCATGCACTAATTTGCCCACGGATTGGCCGATCGTTCAGGTACGAAGATCTCAAGTGTCTCGGCACCCATGGCGAACAAGAGCACCGACTGCCATTAGCTGTCATGCAGTGCGGGTGTCAAAGCGGATCAAGCAAGACGAGCATGTCCGAGAACAATGACAAATTTGGAAGGAGTCGTCTCCGACGCAATCTGCATTTCAGAGACAAAAGCTAAAGCCGCACCTGGAGTAACAAGCAAAGTCTAGGCTTCCGAGAGGTGTAACTAAGCTCTTGTATAAGCAAGTTCATTTTTTCGTCTAACTAGCAAGGACTTTGGTAAAGTCACTTATCTCAATATCTAGCGTGCTTGTGCGGGAGAGAAAGGGAGAAAGTCGAGACTGTCCGACACAAGTCCCATGGAGAAACGAAGTGCGCCGACCATTTTTCCTCTTCTGGATTATAGTGTAGTTCAGGAGGAGTCTTATGAGTCCGCATAGTTAGTCTCGATCAATGGACCTGAAGCTGAAGAGCGCTGACTCGGAAGCGAAGCTGAAGCTGAAGTGCGGGAGCAACGCGGGGGTTACGTGAACAAGAGCCGCTGTGTGGCAGTGCAAAAGCACGTGACATTGGATTGCGTCTGCATCCGAGTCTGTGCTGCTGGCCCCTACAACGACACGTCTCCCATCCACTTGTTCATCGTCCCCCACGACCCCCTCATAAAATTCACAAATTCTGTGCCCACTCATAAAGATACATTATCGAGTATATGCTATAAGCGAACGGGAGGGAGATCGATCGATCCTTGGCATCACCACAACGAATGGATCCCATCGCACTACATGAAGACCCCCAGCGAGCCGCTCACGCTTCCGTTCTGCGCGAAAACCACGGCTGCAGGGCATCGAGAGGTGATCGCTCTACCCCACCGAATAAGGCGTCAGAAAGGGGTCGATAGGAATCTGGACAGTCTAGGTACGCACACGTTCGAGTGGGAATCTGTCGTTTGCAGTTGGCAGGGATTGTTATCCCCCGTACCAAGTCGACCGCCGTCGTCCCACCCTTCAGTGGCTGAAGGAGAGACGGGAATGCCGGAATATGGGTTTGTGCCTGTGTGGTCTTGTGCCACCACAGGCGCAGAGTCTTTGCGGGATTTATGTCTCTCTTCACCATGAGAGTTGGTTTTTGTCCTGGACGGCTTTTTCCTCCCTTCTCTGAGGGAGAAATCGAGAAAGTAGAGGGGTATATCCCGTTTTCTCCCTGGATTCTGGACATTGAGACGTCCAAATCCATTCCCTCGGGCTAGCGCGTTTCGAACAGTTTTCTGCGCAAAACATGTATTAGTTCGCCCCTTTGGTGGTATGAAAACAGCACTTGCCATCCAATCACCATCCGCAAGACAGGGTCTGTCCCTGAAACACCATATCTTCTTCATCGCATCGCATATCTCCTCTCTCAGCAACAGGTTATGATCGCTGCAGCAGAGCACGATCTGGATATAAACGCAAGTATCGTATCTCATCCGCCGTCTCTTCCCCTGATTGAAGGCTTCGGGCTCGAGTAATTCGTCGTCGGCGAATCCTAGACGTTTGCGGAGTATACTAGCGCCCTCTTTCTGCGCTTTGGTCAGAATATCTCCGTTCTCTTCTATCACTCGCTGACGCGCCGGGTTTTCTGGCAGTAGCAGGTACGTTGGATGTATGGTAGAGCAGAAAGCCTTTTCAGGCGATGGCGAAGCTCGAACTTTCGTTTCCTTGTTCGCGGTTTGGGTCACGGCCTTTTTCACTGCGGCACGCATAGACTGCTTCGCGCAACTGACGGCACCTTTTCCTATCGCGGTGGCGGTGCGTTTCTTTGCTGGTGAAACCGTCTTGCTTTGATGTTTGGCATGTAGCGGCTTCCGGGCGTAAGTCAGCGAACGCTTGGGCTGCTCTAATGCGTACTACTCACTGTAGGTCGTTGTAACCCGCCTCCTCCATGCCGATTGTTCACGACATTGACGTCGGGATCATGGTTTCTCTCCACCAGTTCGATCTCCATATTGTAAGCCGGCGTCTGCATATTTGCTCCAATTACATCTCCGTGTTCGAAAAGTGGGAAGTCAATACCACCCTGCAGGTCTAGAAGTGAGTGGCACACTTCGACAAAGCGTCTTACTGTTGCTCACCTGAGGCTCGAAGTACGCCTGCGAAGGCGGCGACGGCGGAGGAAGAAGTTCGGCTCGGGAGCTTCTGTACGCAATACCGTCCATTGGCTGGATACCACCCCACTCACAACCGCCAACTGGTGAAGGCGCCTTAATAGATTCCCCATATCGCATCTCGAAGCCAGTCCTTGACGCTACCTGGTAAGGATGAGCCGAACCGAAGGGATCGGTATTGAGAGCAGAAGGATAGCCGGGCTCGGGGATACTGGCGTCGGTAAGGTGTTCGGCTGGAGGACGTAACCCTGTGCCACTGAGGCAGCTCCCCGCAATGGCTGAATTGGTCGTTGAACTGCTTGCAAAGGAGAAGTTTCTCGTGATGTCCTGGTGAGGAGGATTCACCTCGACTGGGCTGAAGGATCCGTGATGTGGGTAAGTGTCAAAGAGCGCGAGCCAAGACGCGGTATCGGTGGCAGGGTTGAGTGCGTTGAGGAGACCGGGATAGTGATTGTCCAAAGGCAGGTGAGTGGCATCAATTGTTACGCCATAATCATCCATAACATTGGGTGAAGGGACGTGCGACCGCTGAAGGTATTCGGAGAAGGTATCTTCGACTTGACTGACGCCATGATGGATGTCCAAATGATGGGAAAAGTTCAGAGTGCGAGGCTGCAAGGCAAGAGGATAATCTTCGGATGACGTTGGAAACTGGACATCGCTGGGAGTACTAGCACGGTGAGCGTTGAGCTCAGTGTATGGCTGCATCGGGTGCTCTCCTGTAGTGAAGGTTGAAGTCATTGTTTTCCACCGAAGTAGGTGAATAAACGGGTGGCACGACGGTATGCTGTGGGGATGATGGCTGGTCTATGCCACCGCTGAAGTTGAACTTCGGAACCAGACGCGCGTTCTGCACGCGACGCGCTGTCACGATTTTGTCTCCGACCGTTTTGGTCTGGGCTGTTCGGCTATTGTCTCGGAACCTAATTTGGGCGGCTTGGGGACAATTCCTTTCAAGTGATGTTGTTACAGGGCGCTACAATAATTGTACAAGTGTCATCTGTTGTTTCCGTATCCTACTCAAGATTTTTCACTTGTTCAGTGCGACATCAATCGCTTGAGGCAAACCATCTATCGGACCCTGCTTCTTGGTCTCGGTTGGCTCCCATCCGAGTGCATAGAGGCGGTTGGGATGAACGATCTGATTCCCTGCATATATCCTCCACCAAACTACGGCAATAGATGTCAGCTATATATCTGCCTTGTGACGGGTAGACTCACGGTTATCCTTGGGACCAGTAATATCTTCAGGCCAGGGGCGACATCCAGCCTCTTTGACCAGTTTCTTACCGAGCAAGCACTATTGGAGCAGTATCCCGCTGTGAGTATACACATTGAATTCAATAATTTGAACTGACATACATCTCCAACGACCTTTGCAAATGCCCTCTGTTCGGTCCTCGAAACACCGACAAGGTCTGCGACATTTGTAAGACTCTGCATTAATTTAATGGGGCGTGGGTTACTTACAGTTACAGTCTTTTCCACCCTGTGCTTTGCCAGTCAAGGCAGCTCTCAACACAACTAGAAGCGCTGAGGCCACGTCGTGTACGTGGATATGGCTGAGAGCATTCGCGCCTTCTCCGAACGTACCAGAGTAACTTGCCTTCTTGGCCTTTTCAATCCAGTCGCGCACCCAGAACGTGGTACGCTGCATGCCTAAGAAGACATGAGAGACTTTATGTCACCGAAATATCATTCCTACCAGCTCCAATCCCGTAAATCTGACAATATCGGTGCGTATATCAGCTTTCTATTATCATCCGTTGACCCAGGTGGAACGCACCAAACCCGGATTCAAAACAAACGTGCGAATTGGATGGTCAACACGCCGACCAGCTTCTGCTATCTGGGGAAAATACGACGGAAAATGAGTACTCAAGTAATCCCTGTCGTGTCACGCTTACGGGAAGTTCGCATTCCATGTGAACAGCGTCGTGAGGAAGTCTGGAAAAGTGACGTGAGGTAAATCGGCGTGCCAAAGTCATAAAGGCGTCAGCTCACTTCGTTACATCCAGGTCCTTGTCACTCCACTCCTTGGGATGCTCGACGTAGGCCCCATTGCACCGGTCTGAAATGATACTAATTCCAGAGATATGCACGTAGATTGGTGCAGGCGTGCTTGCGTTTGATTTCGCTCGTGCGGTGAGACCAGCGAGAATGGCTAGAGAGGGGTGTGCATTCACGCTCGCGCTTCAGTTTGATGATTACAGCTGACACATACCTTTGACGCTAGCCGGATGAAGTGAGTCAGCGGTGTTGATCACTACGTCTGACTGTTCGGCCGTCTTCGTTATGAGATCGCCGTCGTCTAGGGTGCCTTTGACGACTTCGAGGTCGGAGTAAAGGTGCTGGAGCGCAGATATCTTTTCGGGGGATGCATCCCGGACAAGGGAAACGATGTGGTGGCTGTCAGGTTGCGGAAGGTATTGGTTGAGCGCGAGAAGGGCCTCTGAGCCGACATACCCGGTAGCCCCGAGCCAGAATATAACAGGTTTGGTCATAGTGATAGTGTGCAGCGGTGGTGGGCTATGGGTAGCTCGGTCTATGGTGCGGTGTGCAAATGCTTATATACTACGACGGTGACGGTTGCTGTTCGGTTGCGCCCCGACTTGCTCAGGAAGAACTTACTTTTCAAGCTCCTTAGCTCTTTGAATGAGAGTCTGGGCCCACCATGCTCCGTAACTGACACACCAAGTTCCATTCAGAAATGCACGAGATATGCGTGACGATCAGGTAATTCTCATCAGAATTCATCAAAAGATATTTGTCAATGAAGTGACCCCAAATGAAGCGAAGCTTGTTCTCTCTGCACTAGAAAACGTGGTTCGTGTTGGCTAAGCCAGGATGAAGATGCGACCAAGTATCATGTCACCTCAATCCTTCGCCGCAGTATCTTCAGATAGATGTCATTCAAACCGGCGAGTATATTCCTCTGCGCCCGTTGGATCTAGATACATTTTAGATACATACATGCTGTCTGTCACCTCTGCTGCTGCGAATGGGCTGTCCTGGTCGTTTCTCCTCAAGGTAAATGGTTAGCTTCCCATCTCGGGTGATGTATGTAAGTACGCCCTGATGACGGGCGTGGATGTTACAATGCCGCTGGATAACACTCTGTGTAGGATGTTACATGCTTACTATAAGTAAGTCGACTCTACGACAAGAGTCGAGGAGAGAGGCGTTGCCGACCGGAGCCGATAGTCCGATGCGATGACGGTGGCGGTGCTCTTTGCTTCTGCAACCTCGCTCGTCCCTAGCCCACTTCATCCACCTTCCCCCTCGCGTATCTCTCATTTTTCGCATAATGCACAGCGTGGAGTTTCGAATACGTTCCAAAATACCTGACAACTCTAATACTTCATGAACTTTACTCGTCGGCAGCGTCAGCGTGTCAAGATCCATTCCATCGCATCCCATCAAGACACACCACTATGAGAAAGTGAATCAGAATGTAGAAAGGCTGAGGGATCTAGGTGCGTATGTTTTCATCGTTCCTCCACTTGACAGAGGTCGTGGGCTGTCGTGGGTTCCACGAATCCCCTATCGCATCATTCACTGGTTGAAGGAGAGGTACGGAGGTTCGAACCTAGATTTGAGTTTGCTAGGTACTGGTCTACCAGCAAACGCAGAATCTTTCGAATTTTTGTGTGTCTCTTCACCACGAAGAGATTTGCTCTTTCTTTCGCGTGCCTTCCGCCTTCCTTCTCCAGCGGAAAAGTCGAGAAAGTGGAGGTTGATCTCCTTGTTTGTCCGCGGCTTCCGGAGCTTCAAGCACCCGAACTCCTTGTTTTCGGACAATGTGCAACGAACGGTCCTCTGAGCGAGGCGCGAATTGGTAAACTATGCTGGTGTTTCAATAACTGTACTCACCCTCCACACGTTGTCGCCAGCAGCTGAACGTTGCTTAAAGCACCAGATTCCCCTCATCACATCGCATACCTCCTCTACCGTCAACAGGTTATCCTCGCTGCAGCAGAGTACCATCTGGACGTAAAAGGCGACTGTCCGTTTTGTCTCCCGCATCGACCCTTCGTTGAGGATGTTGAGATCGAGATCATCTTCGATGGAGAGTCCGAGCTGTTGGCGGAATCTGTAAGTGGCTTCAAGCTGGGCTATTGTCAATCGCCCTATGTTCTCTTCCACCAACTGCTGACGTCTCTCCTTCATTAACTGCAGGCGTTCATCTTCTATCAATCGCCAACGTGGCGGGTCGTCTGAGAGCGGTGGGCATGCCGTCGCAGAGAAAGCGGAGCAGAACGCCTCCTCTGGGGGCGGGCCGGCGCGAGCGAACGTCGCATTGGCTGCATCCTGGGCTGAAGCCTTCTTTACGGCGGAACGCGTTCCCTTCTCTGTGTGATTGATAGAGCTCTTTCCCCTCGTGACGGCGCTTCGTCTCTTCGTCGGTAAGTCTTCCTTGTTCTTAGATTTAGCATGCGATCGCTTCCATGAGAAAGTCAGAACATCATTGCACTGATATGACGTGCCCCACTTACGTCAGGTTTTTGTGATCCTCCGATCCCATCGCTCTCGAGCGTGTCATTAGGCTCATAATGTGCTTCTACCAGTTTGATCTCCAGAAGGCTTGCAGGCATTTGGATGTCTGGGATATTTTCTCTGTCTTCAACAGCCCGAGGAGGGAGGATCGGCGCACGCTACCGGTCTAGACATGAGTGGCGTCCATCCTCAACTATGTGACTGTTACTTACCGGAGGCTCGCAGTACGCCTGCGACGACGAAGACGACGACGCAAGGTCTGATGGAGACATTCCGTGAACGACATTGTTCGTTGGCCGAGTACCATTCTACATACGACCGTGAATTGCTGAACGCAGCTTGATAGATACCTCCAGACCCACCTCGAAGTAATTTGGTGCCTCTACTTGGTGAGAATGGGCTACAGCACAGGGATCGGGAACGGAAGACTGGCCGGGCTCGAAGAGAGTGTCATTGGAAAGATGTTCGACTGGATGGTGCAATCCAACGCGACCAAGAGAGGCCTCCACCACGGCTGGCTCGATCATCGGGCCTCTGTCAAAGGGAAAGGCTCTCGCCGTGTACTGGTACGGAATGTTCGCCTCGTATGGACCGAGAAAACCGTGATGGAGCTGGGAGTCAACGAGCGTGGGTGAGTATTCAGTGTCGAGGGCTGGATTGAGTGGGATTAGGGGACCAGAAGAGTGATCGTCCCAAGGCAAGTAGGTGACCCCGAATCCTCCGGTAGTACCGCTAATGACATTAGGTGAAGCGTTGTGCGCCTGCTGAAGGGTTTGAGGAGAAGCATACTCGACTTGAGTGGGACTGTGTTGGGTGTTCTGGATGTAGGGAAAGTTCAGGAAGCGGGGTTGCGACGACGCGGCTAACTGAGCGGTGCTGAGGGGAGTGGCCAGGTAAGTGTTGGCGGCATGGTATGGTTGTATGGGCCGCTCTCCTCTGGAGAAGGCTGGGGCCATCGTTGTCCACCAAGGAAGGAGAACAAATGAGTGGCACGGCGATTTGCTGTGGTTATAGCACCATGTCTGTGCCCTTGCTGAAGTTGAATATTGAACTTCGGGACCAGCTGGACGCGTGTTTTTCACGCGACGCGCTGTCACGATTTTTGTCTCCGACAGTTTTGGTCTAGGCTACTCGGCTATTGTCTTTATATTCAAGCTGCGAATTGACTGCGAAGAAGTTTTGGGAACAATAAGTAATCGAATAACAATAACTCGACGTTATTGGCTGCAATACATACACAGTATCCGCGAGGCAACAGTGATGATTCGAGGTCAGCGCAGCGGCCGTCGTTTGAGCATAGAAAGCGCACAACACCGATTACTTTAGCCCATTATCTTTGCTCTGTGTTAGAAGTAGAAACGAAGTCTGACCAATCTACCCGTCAGCCATCGTCATATTAGATAACACAGTTTGGAATGAATTTCTGACAAATACAACCCTTTCCCTCCTTGATCTCGCCCTCGAGCCCTTGATCGCAGCCATCGATACTGTGATCGCGGCAGTAGCGACATCGTGGATGTGTATGTGGCTTAGTTCATTCGCGCCTGGACCGTACATGCCGGAGAATGTAAATCTGGCGTCTTTGCCATGCTTGATCCAAAGACCTAGCCAAGCGGTTGTGTATTGGCCAAGGTATTGGACACCTGTAATGACACATGAAACAACGAGCCTCGCGTGATACTACAACGTAAAGGGAGCGTATAATTGGTTCCAGATCCATGAAGAGTTTACGAGTGCCCGCCGGGACCGCAATCCGACTCACAGCAGCGATCGTCGAAGGTTGGTGAAGGAATCGGCTGTCGGAGCCGATGGTCCGATTCAGATGCGACGGTGATGGCAATTTATTTTAAATAAACATTAAAAATATTATAAAATTAAGTGCTCTTTGTCTCCATACGAAAGACACGTCTCGTCCACTTCGTTTGCCTTCCTCCTTCCGATTCTCTTCATGATATTCGTGATCAAGACATAGCGTCAAACATAAATTACTTGATAACCCAAGACACCCCCTATCAACCCACGACTTGTTCATCCTCTATAGCATCAGCATCCAGCATGTCTAGATTCATCCCATCGCAACCCATCAAGACGCCGAACGGATGTATCACCCTCGTTCTAGACACCATCCATCCATCCATCCAGATTTCAGTGGGATCAAACAACCCGACGAGAAGAGTATCAGGGTGAAATCACTTGGTGAAGTTGAGCGGTCTAGGTACATACAGATTCATCGATACATTGTCATTCCGTCTGTCAGGGCTGTTGATACCCACAAGTCCGATCCCCTTATCGTATCTCTCGTTGGTTGAAGGAGAGGTACGAATGATCGAACTTGGGTTTGAGCATGCGTGGTATTGGATTACCAGCAGGCGCGGATTCTTTCGATTTTTCGTGTCTCTCTTCACTACGAAGAGAGCGGTCCTTCCTCTCGTATACCGTTCGCCTTCCTTCCCCGCCGGAAAAGTAGAGAAAGTGGAGGTTGATATCGTGGTTTGTTCTCGCATTCCGAAGCTTCAAACAACCGAACTCCTTATGTTCGGATAGTATACAATGAACGGTCCGCTGTGGAAACCCAACTACTAGGTAAACCATGCCGATGTTATGTTGACGGTACTCACCCTCCACTTATTGTCGCCAGCATATGAGCGTTCTTTGAAATACCATATTTCCTCCATCGCGTCGCACACCTCGTCTCTTGTCAACAGATTGTGCTCGCTGCAGCAGAGCGCCAGCTGGACATAAAAGTCGGTGTGCCATCTCGCCTTTCGCATCGACACCTCATTGAGAACGTTGAGATCGAATTTCTTTTCGTCGGTCGAGAGTCCGAGCTTCTCCCGGAGCTTTTCGACGGCAGCTTGCTGGGCGCTCGTCAGTCGCTCTTTGCTCTCCTCTAGCACATGCTGACGTCTTTCCTCCATCAGCTGCTGGCGATCCTCCTCTGTCATTTTCTTGCGTTCAGGGTAATCCGGGAGCGTTGAGTATCCCGTCAGGGCGATGATGGTGCAGTGCGCCTCCTCAGGGAATGGGGAGGTACGGGCGCACGTCGCTTTGGTCACGCCTTGAGTGGCGGCCTTCTTGCCTGCGCGGCGCTCGGCCTGCTTTGCACTGCTGACACGATTCTGTCTCTTTGCGGCAACGGTATGTGTCTTGGTTGCTTCACCCCGCATGCTTTGACGTTTACCAGGTGACAGCTTCAGACGTAAATCAGCACCGTCGACCACGGTTCTGACGCGTGCCACTCACCATGGGCTGTTGTCTCCCACTTCCCTCCATCCCATCGTTCACGATTGTGACATCGGGCTCACACCGTCTCTCTACGAGTTTCATATCCATAGTAGCTGCCGGAGTCTGGATATCCAGGCCGATTCCTTCTATTTGCTCGAAAGGTAGGAAGCCCGGGATACCCTATTACGTTAAGAGATGAGTGGCACCCCAGGATATGCAGGAGGATTTCCCGAAGACCTCGAGCCAGTGGCATGTCATTTTGCCCGAAGATGTCGGGCCAGCGGCATGCGGCCGCTGCTGCCCCAGCACAGAGATTTCACCACTGTAGCTGGTGCCTGTCGAGGCGGCTGGCCTGCTGTTATTCTGCCGGCATTAGTGGGGTGTGTCGGGCTGGTTACACAGGGCCCCAGCACTGCCTCCGGCCACATTGATGCGTGCTCACCATCATTTCGTCGGCCTCAGTCGGACGTGTCGGGCTGGTTACACAGGCCCCCAGCACCATTGTCCGGCCACATTGGTGCGTGCTCACCATCAATTTGTCGGCCT